TAAGAACTGCCGAAGCTGCCAGAGGAACAAGACCCGTCATGATAAGACCCCGGGCCTCCTGCACCCTCTGGATGTGCCGAGTGAAGTCTGGAGCCAGGTAGTCGTTGACGGGAAAGATATGCCGAAGGATCGTCACGGCTACGACTACGTTTGGGCCTTTATTTGCAAGTTCAGTAAGATAATGGCTACGCTCCCTGGACACAAGAACGATACCGCACCGGATCTGGCGAAGCGCTACTTCCATAAGGTATACCGTTTCTTTGGTATCCCGGCGGTCTGGATTAGCGATAATGCAGGACCGTTTGTCTCGGAGTTTCTGGAAACGATTAATAAGCTGACCGGGACTAAACACCGGCACGGCAGCTCTCGCCACCCACAGACGCAAGGCGCCGTGGAGATCACCAACGCGGATCTAGACCAACGACTGAGGCCGTACCTCACCAAGTACCAAGACACATGGAGCGAGTACCTACCGGCACTCGACTTCGCCCATAATGTGTCCTGGCATTCGAGCATCGGCATGGCCCCGTTAAAGGTCGCGTTGGGAGCCACCCCACGGAACCCCCTCTCTATTGATATCCTAGACCTCGATACCTCGACCGACCCGCAAAAGAAAGCATTGCAGCTCGTCACCCAGACCAAAGCGGTGCAAGACCTAGCAAGGAAGAATGCCTTAGAAGCTCAAGCAGCCCAAGCCATCCAAGCGAATAAGAAGCGACGTCCCGTTGACTTCACTATCGGAGACTTGGTATACGTGAGCAAGAAGGGCATGAGGACAGAGGCCCCGAGTACGAAGTTGGATTCACAGTGGGCAGGACCGTGGACGATCGTGGAGGAACGAGGATATAGCTTTGTGCTGGATATTCCGCCCTATGTCAAAGGCACAAACCTCTTCCATGCAGATCGGCTGCGTAAGGCCGATGACAATCCCCTGCCCCAACAGGCCAGCTTACCGGAACCACCTGAGGAGATCAACGGGGAGCCAGAGTGGGAAGTTGACAGGATTAATGCCTCTCGACTGTTTGGCCAACGAGAGACCCTACAATACCAAGTTGCCTGGAAGGGGCACGACCCCGACGATACGTGGTATAAGGCAGAGAATCTCAAGAATGCAGCTATGGCGTTGGATAGTTTTCATCGAGAATACCCCGACGCCGCAGGACCTCCGGTGAGGCTGCGTGATTGGATAAAGGCAGCAGCAGAAGACGAATATCCGGAAGACCACGAAGAGGACAACAAGGCAGAGCACAAAGGGTATAAGGCAAGGCAAAAGAGGAAGTACACCAGAAGGCACGCTTAAATCCGCTCTGTAAAGCCACAACCACCGTCACGGCAGTCGCGGCTTGGAGGGGGGTAGTGTGAGGGCCTGGTCCTCCAGACCTCCCAGACGCTCTGACTAATCAGACGCCAGTCGGGTGGATCCACCCGACTGACCAATGGAAGCTCGGCCAGAGCCCCACCTTGAGACGCGTCCTGGAAGAATCTCGCGAGGGGAGGCTTTTGCTTCTTTTCCCTTTTCTCTGTAGTTTAGAATCTTCGTCCATAGCGCCCCATAGAGGAGTTCCGCCCTCATTCCAAGCCGGCCGTGACAGGGGGACTGGTTTTGCAGCTTCGTCCCGGACCGCCTCGGGGTCGTCAAGTATACGAGCGGGTTGGAAAGGCCAGATTCCAGTCTTCCGGAAGCCGGATATGATATTCCGGGCTGACATACCCTGCGCTGAGGCGTCCCGGTAGCAAAAAAGGAAGCGTTGCTTGTTGATAGGTGCTGAGGCTGTGAAGGAAGCCAATTCGAGGGTTCTTTGGCGAAAATAGGACTTCAAAGCCGAAAAGACAGACCGGTCGAGTGGCTGGGTCTTGTGAGAAGTGTGTGAAGGCAAGTATAGTAGGTGTACGCGGTTTCTTTTAGCTAGAAGCATAAAGTCTTCGTCGATATGAGTAGCGTGTTCGTCGAGGATTAATAGGCGCTAATCGTCCTTCCTTTGGGGCTTTGTGTTACGATCCTGGTTCAGGGTGCATGAGGCGCCCTGCTTCCGCCCTGTGATTGGGTGACGTGGTGGAGACGGACAGACCCCACCCCGTGTGGGTGCGGCCAACCAGGAAGCGCTCTGCCTGATTAGCTGCCAAGACCAGCAGAGCGGACGGAGCGGGCGCTCTGTGGGGCCCCTGCGCTCTGCGAGCAGAGCGCCCTAGACCCACGGAGCGCAGACACCAAGGACTCTGATTGGTCCGCCTTAGATAGATATATACGACGACCGTAGCCACGGTCCCAGATAGTTCTTGCTTGGTTCTTCAAGCAAGCAATACACATTCACTGCACTCATACACTTTGAGTGGCATTCCGATTTGACTGTATTACCCGTGCGATAGGAGCTTGCCCTTTGTTCTATCTTTATAATTACCAACCCCAGCATCCTGTGGAGCCCGTGCTCCCTTACAGACAGACGACCCTAACAGTCGAGTGGTTTGTAATACTTTGTTTGAGGAAGATATACTTTCTTGAGCCACATAAGAGCTATTTTGCTATTGCTCCAGCCTGTGGGCGTACAGTCGTACTTCCAGGTCTTGAGGACTGGTAGTTCCTTGAAGTTATCCGGGAAGTGTTGGCCTTGTAGATTTTCACCCGTAAAGATCACTACGGGCGTCAATCGCTTGCCCTCAGCGGTACCACACTCGATAATACTGACCCAGATCGTTGGATCAGGGCCAGTCAGGACTGCCCGAGATGTGAGGGCATCGCCAATCACCTTCCCAACCGTAGTTTCCGTCTCTTGCATGCCATGTTCGTCCATATTGGCGATATTCGCAGGTACCAGCTTCTTGTCCTTAATTACAGCTTCCAAACGATCAAAAAAATCCTGGAATCTCTCACGGGTAGATCCTTTGACTCGAGACCGTTCTAATAAGGTACCTAACTTGGCCTTTACCCTGGGATTGCGGGTAAAAAACCGATCTACCCAGCGCTCACCAACTCGCCCAGGGAGCCCGGCTTCGTTCAGGATCGCTTGTGCGAATCGTCTTAGCTGTGCACGACTTGGGGCACGCCCTGTGTCACGGCCAGCTTGGAATGAGGGCGGAACTCCTCTATTGGGCGCTATAGACGAAGATTCTAAACTAAAGGGAAAAGGGAAAAGAAGCTCAAAAGCCTCCCCTCGCGAGATTCTTCCAGGGCGTCTCAAGGTGGGGCTCTGGCTGGTCGGGTGGATCCACCCAACTGGCGTCTGATTAGTCAGAGCGTCTGGGAGGCCTGGAGGATCAGGCCCTCACACCCTGCAGCTTCCTCCTCAAGAGCCCACTCGGCGACGAAGGCTTCCTGGCCGTCAGTTAACTTCTGGGTGTTTTTTTGGGCTTGTCGTGGATCCTGTTGTCCACGGCGTCGTCTGCTGAGGGTGGATTCAGGGATCCTATATAGGCGCGCTACTTCCTTCTGCTGAGCGCCCTGATCAATAGCCTCAATAGCCTCGGCTATTAGCCGCTCTCGTACGCGTCGAACCATCGTATTTTGAGCCTATTCCGACCAGTATTGAGGAAGTTGTTGGTGGTGGAAGGTAGAGAGTAGGAAGTTGGCGGTGTGGGGGAAAAATTGCAAAGTGGGGCGATTGCAAAGGTGGGTCACCCTGTCTAGACCTTGTTGCACTGCGTGTGGTAGGCAGGCGGAGTGGAAGCGGTTTAGCGTAGGCTTGAGAGCCAAGTGCAGGGTAGATCGCAGGAACTGTGGGCTTGGCTGGCAATTTGCAGTGCTCCACACACACCAAATGGTGCTCCACACACACCAAATCGCACTCCATAACGCTGTGTACTGGTTTGTGCCGCTGTACAGTTCCTTGTGCAGTATCCCGTGGTGCTGTGCAGCTTCCACAGACTGTACAATGCCATAACTGCACCAGTACAACCGCTACAGTGCCCTGGACTTCAGGGCCCTATAGCTGTAGTAACCAGCCACACTTTAACAAATACGAATCCTTTGAGCGAGGCAGAAAGCTCGGATTTCGGAATGGGGCGAAGCTTTTCCGCCCGAGAGGCATTATACGCCGACTTTTAATTGGGGTACCCAGATCACAGCACTTGACAATGCCTCTTTACCAGCCTTCTCGCGCGCTGCAAGCAGCTCCTGGCCTAGAGATTTTACCCCATTCCCCATGTCTAGAACCTTCTGCAATAGAAAGTGAAATCGTGCTGAACTTGAAAACGTTCCACTACAACCTTATTCGTCGCTTGATGCCTGATTGCGCCATGGAGAGTGCAATGGAGGGTCACATGACCTGGCACGTGTAAATTGATACCTAGGTACATAGATTAGCAGTGGTTAACCCTGGGCGCTCGGGCCTCGCTCACTGGTGGGCTGCCCCACCAAGGATCTTCCACAAATCCTTGGCGGGGCAGGGCTTCCGAGCTTCCTTTCTGCATCATCCTTTTACCTACCTTTCACGTATTGCACACGCATTCCGTGATCTAGGTAGTGATCACCCTTCATCGCTGCTCGCGAGCTGATTTTCCATTGCATTTTACTTTGTGGACTAGACAATCCTAACCGCCACCGGAAAGCCTGACGACCTCCCGCCTGACCGTACACGAGCCATCTCTCTTGGGTTTAAATAAGGTGGCCTTTTCCAGCTTCCCCTCCTCCACTTCTTCACCTTCTTGCTTTCTCTACAAGCTTCTACCATATCTCGCATCTCCAGTCTCCCGGCCACAAAACCCCAAAATCCGCAAAATGCCAATGCCTCCCTCCGACGAAGAGGCTCTAGCGAGCCTCACCCCCTAAGAGCGCGAACTCTACGATTGGTACAAAGCGAATGAACATATCTAAGATATGAGAGAGCGGCGTCGTGCTATCAGTAACTAGTGGAAAGAGCGAGAGAGAGAGTTCAGAGACTAGACTGATACATGAGATCAGACGAATCTTCGCCCGAGAGAGATATGTCGTGCTCTCCAGCGAGTTCGTTGACACCCTCCGCCGTAAAGACTTCCGGAATACGCAATCGCGCGCTGAGCGGTTGACAATGATGGAGATATGGAACCATGACTTTTTTCTTCTTGGCGAGGCAAAGCTCGGCGGCATGTTCACTTGTTTTGGCCTTATCCCTGGCGCTTTCTACCTAACGCCGAATATGGGTGCGGACGACCATACCGAAGGCATTTTACATCGTAGTATTTTGGGCATCAATAACAACATCCCCATTGAGTTCGTCCCCCCTCAAGATAGTGGCGTTAGCCCAAGCAAACGCCGCTACCAGCAACGGAGCTCGGGGGAGGATTCGGTTCGCTCGACCGATTCGGGTGACGTCGATTACGGTCACGGATTTATCTTTGCCCAATTGGGGCCTCTCTACGCCTTCACTGGGCCCCGTGACTGGGTAGAAGGGCGAAAATTCATGACCTATAACGATACTATCGAGATGGGATACTGGACTGCCACCGGTTTTGGCGTTGTGACAGAAATCGACAAGAACGGCCGTCCGGGCGCCATCTAGCTAATCTACAACTTCTACCAAGATAACTATACAGATTTTGGCCCAATAACGCGCACTCACAAACCCGTCTTCGACCAGGAAACAATGCAGCAGCTCCCGGAGATAGGTCGCCTGGTTGAAGGATGCACGACGACCTTCACAGTAGCAAAGATTGCCGAGAACCTAGGGCAGTTAGGAGCAAGGAAGAGCTTCAAAATCGACCTCAAGGAGTTCGATGAGCGACAGCTGGTACGGGTGAAGACATTGGCGGCCGGGCAGGGTCTACATCTTATACGACAGTTCATCAAGGAATAGGTATGTATCCGAAGGGGTGGGATACTTGGTGGAATTCAGAGGCGGGGTTCAAGGGCGAAATTCAACAGCGAAATCGTAGTATGTCCTGCCCCACCGAGTCGTAGTAGATAAATGAAGTTATTTTCTAGTACTTCAACGCCTTCTCTGCTACTGCCTTGTCCGAGGGCCCCAATTAGCCATCGAAGCGAAATTACCAGGTTTGAAATTAGGTTCTGGGAAGAAGTCTGATCACCGTTTACCAGAGGCGGGAACCATCTCCTTCCCGGCAAGCATAACAAAGCTGTCCTCATCATTAACGTACTTGGGAAAAGCATCCACCGTCTTGCGTTCAAGCGAGGGCAGTTCGACTAAATCCCAACCCAGGCCAAAGGCGCCATTTCCGTCGCAGGCCAGGTGTGACGGCAGTCAATAGCAACTAGGAAGAGGATCGCTACTATAGCTATATGTCACGCGCATTCACAGGGCAACGGAAGTGAAGTATTTGATGCAGGCGACCGGTTGCCAGAAAAATCCGCACACCAAAGCCTGCTACGTGACCCACTGCACTAACAAGCCCCCTAACAATTCTACACTTTTCCATCACACCACGCACCACACCGCTAGTTCTACCATTTCCACCACTTCTACCACTTCCACCACTTCTACCACTTCCACCACTTTTACCACTTCCACCACTTCCACCACTTCTACCACTTCCACCACTTTTACCACTTCCACCACTTTTACCACTTCCACCACTTTTACCACTTCCACCACTTTTACCACTTCCACCACTTTTACCACTTCCACCACTTTTACCACTTCCACCACTTTTACCACTTCCACCACTTCCACCACTTCCACCACTTCTACCACTTCCACCACTTTTACCACTTCCACCACTTCTACCACTTCCACCACTTCCACCACTTCCACCACTTCTACCACTTCCACCACTTCCACCACTTCCACCACTTCTACCACTTCCACCACTTCCATGGCTCTTGGTGATACGCACTTTACTACGCCTATCAAGGCACAAGTTCTTGGCGCCATTCGCTTTCTGGAAGGCCATAAGATTCCACACATAAGAACGATGTTTTCAGCTCTTTTGGTGTAAGCCGCTAGTCAGGCTAGCAGATCCTGCACAACGCGCGCAAACAGCAGCACCCAGAGGTGGAATCCAGGGGCCGGAAGCCGGTCCTTACGCCAGCCAATTTGCTACCAATAGAAAGCATTATCTGGCAATACGGTTTCCAAGCCCGGGCACTAAGCTGGCAAGGCCTTGCCAAAGCCGCCGGCATCTTGACGCCAGTTTCTACACGCACGATCGAGAGGGCAATGGGTACACTAGACTACCGGAAGTGTATTGCTTGCGAGAAGGGCTTTGTCTCGCCAGCGCACGCCAAGCGAAGGATAGAAGCAGCCAAGCTTTCACTTTCCTATCGCCCTTTGCCTGAGAACTGGCGCGATATAAGATGGTCAGATGACTCTCACTTTGGTATATGCCCTGAAGGGAAGGTCCTGATTATACGGAAGCCTGGAGAGCGTTACTGCCCTGACTGTATCCATCATGCTGAAAAACCTTCTACAGGTATTGAACGATACCATGTTTGGGCTGCTGTTAGCTGGAACTTCAAGTCGCCACTTCACTTCTATAGTGTTCCTACCAACACCAACGGAAAGATGTCCTTAGCTGTATATCGCGATATCTTGGAAGAAGTGGTAGGTCCTTGGCTGGCACGTGGGGATTCTTTTGTTCTGGAAGAAGATGGGGATTCTGGCCATGGTGGAGGAAAGAAGCCTAATATTGTAAGGCAGTGGAAGGAAGAACACCAGCTCAAGCACTATTTTAATACGCCTGGCTCACCAGACCTTTCGCCCATAGAAAACTGTTGGCGTGCAGTAAAACAATTCGTACGTGCACACTATACTATAGGAGCTGACTTGAAGGCACTGATTTTGGAAGGCTGGGAGCGTGTAAGTCAGGAGAGCATCAATAAGATGGTGGATTCTATGGTAGTGCGGATGGAAGATGTGTTAGCCGGCCAGGGTCAGATGACTGGGTGGTAGAAGGCCCTGTGGTGACTTGCTTGTAGGTAGGAATTTCTATGGCAGTGGAAGTACTGTGCGGGGTCTGGTGTGCTGGTTTTTTTGGCAACCGCTTGGCAGGGAGGTAAGGCTTAAATTGTCTGAAAAGGTCTAATCTCTTGTTTCCTTTGGCAGGGCCAAAAGTCTCTTTTTTATAGTTATGAATAGTGGCAAAAGCTGGTGGCAAAGAATCACATAGCAGCTTCTAGATCTTTCTTACTCACTAATCCCAATATTGTGACACTATACCATTGTCTAAGGATTCTAAGGTGAAGAAGAAAGAAAGGAAAATCTACAAACGTGCTGTTCAGGGTGCAGGTGTGAGGTGGGAGCTGGGGCGCGCAGTCCAACCCACGGGAGAAAGACAATGCCCCGAGAGAAAGACAACGCCCCCGAGAAAGAAAACGCCCCCTGGCCTTGTTTGTTGTGCAACCCCCCTCTGCCCTCCCTCTTCTGCCCTCCTGGTAACCTGTTCCATCCATCTGTCTGTCTCTGGCTATCTGTCTATCCCACATCTCATGGATGGATGAAAAGACGGCCAGGCGTCAATCTACTTGGAGAAGAGGTAACGCAGCTCTGTCCATGCTGTTCTGTCTGTTGTTGTCTGTGTATTGGCTGTCTGCTGTGGCTCTCTGGCTCTTTGTCCAACCCCTGAGAGAAGTACAGCGCCCCCTGCCTTGGTTTGGAATTCCTCTAACCCCCTATTGATCTGTTCCATCCATCCATCCATCTGTCTGTCTGTCTGTCTGTCTGTTTGTCTGTCTGTTTGTCTGTCTGTCTGTGGCCCACTTGATCCAGCAACGCAGGTTGTCCGTGCTGTTCTGTCTGTTGTTGCTTATCTATCTATCTGGTTCTCTGTCCAACCCCGAGAGAAAGACAACGCTCCTTGGCCTTGTGTTATTGTGCAACCCCTCTGCCCTCCCTCCTCTACCCCTCTTGGTAATCTGTTTCATCCATTTGTTTGTCTGTCTGTTTGTGACTAACTTGATCAGGCACGCAGGTTTGTCCATGCTGTTCTATTGTTGTTGTCTATGGATTGTCTGTCTACTCTGGCTCTCTGGCTCTCTGGCTCTTTGTCCAAACCCCGAGGGAAAGACTACGCCCCTTAGCCTTATTTTGTTGTGCAGCTCTTTTACCCTTTTTCCTCTGCTCTCTTGATAATTTGCTCCATTTGTTTGTCTATCTATTTGTCTATCCCACATACCATGGATGGATGACATTTCCGGGTCGGGGCGCCTACGGAACGGAACTGCAAGCCGCCCAGTGCTTGGCTTCGACGCCTTCTATTCGAGCAGGCTGCGTCGACGCGACGACGATGCTGCACGTCACTCTAGAGGCCAATGGCTACTTGGAAAAAATGCGGGCGTGGGTGGCCGACCACGATATCGACGATCCAGAGAACACTCAGATTACTGTTGCCGTGGCTCGAGGCATTCTTATTGAGTCCCAAGGCCCCAATTAGTTGTATGCCACTGCATCGGAGCACCTGATCTTGTACCAGTACAACTTCGTCAACGCTTCCAACACCATTGCCGGCATCATCCAGACGGAGTCGCCTTACTATCAGGCTACCGAGGCCACGCAGTCTCCCGGTTCCTTCAACACCTCCAGCCCGTATACCGGCGACCCCGTATTCCCCGACAGCAGCTGCAAGGGCACTGATCTACTGTGCAACATCGGCTGGGCGGCGATGATGCAGAGCACCACCAACGTCACCATCGCAGGCGCCGGTCTGTATTCCTGGTTTGACAACTACAACGAGGCTTGTGTCGACACCCAAAACTTCCAAGAGCGAATGGTCTATGATGACGGGAACAGCGGCGGCTTCTTTCTCTGGAATCTCGTCACTATCGGCTCCGTAGAGATGATCAGCGGACCCGACACTGCCATCACGGCGAAGCCCAACACACAGACTTCCGGACATCCATTTTGGAGCGCGCTGGCTGGATACCTAGACGGGGCGAATCCCGTGCTGCTCAGTTGTACCGATGACGATACGAGCGCTGCATGCATGACGTCGTCCGAGTGCGATTTGACCAAGAGCTACGCCACCATGGCAGACCTGAACACCGCATCGGCATCGTTCCCGAACCAGTGCATGAACTACTACGCCATTGACACGCTCGGAAGAGTCCTAAACGACACAATGGCCGACTATAGCCACGTCAACAACGGCTACGACGAGGTGTTTGGCCACTACCAATCCTACACGAAGGAGATGATCCCCTCCATGATCCAAGATTACATGGCACCGTCCACATCAAGCAACGTCCAAGGCGGGCCGGGTAGTCAATTCTTCGACTGCACCGTCGTCGGCTACGACTACAAGAATGTGAATGAACCCCAAGCCGCCAGCAACATTAACGTGCCGAACCCCAAGGACACGATTTCCAAGTCACTGCCGGCCCTTAACACGCTGCAGAACACTATTCTCGCACGGCAGCTGGACCTCTACTACGGGATCTGGAACGGCTCTTTGGTGGATCTCATCTAGAGCTTCTCCATGCCCGTCGTCATGGTCAGCCAAGCAGTAGACGCCATGGCCAGCGCCAAGATTGGGGCGGACTTTAAGAAGGATAACGGCGAGTTTGAGGAAACGGTCAGTCCGAGATGCGGGATCTACAGTGCAGCAACAGAAGTGGATGTGGTTAAGATCGCAGGAACGAGGTATGTCTATGAAGGTGAAGTACCTAGGTTGGTTACACAGGCTATAAAAGGTGCGGAACAGTCTAGTTGTAGTCTTTGGGGCGATAAGATCTTTGGGATAATAAGATCTTTGGGGTGATAAAATCTTTGAGATAATAAGATCTTTGGGGTGATAAGATTTTTGGGATAATAAGATCTTTGGGGCGATAAGATCTTTGGGATAATAAGACGCTTGTGCGACCCCGTACTACAGCCGGCAGCCGCGGGTAGTGTGTTAGTGATTATATTGTGCGGGACGGGTTGATATCCGGGCAGCCCACTTTAGTTGCTCCCCCAACACTTTTGTCGTTGCGGCTTTGACGGAGCGGGGATGTGAGGAGTTGCCAGAGGACCCCCCCCCCGCATGCCTGTGAAGGGTTTCCCATAGGCCGGCCGCAATTGTATTGCCGGAATTGGGGAAGAAACCGCCCAACCCCGGCACCCAATCGCACGACTTCAAAGCACCTGAATTACCCGCTGCTGTTGGCCAAGACCAGCCGCTCAGCACGGTAGTTGGCGCTCCGGGCTGGAGCCAGAGTATACATGATGCCGTGAGACCACTGGAGGCGGAACCCAGCGCCAGCACACTCTCGAACTCGTCTCCTGACCCTGAAACCTGATCCGGGATCCAGATCCTGACCATCTGCAACTTCACGCACCCAGACAGCACCATGTCGACCACGCTCCCGGAATCCTATCCGGACCCCGAGTACGAGGCGGCGCACGTGGCCACGTACGAGCGGGTGCCGCGACACCCCATCAAGCCCGCCTTCCCGCCGGGAGTGCGCGAGGCCGACTTTGCGCAGGCGGTCCAGGAGTTCATCGCCATCGTCGGCCAGGACGCCGTATTCGTCGGCGAGGGGCTGTCCGACTACATCGACCCGTATGACATAAACGAGGCCGACGAGAGCAAGAGAAAGGTGCCGAGCGCGGCAGTCTGGTGAGCAAATACGCGCGAGTAGCATTATTAGCGGCTCGGCTGACGGCAGCAGCCCCCAGTCGACGGACCGCCTCAAGGCTATGCTAGGCGTGGCCAACAAGTATGCCATCCCGCTGTGGACCTTCTCGCGGGGCAAGAACCTCGGCTACGGCGGGCCGGCGCCGCGCGTCAACGGGTCCGTGGCGCTCGACCTGCACCGCATGAACAAGATCATCGAGGTCAACGACCACTTCCACTACGCCGTCGTCGAGCCCGGCGTCACCTTCATCGACCTGTACAACTACTGCGTTGAGCACAAGAAGAACGTGTGGCCCAGCACGGCGTCGCTGGGCTGGGGCAGCGTCATGGGCAATGTGCGTCCCCCCGGCCTTGTCGAGGTGGCAAGCTAGTACTGACAGACGCAGACGCTGGACCGCGGCATGGGGTTCGGGGCCAACTTTGCGCACCACCAGGCCATGGCGGGGCTCGAGGTGATGCTGGCGGACGGCGACGTGGTGCGGACGGGGCAGTTCGGCATCTCCAACTCGCCGTCAGCGTTCCTGTCCAAGTTCAGCTTCGGCCCGTCGGTCGAGGGCCTGTTCCTGCAGAGCAACCTAGGCGTCGTGACCAAACTGAGCCTGTGGCTGACGCCGCAGCCCCAGGCCTTCATGTCGTGCGCATTCAGCATGCCCGCCTTTGACGACCTCGAGGTCATGGTCGACGTGTTCGGCGAGCTGCGCCGCAACGGCACCATCAACAACGTCGTGTGGTTCACGAGCCTGATCGAGACGCTGTGCATTTCCGGGCGTCGCGAGGACTACTGGAAGGGCGAGGGCCCCGTGCCCGACTGGCGCCTCGAGGAGCTGCGCGTCGAGACGGGTTTCGGGCACTGGTACGCGCGGTGGGGGCTCTACGGGCCCAGGCGCGTGGTGCAGGCGCAGTTCGACGAGGTCAAGGCGGTGCTGGCGGAGCGGGCACCGACGGGCGAGATCACGGGCACGCTGTACGACGACGACGCCGGGGTGGACGCGGCGGCGGTGCCGCCCGAGCACGGCAGCATGTTTGTGGGGGTGCCGCAGCTGTGGAGCCTGCCGCTGATCAACTGGCCCATCCCCAAGGACCGCGTGGGCAAGGCGGCGCACGGCGACTACGCGCCCGTCATCCCGTCGTCGGGCAAGATGGTGCTCGAGTGGATGAGGGCTAGCAAGCCCGTGTGCGAGGCCAACGGCGTCGAGCTGATGGCTGATTTCTTCATGCACGAGCGCCATGTCGTGTTGATGAACATGTTCACGTGGGACCAGACGGATCCCAAGCAAAAGGACAACATGAACAAGCTGTACTACGGCCTGCACGAGGTGGCCAAGGCGAGGGGGTACGGCATGTACCGCGCCCACGTCAACCACATGGGTACGTTGGTGTCGGTGTCGGGACTGCGGGTGGGCCTGGCTGACTTTGGCTGCAGATCTCATCGCGAACCTCAACGACTTCAACGGCCACGCCTACAACCGCTTCGTCGAGAAGATCAAGGTAAGACAGGTCCATGCTGGCGGGACCGGTTAGGAGCTGACTTCGACAGGACGCCCTCGACCCGAACGGCATCCTAGCGCCAGGAAAGCAGGGTATCTGGCCCAACAGGTTCCGCCATTTACGGGAAACCCAGGAGGCGGACCCGAAGTGAGCGGCAAGCGCGTCAAGGTGAGGGGGAACTGGATGTCGGCGTATTTGAGGTGCTGTTTAAGATTCAAATGGCGGGGCCTGGTGTCGTTGTCCGCCGATTCTAGTGGTTTGGATCTGGCAAGCCTGATGTGGTCTGCCGGCCGGCAGTAGTCGGTCAGAGTCGAGTTATGTTGCTCTCCAGGCCACGAGGAGCGGGAGAAGACACTTTCCAAGCTCCGGCGAGACAGCGCATTCCTCTCACGCAATCTCTGCCCGCGCAATCTCTGCCTGGTGAAGAAACACCGTGCTCTTAACTTGTCGACGGCCGTCCGTGATGTCAAATTTGAGAAAGTAAAGGCGAATGGACGGGACGCCCGCTCAGTAATATTACCTTTTATTGTATTTACCCGCGTATATGATCTTCTCTCCACTGCTACCTCGGATCTAAAACGCTGAAACCCCGTAGCTCGCTCCCGCCAAGGTTTGTCTTACTCTTACGCACCCCGAGTGAGGTTGCCGTACATTGAGCGAGCCGTATACATGTATTCGCCGTCAACCCAAGTCCAACTCACTCGTCTCTCTGCTTGCTCCCGTCTCTCTGCTTGCCCCCAGCATAGCGCAGCCCGGCCATGCTGCCAAACATCAGGTGCCACCGGTCCGAAAGCCACGTCGACCCGATCCGCCACGGCCCGACATCCGCATTTATCGGCAGCTTGTCGAGCGCCGCCACCACGTACGTCGAGCTGAGCGTCAGCAGCGGCTTCTTGGGGAGGCGCTCCCGCTCCTGCGGCGCCAGGTACGGCGTGGCGGACCTGGCGCCGTTGCGCTGCGCCCGCTTCATGACCTTGACCATCTGCAGCGCCCTCACGTCGGCGCCCGGCGTCCAGGTGGCGGCCGTGTAGCCGTGAATGAAGCCGTAGTTGGGCACTCCCTCAATCATGGCCCCGTTCCAGACGTACCGCTGGCCTAGGGTCGAGTCGACGCGCACCCCGTCCACGAACGCCGCCACGCCCGACAGCAGCTCCAGGGTCAGGCCCGTGGCCGTGATGATCATGTCGGTCTCGAGCACCTGACCCGACGCGAGTCTGATCCCCGTCTCGATCACCGTCTCGATGGTGTCGGTCACGACGTCGACGTGCGGCTTGCGCAGCGCCTTGAAGAAGTCGCTGCTGGGGCAGAAGCACAGCCGCTGCGTGAAGGGCGCGTAGCGCGGGTTGAAGTGCTTCTCCACGTCAAAGCCGGCGGGGAGGCGCTTGCGCACGCCGTCAATCAGCTCCCGCCTGCCGTAGTTGGGGAAGCGCAGCAGGATCCCGACCAGGATCGTCTCGAGAAGGATGTGCCACCACCAGTTCAACGCCCCGGCCCAGCGCGCCGGGAGCAGGCTGCGCACGATGGGGATGCCGTCGTCAAAGGCGGGCGCCGACGCTACGTATGACGGGCTGCGCTGCAGCATGGTCACGCTCGCGGCCGTCTTGGCGATCGAGGGCAGCAGCGTCACGGCGGTGGCGCCGGACCCGACGATGACGACGCGCTTCCCGGCGTAGCTGACGCTGCCGTCCCACGACTGCGGGTGCACGACCTCGCCGCCGAAGCTACCGAGGCCACGGATGTCGGGGGGCACGGGCGGCCCGTAGCGGTAGTAGCCGCTGGCGCCGATCAGCCACGACGCGGTGAAGACCTTCTGCTCGACGCTGCCGTCGTCGCGCGCGACCTCGACGTTGACGGTCCACTGCTGCTCGTCGCTGCTCCAGGTCTGGGCGGTGACGCGGTGGCGGAAGAGGATCTTCTTGTCGATGCCCTGCGCGGCCGCCGCGTCCTCCATGTACTCCTTGATGACGTGGCCCTCGGGCATGTTAGTGCGGTGCGGCCACGGGTGCCAGGCGAAGCGGAAGACGGCGATGGAGCTGTCGGTGCGGAAGCCCGGGTAGCGCCAAAAGTCCCAGGTGCCGCCTATGGCGTCGCGCGACTCGAACACGGCAAACGACCGGCCCGGCAGCTGCGTCTGCAGCCGATAGGCCGTGTTGATGCCGCTCAGCCCGGCGCCGACGACGAGCACGTCGAAAGCCGTTTCGGATTCCATTTTGCCTGCTGTGGAGACTGGAGTGGTTGTTTTCGACTTGAAAAAATCGTAACGGAACGGGAACTGCGGAGACTGGGGCGACCCCACAAAAACGCCACAAGCGCAACAAAGGGTTTACAATGCGAGCAGTGTTACAATGCGAGCAGTGCGAGCAGTGCGAGCCAACAATCACACGAGAATGAGAAATTTGCCAGCCTGTGCGTAGGTACTCCAGTAAGCACTTGCCTGACGCAGTACGGCGGCATAGGTTTCGTCTGTCTCGATTTGGCCCTTAACGCCGACACCCTAGCTGCTGTGGGCTGTCCGGAGTTGTGACGAGAACCATTCCGTTGGCGGCTGGATTTGCAGCACCGTGCCAAGCATCCGTGTACAGTGCATACATGCACGCCCATGGGTTAGCGAATACACCGCCTGAACAGGACCTGGAATCCGGCCTCCAGAAGCGCGACGGGCCGGACTAGAGACTGCTAGGTTGTCAAGTTCGAACTACTCCGTACTCTGGAATTAGCCCCGGTGTAAGACGATATCGCTGCAGTATCCTAATGTTGTCGCTTGCTAGGTGCTAAGGTGGCTCCAAGCTTATGCTAGAGCGCAAGTTGGTCAGCTATGTCTCCGATTGGATAGCGTCGAACGCCTCGCAACCAAGGTCTTGCGCGTGGGCATGTCTCAAAATTGAGATATTGTCTCCTTTTATTTTCTCTCCTCGTTTTATTTTCGCTCCTCCTTTTACTTGCTCTCCTCTTTTCATTTTCGCTCCTCCTTTCATTTTCGCTCCTCCTTTTATTTTCGCTCCTTTTATTTGCTCTCCTCCTTTTTCTCTTCCATTTCTATCTCGCTTCTCGTTATACCCACCGATTGGGATTACGATGCCGGCCAAATTTCACTTGGTTAATCAATTGTTAAAATCAAGGATTGGATTTTTCCAAGTTCGATATCCCTCAGGATGTACATACCACGTCGTCGTCACTACGGGAGTGGGAGCGGGCTTACTTGAAGATGAGTTAAGACGCGCTAGCTAGGTTAGAACTATCTAGCAGGTAACCAAGGTACCCCGGATTTACACGTTCTAGAGAAACCCATGGAGCGGTAGCCATGATGTTGGCCAGTGACAGCTGACAAGTGAACCGCTAGCTCGGCCTCCTCCCTCTACGTCCCAAACCCAGAGATGAGAGGCTGGGATAGCACGCAAACCTCTGATCGTCGGCATTGGACCCGACGCCGCCAAACACCTGCAACATCCCCTTGGGGTCCACCTCGCCCTTGACGCGCGACAGACGGGCGTAGTTCTCTCGGCCCCAAAAGGCAGCCACAGGGTCCGGCTCGTACGTGTCGCCCTCGTTCAGATACGCGCCGCCGCCTGGGGTGATGGCACGCAATGGGTCCATTGCGGTGGTCACGGCGCGGTACTTGGTGGCGACGGCCGCCGGCGTGAGGCTGCTGTCAGCCGGGTCCCACGCCGTGGAGAAGATGACGTGCCACGTGCAGCGGCGCCAGGCGGGCGCAACGGCGCTGTCGCTGTCGGGGAGCTGGCTGGCCGGCGGCGGCGCCACCATGAGCACCATCATGCTCAGCTTGGGGTCCGTTGGCACGGGGCTGCTGGCCATGGCGGCAATCAGCGTGTCAGTCAGGAGCGTCTGGTTCTCGGCGCCCGCAAACAGCGTCGACGGCACCAGCCGTGAGGCCTGCGCCAGCCCGAAGTTGCCGTACATGGACAGGCTGCCCTTGATCTTGTCCAAATACAGGTCGTAGAAGTTTGGATACGAGGTTAGCACCGGCGTGGCATTGACCGACGCGGCAAAGTCGAGCAGCGGGGCCAGCGCCGCCTTGACCTCGCTCGGATTGAGGTCATGCGGGTTCATGAGCTGCACTGGATACAAGCCTCCCGGTCTGGCGCCCGCTGGGTATGCGTAGCCTCCCCAGCCGGCGGCGGCCCAGGCGTTGGCGTTGGCCACGAGGACGGCCGTGAGGGCGCGCTGCTGCGGGCCGGTCAGGGACGAAAAGACGATGCTCGCCCACTGGACAGGCGTGCCGGGGTGCGCGGCCGTCGTCATCTCCGTGACAACGCCAAAGGTGCCGCCGCCGCCGCCGCGCAGCGCAAAGAAGAGGTCGCGGTTCTGGCAGTGGCTGGCGGTCGCGTACGTGCCGTTGGGCAGCACAACGCGCAGCTGCAGCGCATTGTCGGCTCCGAGTCCATACCGTGGTGACAGCCCGCTATGCCCGCCCCCAGCGATCCACCCTCCCCCGGGCGCCACCCACTCGGACGAGCCACCCGCTACCGTCAAGTTGTGCGTCTTAGCAAACGCAAACACGCCGTCCCAGCCCTCACCAGCCCCAAAGGTGATGCCCGGGCCAACCCCCTCGACGCAGCCGTCAGGGACAAAGTTAGCGTCTAGCGTCAGGGGCTGCCGGTAGTTGTGCATCCAAAGAGCCAGCGAGCCCAGCCCGGCGCTGCGGCCCTTGTAGTCGTGGCCGCTGTTCTTGACGACGACCGGCTTCTTGTTTTCGGCCGCGAACGCAAAGACGGCGGCTATGTCAGACACTTGGCGTACGTCGACGTAGTAGCTGGGGATGTTGCCCTGGTTGCACGGCGTGCTGGCGTTGATGGGCGGGCCCGTCGGCGACGTTGCGCAGCCCGAGTTCGGGCGCTGGCAGACGCCCCAGTTGCCCTGCGCGTAGCCGCTCATCTGGGTGATCAGCCAGTCCATGTCTCTGCGGTGCTGCTCGACCACGCTGCACGCTGCCGGGTCGGGGTCGTGCGGCTGGCTGTTGAAGTTGTCGTGACAGGGCAAGCCGACGGGGGCTCCCGTGTACAGGCGGCCGCCTACTGACTTGTTGAGCCCATCCCAGTCGGGGTTCACGATGCCGAATGGCGAAGCCGGCATGCCATGGTTAGGCACTGCGAGAGGGATCTGAAGGGAGGCACTACACAGCGGGACCGCGACAAGGGCCGTGGCCCGCGAAGCTGAGAGACGCATTGTGGGACCTGTCTAGGGGAACGTGTGTACTGACCTAAAAAGCTTACTCGGTACATGGCTCTATATAAGCACGTCGGGGCTTCATAGCACTGCGCTCTCTCCGCCGTGAGATGAGCTATGAGGTGAGCTGTGAGCGTGAGCTGGGTGTGGGCTGTGGCGTAAATATTGGGTAGCTGAATGTCCCAATCCGGCTTTGCACCGCCAGGCCTGGCCTGGGCGCCAATACAAGCCAGCTGGTAATTTCGCTTCTATAATTTGTGGGAGCTTCATGGAATAGTTGAGCCGGCCGAGCAAGTAACGGCTGCAAGAACGCAGGCCAGTCAATCCCCGTAGTGCAGGGTGGGTTCAGGAATGCATCTTCATAGATTAGTACCCAGAATGGGCCTGGCCGTTACAGGAGAGGCCAGGTCAGAACTCTAAGTTAACACCGTCTTACAGCTTTCTCACGCTAAGCTGCCATCTGATCACTGATTTTTATGGTCCGGCGAGCGCCGCTGTCTAGCTTGCACTGTTGCAAGTATTCGGCCAATTGGCGTTACAGAAACAGCCCAGAACACCTATATCTACACGTACACCAAACACGGCCCTAGTCGGTCGACCGAACACGCCCCCAGGCGTTGGGCCCCTTGGGCTTGTTGTCCAGCACGGCCTCAATCTCGGCCAGGATCTCGGGCGTCAGCTTGTCAATCAGCGGCAGCGCCTTGAGGTTGTCGAGCACTTGGTCGACCTTGGTAGCCCCCAGGATGACGGTGCTGACGTTGGGGTTCTTAGCGGCCCAGGCCAGGGCCAGGTGCGCGACCTTGGCGTCGAGGCGCTCGGCAATGGCCGTCAGCTTGCGCACCTTCTCGATCTTGGCCTGGCCCTCGTCGCTCTGCAGCTGCTTGATGGTGCCCTCGAAGAAGGCCTTGTTGGTGGCGAAGCGCGAGTCCTCGGGGATGCCGTCGTTGTACTTGCCCGTCAGCAGGCCGCTGGCCAGCGGGGACCAGATGGTGGTGCCGTAGCCCCACTGCCGGAAGAGCGGCTCGTACTCGACCTCGAAGCGCTCGCGGTGGAAGGCGTTGTACTGCGGCTGCTCGGCCGACGGCGCGATCAGGTGGTGCTTCTCGGCCAGCAGCGTGGCCTCGGTGATCTGGGCCGCGCTCCACTCCGAGGTACCCCAATAGTAGGCCAGGTTCAGGTTGCGGATGACCTGGGTGAAGGCCTCGACGATCTCGAGCATGGGCGTCGCCGGGTCGGGGCGGTGGGCGAAGACGATGTCGACATAGGGCGTCTGCAGCCGCGCCAGCGACGATTTGAGGCCTTCGACGATGTGCTTGCGGCTCAGGCCGCGCGTGTTGGGCTCCTTGCGCCCAGTGCCGAAGAAGATCTTGGTCGTCAGCACGTACTCGTCGCGTGGCCAAGCGAGCTCCTTGAGGGCCTGGCCCATCTCGACCTCGGACGCGCCGTTCGAGTACGTCTCAGCCGAGTCGAAGGTTTGCTGCGCACGTCAGCTCCGTCAGCGATAAGGGGGGTTTACGACTTGGTCGAGGACTTGGTCGGGGACTTGGTCGGGGACTTACGATGCCATGGTCCCAGGCCGTCTGCATGAGCTCCTTGACGATGGAGCCCTTCTGGGTCCCGCCAATTGTGAGCCAGCCGCCGTACGAGAAGAGCGACACCTGCAGGCCCGTGTTTCCCAGGTAGCGAAACTTCATACCCTTGGGCTCGTACGCCGTGGGAACAATCGGTGCGGCCATGGCGGATGCTGAATGGCTCAATCTGTTCAGGCTTGGATGCGTGCGTCTCGGGCTGGCGAGAGGCGTGAGTTTACGAAATCGGGCGTTCAAAGAGCTAGGGTGCAGAGCTGCGCGATTCATGAGCTGCGCGATTCATGAGGAGGTCGCACCTTTTATTGTGCCATAGCTACCTATGGCACCTATTAATAATAATGCGCCAGTGGTCAAGTCCCGCGTCGGCTCGTTCTTGCCGTTCTGCGGAAGAGCTTGCCCGCGCAAAGTGGAGAAGAGGGATCGCAACAGGCAGTCCACCTGTGACGACATGCACTGGTCCCCGTCATCGGCCTCTGCGGATTGGTAAGTGAGTACCTAGGTCAGACCCCGCGGGATGCGGCGCCAGCGTCTTAAACCAAACCCTTTGGAGATGCATGAGTGGGGTCCAGTTTGGGTCCGAGTTTGAGCGTCTGTCTGAGAAGAGCCACTGACGGCGGCTAATAAAGCAGCGGGTGATTGTCGGCGATTACGGCTTTGCGAGTGCCTCGAACTGCTGCATCTGTTCCAATTGACGGGTTTAGGCTAGGCTCAGCTCAGGGACTTGTGTAAGGGCTTGTGCAAGGGCGACAGTTACACCGCAGGACGTAATATGTATCTGCATCTTTATTGCATCGACCTTCTTGGCGGCCACTACAATAGCATACCATGCGTTCGGATCTATAGCCAGACTGCCGTAGGGTGGTATGCCTTTGCCGTGAAACAATCGCCATAGATCACAGCCGGCCGAGCTAATTACTCGAGCCGGCCTGAAATCCGAAGTAATTATCGATTGACAGACTCAGCCAGAGATGCCGACTCATCAAACATATCTCCTTCATAGCAGGAAGCCCCATGGCTACCTCTCCAGCCGCTCATCCTAGACCTAAGCCTGAACAACCTCCACAATTGCTAAACCTGAGGTGTTCACAGAGAAAGCGTCTCGTTAGGCTTGCGTAGAATCATAGGCCTGCCTTCTCCATGGCATTGGTCATGCTTCGAGTTGCTGCCTCATCCCACGACGCCCCCCGCGTGACTGCATGCTTGGGGGAGATGACTACATCCCCTGGTAATTGTTGGCACGGTCCTTTTCCTTACAAAAACGAGCATCATGGAGTAACCCAGCCAAGTCTTTGCTGGACATTCAAAGCAGGGAGATGCCTCTATCATCGTGGGCTCTGAAACTCACAGCCAGGAAACTTTCAACGCGAGTCGTAAACGGGTAAGGCCTTTGTGTCCTGAAACCCAAGTCGGCGCTGACAAAGATACAAAGTGTCGACTGTACGCCAGATTAACGAGACTCCAGGCACAGCCGTTTCATCCCTTGCTTTGAGGGCTCTTCAGTCCCTCCCAGCAGCATTTGGCTGGCATTGGCAACAGGAGCAAATCCAGACGGGACATGCCCTGCAACCGACTCTGGCCGTCACTGTCCACCAAATTAGCGATCCACATAGCAGTTAAACACCCGCACTTGGGAACACAAAATTCTGGATTGGCGTTGAAAGGGTTTGGACAGCTACGGTGAGGTGAAAGTCTTGCTGTCTTATTATCTGAGGCTAACAAGCTTATGCCAGGCAACTGTAGCCTTCTTAATCCTTGCCAGATGCACGTCTCAGTGTAGGTTACAAGGCCCGCTTAACTATTATCTCATGGAATCCTCTTCACAGCTACAGCCACCTAAAAGCTGGAGTTGTTTAACTGGTTTTAGTGCCGCAGACGTCAATTGCAATGCATCTTCGCTACAATACAGGTACTTAGTATTACAGGTACTTAGTATGGGTCTGTTTATCGGGGCACGTTCGCCCCAAAAGGGAAATATAGCTAGCATTTCGATCGGAGTTGATTAAGATTTATGAGAAGAACTGTCACCTTTTAGCCCACACTTGCTCCTAATATACTGAACCTCTAAATGACTCGCTCTGCAGGGCTGTGGCTGATGCTGCCTGACACCTGGTGTGTCCGCGGCTCCCAAGCAAGCAACAATACAACCCACCCAGGGCGAACCTAGACAGAAAGAAACAACAAAGCAGAAGAGAGCACAACAGCTAGGACATTGTCAAGAGAGTGAAACTTCTCAATTATACACTCGATCGAACAAATGAGCCAACATGACACCACCAGATGAGAATATCTACCTACCTACCGACTGAACAAGACTTCAAGTTCGCGATGACGGAGCACGTGAAGACAGCACCGCAGCACTAACTTTGGCACTGGCAAAGTCCGATGCAGCGTTTGAGCCTAGGCTGTAAAGCACTAATAGCAGATATCACACGCAAATTGATCAACAGGCGTTGATCTCCAAGGCCTCAAGGCGTGTGCCGCGGCGAAACAGCAAACACCACGATAAGAAAGCGGCAGAGAAAGCTACAGAGGATGTCATTGCCCAGGGAGTAAGTCAAAGCATGATCCAAGCACCAGAAAGGACCCAACATTGCAGTTGCGTATCTGAGGGCGAGACGAAGTGACAGAATGAGACGCCAACCACAGCAAACGGTCCGAGAATGCGGATCGCACCGAGTTTCTTCTTACCATGACAACAAGGCCGGCAGGTTAGACATTAAACATTAAAGTGCAAAGGTCAGGTCAGGAAGAGCAACAATAATAGAGTAGCAGCGAGCAATAAGCGTAGCAACGGGTGTGAGGGGGCGGAGTCGATGTTGTGTGCCGGGCAGCTGGGAATAGCTTCACACTGCCCCACATGCCACACGCGGGCCCCATTGGACAAGGATCACCAAGACCGCTGCACTCGCAACGGGATTCACGGCATCAGCTGTATCCAGAAATTAGAATCAATATAAAGCAACGCGTATGTACAGTCGTAGGACATATGTACAGAGGGTATCGGTAGGCCTATCCACCAAATCTCCAGAACGCCAAAACACCACGCTTCAACGACTTTCATCACGCCTCCGCCCTCTGGGTCGCAAACGCACCCCTTCGGACAACATCTTTTGAATGCGCGTCGCCGGCTCGCCAAATCTCCTCCTCCTCTGCATCGGACTGCAGTCTCTCCTCCTGAGCCTCGCTGGGTGTGCCAGGAACGCTGAGCTCCGGGGGTCGCGATGGCTGGCCAGGACGTCATCAAGATCTTGTTCGTGCAGCGGGAGCGGGCGAGACGGCGACACACTTCGGTGGCGTCGGTGAGGTAGCGATGGCTTCGCCTCGAAGAACGATGATGCCTGGCGCTCGGGTTTCGGCGTGGGCGTCTCAGACTCCAGAACATCCGCCGCAGGCTGACGAGCTGCTTTATGTGGCTCGTCGCGCACCACGTCGGCATTTTCAACAGCGGCAAAGGTGCTCTCTAACATGTCTGAGACGGATGTTGCGGGCGAGTCGGCGCCGAAAGGCTGTGGTGCGTCTTCATCGTGGTGATGGTGGGAGTCGCCTAGATCACAGCAATCCGGTTCCGACTCGGAGAAGGAGAGCGTGCGAGGAGGCGTCAGGGTGTCGAGAATGTAGTCGTGGTGATTGAGGGGTGAGGCCACCGACGAGTCGGAGCCCATGGTCATGGAGCGAGGAGAGGGAGGCAGGTGAGACTTATAAGAAGTGGGCATGTCGAGGGGTTCATCGGTGAACCCATCGGCATCATCGCCAAAGAAGGACCCGTGAGAGTGCGTGAGCGAGTCGATGCTGCTCCCGTTCTCGGACGCCGAGTCATCCTTGTGCCAGTGATGATCCTGGGGGAGGTAGGATGCAAAGTAGCGGACAAGGGAGTCGAGAGACTTGGTCCGGAACAGCTGCACGGCGTACTGCCACTGATCAGTGCCGATGAGGGAGGGATTCGCGATTATCTCGAAGGCAGCCGACTCGAGCGACTCGTTGAGTTCGCGCAGACGCTGTTGCTTTCGGTCTTGTAGGAGGCGATGGAACTCGTCGGCGTCGACGGCTTCCTGAGAAATCTCGTACACATCGTGGTGGAAGGCCTCGGGGTCCTGGATCGGAGAGGCGATCGTGTTGTACTGGTCCTGGAGCTTGCCGAAATCGTCCTTCTTCAGGCCGAATTTCCAATAGGGCCAGTTCCAACGAGGATCTTCAAGGTCGTCATCCATCCTCAGGTCAACGTCGACGGGGAATCGTGGGGTGCAATGTCTTTCGCGGGGCCCTGCGGGTCCCAAGAGAGGAAGAGCAACGAGAGCGGTGGGGACGGGGTCGGTTAGGGAGTCGGGAGAGGAACCAAAATCGAGAACCGGTTACAGGGGGCGTTTGCTGAGAGTTGGAGTTTTGGGGCTTGCAGCCATCTAGTAACCGCCTATAGCGAATGCCATCGTCCTAGGTAGTGGTTCGGTGGTGCTCGCTGTAGATGTGAGGTCGTGGGAGCGTGGTGGAGTGGCAATGGCAGGTGAGGGCAGAGCGGTGTCGAGGTCAAGAGAGACTGTCGCGGAAGGGGGCGTTGACCACCGTGGGCCAAGGGTTGGGGACGGCCAGGTGTCTGGAAACCCGAGCTGGAACGAGGCCGACAGGGTGGGCGGTGCCATGGACGCCCAAAACAGCCGGACGTGCTGGAAGCCTGGCTTTCCAGGCCGCAACGTGTGTCCCGATGAGCCGCAGCCAATAGAAGCAGCAGAACACGACGGGGCTCGGACCAGTGTGGAACACGAGGCGGGTCTGCGCCAGCCGCTAATGCATTACCCTGTGCAGGAGCCAATCAGAGCTGCATGCAGCCTGCAGGTCTGGCCAATCGCGTTGCAAGTGCCGACCGTCTCTGAGTGTGCCGCAGCCAATTTTCATGGTTTTCGTCATGCCAAGCGACGCAAACCGGCTGAAGGCGTGCGTGCATCAATTTGCCAAATCCTCACAGCAATCCTCCCACAACTAGAAGCACGCCACCCTCGGATTTCCTGCGGGTTTTTGTCAAAATCCAAATCATCGAAACCATTGGAAATCATCGAAATCATCGGAATCAACGGGAACCACCGTCGCCTCCACCGGCAGGAGCGAACACTAGTTCCATTTCTGACCGTGCCGCCTCGGCTTTCTTCGCATGTGAAAGACCACTGCGACAGCGGTTATAAAAGATCTTCTGTCTGCTGAGGCCTCGACGCGCGACAACGCGCGAAACGAATGGCATGGTCAGCAGGGCAGACGGTGCAGCAAAAGGCCGCCGATGACCTGGCGGTGGCCAAAGAGGCGTGAGCCTAGCGACAGAGCAACCCTGGACGTCAGCACTGAATGACCTATTCCTGTTTTGGTGTGACCCCCTTGTCATGGCGGATCACGATGGCTCGGGCAACAGATGGTTGGGCGTGCAGCGCCGACAGCGCCGACAGCGCCGACAGCGCGAGCCCTAAGACTCCTGACAGATCTGCCAGCTGAAGCAGCCGACAAGCAGCCGACACGCAGCCGACACGCAGCCGACAGAGGCTGCCACTGCTTCCGCCTTGGCCAGCTGGCAATCGTCCAGGCTGTCTGCCAAGTCTGACTAGTGGTCGAACAGGTGCTCCCAGGTGTTACTGCAGTCGTACAGCCTGGGTTCAGGGAACTTCGTGTCCTTAAGACGATCGGGCTCCAGAGCGGGCAGCTGGGCATGCGACGAGCCGTCGTTCACCTGGAGAATCCGGATCTCGGGTCTCTGTCGCCTGGCCGCCGCCTGGGTGATTAGTACGCCGGAGTGACGGGCTTTCCACGATGCCAACATCATCTGGCCGTCGCTAAAAGTCAAGCCTGAGCCTGCCGGGGCACTACGTTAACACGGGAATCACGCCTACGCGGCAAGCGCTACTAGGCACCCGCGGACCGTCCCCTCTGGGCATCTAGACGCTACTAGACTTGTCGGTGACTCTCCATGATCCCGCTGGATGAGGCTGATGCGCCATCAGCAGGGCGCGCTTCCAAACTTCCACACCTCACCGGGTCCATCTGACTCCATCTCCAACGGTCATTCTGCAAGATGGCGCCGTAGCAGAGTAAAGCACTGCGCTGCGGATTGTCTTCTTCTGTCCCTGCTTATTCGGCCTAGGCCCCGTTCCCGTTCTCGCTCCTGTTCCGTCCTCGCTTCGCTTCCCTCGCATGCTTGATCCAGTCGTTTTTGGGGGGATCCTCTAGGCTGCCTCACTCCATTCGTTCGAAACAGCTTCGAAGCCGCCGTGCGCTTTTCTCCATCTGAAGCCTGAGGCGCGTTTACTATTTGCATCATATTTATCTTCCGTCGCTTTTTGCGACCCTATTCGGCGCATCATGGCCGACCAGAAGGATTACCCGTATTCGGAGAAGACGGAGGCCTTCTCGCAGTCGGAAATCGAGGCCCGCATGCAGCTGTCTCGCATGGACGAGTTCAGCGCCGTGAGCGGCGCCGTGTCGCTGGACAACCTTGTGGTGCCGCCGGACGAGGACATTCGCATCCTGATGAGGCCGCTGACGAGGAACCGCTCCGTCAGTCCCGGGACCCAGGACAACTGGAGATGGCTGGCCCTCCACGCCGAGATCGCCGAGAAGGAGCAGTCCCAGCACAAGGTCCTCGCTGTCACCCAGACGTCGAGGGACATCAAGTTTTCTGTCCGCATCCCGGGCGAGCGCCTCGACGACGCGTCTCCTAGGCCGCCACTGTGGTGCGAGCTTTACTACGACCCGACGAGCGACAACCAGATACTTCTCAACCGCTCCGACGTCCCATTCATGCTGTCAAAGGCTTCCCCGCAAACCACGGGCAGCACCTCGGTGGGCTACGAGGTCAATCCTGGCTCCAACAAAGCCCTAGCCCCGGGGACCTGGCGCATCAAGTTCAACGAGTCCGAGGTGCTGGACTTTAGGATCCTGGAGAAGCGCCCGGCGAGGCTCAGGCTTCCCTCGGGCTCGTCTTCCGATCTATCCGCGTTCAGCGAAATGCTAAACTCGGCAGGCAAGAGATGTCTCGAGGACGAGGACGCGCCGCTCAGCCCCGAGAAGAGGCTGCGTCCTTCGCAGAGCGACGAAAAGGACGAGGACGGCGTTATCATGTTTCTCCCGGCCAAGACGAATCCGCTGGTGTTTCCGCTACCCACGGCCGAAAAGGGCAAGGAGCTAGCCACGTCCAACGGCCACCCGCTTCTAGACATACAAGTCGACGAGACCGTCCAGATCCCGGGCGGCTGCGAGCTTGACGAGTATACCCTCACCAAACGAGACCCCATTGCGTCGACCAGCTTGTCCAGCGTGTTTACCGCCGACCATTCCAAGGTGCCCGACAGCGTGATTGTCGTCAAGGTCCTCAAGACCAGGTCACCCGCGGCCTCCCACAGCGACGCGGCAGCGGCCCGGAACGTGATCCACCAGGCCGACATCTGGCTCCGCGAGCTCCAGTACCAGGAAGGCCTCCAGCACAAGAGCATCGTGCGGCTGTACGGGGGCGACGCGCGCTTCCTGTCGCTGTACATGGAGCACGTCGATGCGCGCGACCTGTCGTCGCGAGGCACGTGGCGAGCCGCCGGCGACGTGTTTGCCGGAGACCGGTCCGACGGCCTGCGCATCCTGCGCGACATTGCGAGCGCCCTGCACTACATCCACGACAAGGGCCTGGTGCACAACGACATCAAGCCGGGGAATATCCTGTACAGCAGGGAGCGGGGGGCGGTGCTATGCGACCTCGGTCTCTCGACGCACGCCAAGAACGCCCCCTCGTTTGGCGGCACGCCGTGGTATGTGCCGCCTGAGTTCATCGGTCTAAAGCAGCGCGGTGCGCCGAGCGACGTGTGGGCGTTGGGCGTGACGATGCTCTACGTCCTGGGCAGGCTCACCTTCCCGGATGCCAGAGGACACAGGGCCCACCCGCGGCACCTGCACTGGCTCATCGCCAAGGTCCACGCGAGGGACCGGTCGCAGCAGCCAGAAGCCATTTCGGCCATGCGGCAATGGCTGGCCGAGGTGAACGCCCTGCGCGCCGGGCTGGACACGCATGACAAGCTAGAGCGGCTCATCCACAGCATGCTGGCACCCAACCCCCACCAAAGAGCCACGACGAAGGACATTATCAAGGCGTTTAGCGAGCAGCCAGACAGATGAGCACGGACGTGACGCGGACGGACGCTATTGAGTGTCTGTAATGCTGATTGCTGGTGAACATGGCCAGGCACGGCGGAACATGGCCAGTGAAGCGCTGCAGCTGGGTTGCAGCTGGGTTACACAGTTTGGTGAGTGGTCCAGTTCAGAGTTGTGAGGTTCTGGCTTCGTGATCATGGCTCATATTTCGTTCTGTAGCACGCGCCTCTCCGGCAGAGTTCGCCGACTACTAGACGGTGGTTACCATCGCAATATATACAGTACGATTCATCGCAACGTCGGCCGCTAGAGGCTCATTCCAAACACAAACACTAGCGCCAAGCCGGCGACGGCCGACAGCGAAACTATGTCGACGCTGGCCATCGTGCCGGCGCTCTTTGCTGTCGATGCTTGCTGCACTGGGACATAGGAAACGCCGGGGTCCGTCACGCACTCGCTGTCGCTGAGCGCCGTCGCGTTGGCCCGCAGAGTGACGTCGGCACACTGCATGCATTAGCATCATTACTGCCAAACACCCGCCGCCTAGACTTACATTGTACAAGGCGTTGCCACTCTCGCCCAGCGTCACGACCTGGATAGTCGCCTTGGTGCCGTCGGTCGCGGGCAGATTTGTGGGCAGCGGTAAGCTCTTCACGCAGAGGGTACCGTTTCCTGTCGAGTTCCAGAAGGGGTCCGAGAGCGTGTAGTTGAAGTTGGTCACATTCACGCCGAGCCCCAGGTTGACAAAGATGTATGTCCACGCGTGGTGCAGGTCGAGCTTCAGACTGCCGCCCTTCAATGGCCAGTCGGTTCGGTTGGCGTCTGGAAGGACAGGGGCGCCGGCGCCTGCGGGACATCAGCTACAGCTCAACTACTCGGTCTGGCACTACTCACAGGGCTGCGTCCATTGCGAATAGTTTGTGCTAGAGGAGAGAGTGTTGGCACGCCACGTCGGGTACTCGATGCCGAAGTGGGCACTCGCAAGCTGCGCGCCGGCAGCGGCGACCAGAATGAAGGCTGCAAGAACCATGGTGGAAGCAGGACGCAATGTCAAGTTGTCGTTGAAGATGCGAGTCAGTGCTTGGATCCGTTGAGCGTCTGGTACTTGACGGAGGGAGAGAACGAGGTATCTGCCATCACCAGAGCTTATGTATGTTGGCAGACCCACCTCCCCCCATCAGACTGTGTCCGGTGTTGAGGACGGCTGGTGGGATCTTGGCAAGCGTACCTGTCGCTAGCCCAGCTGCCCAGCCCTCGTGGACCAATCGACAGCGCCAATTGAGCAAGTTTACGTCCGGGAAGCAGGTGCTTGTCGGGAGCAGACATGAGTTTGCCTCGTTGGATGTCGCCAGAAACAATACAATTCACCCCTCTTCCCGCCATCCTGGGACGAGCAAATAAACACCCGGCGCCCAATCACGCTGCACTGAACATTTGCCCTTGCCCGATGCAGCGGGTTGCCAAGGTCTTGGGGGTGGCATTCGAGCGCCACGGGCACAACCGCACGGGCTTGGCGTGCGGTGCAGGCGCGAACGTGGCGGGAAACTTGCTCAAATGGACGCAGTGCACAGTGCAACCTCGGCGATGATGGGGAGAGGGCATGGCCTGGGCTCGTGCAATAGACGGACTCAAGCAGACTTGTAATAATTAGTAGAATATGTTGTCTAGCCTTCCTCGGTCTAGCTGTATTATCACGTCTTTCAGTCTTTTTCGCCTTTCCTCGTTGACTCTCCCAGGTGTTCACCCATGTCAGTGGACATTCACGGTTCCTGGGCCCTCCGCTCTTGTTCCCGCTCGCAGCTCTTTGTTTTTCTTACGTCGTGCCTGCAGCGAGTTGCATGTTCCTGTCTCGGCGAGTCGTTGTCTGTTCGAATCTAGCCTGGCCAAGAACTCATGAGCCGCCGACCAAGCAGGTGTTGACGATTAATTAATAGACGAGAGCCGCGACTTCATCCAACTGCAATCGAAGGTCGGCATTCTCGTACTTCATTCAATAACCGACAGGCCCGGTCTCATAAGACTACACGAGTAGCACAGCGAGGTGTAGTATGAACTGGTCTGATTGAAAAGAATATAGGTTTGAAGAAGTGTATAATACAGTCCACCAATCCGCCGTCTATCGCCGGCCCCCCCTCCCCGCATCTCCACGAAGCGGCCTCTCCTGCTGCGCCGCATGCAGCCATCCCTCCGCTCCTCCAGCCCCCGCCCGTCAGATGTCGTGCTCCGGCCGTTATTCAAACCACAATGCCACGTGCGGCTTCGGCTTCTGCGAGGAGTTGTTCGATGACGGCGTTCAAGTTCGTGGCGCCACCCTGGGCGGCGGCGTCCTTGCCTTTGCCTTGGCCTTTGCCCTTGCCCTTGCCCTTGCCTTTGCCTTTGCCCTTCTTCTTGCCCTTGCCCTTCCCGGCGGCGGTGCCGTTCCCGGCGGCGCCCTGTGTGCCGTTGAGGGCGGCGCTCTCGGTACCGTTGACAACGAGCGCGGTGGCGTTGAGCTTAGAGAAGCCCGCCGCTTCGGCCTCCTCTATCGCTTCGGCATTCTCGGGCGTGGGGCTTCTGAAACGATTTGCCGCCTTGGCGACCCCGGAAGCGTGTCTCGCGGGAATGTGTGCGGCGTAGACGGCGCTGGTGAACAGGAGCGCGGCCACGGCGGCCTGCCGCCAAGAAAACAAAGTCGACGATGACACCATGTTCCCTGATTTTTTTTCCGTCTGTGCCGTAATGGTGTTAAAAATTCAGACGGAAGGAACGAAAGGCTGCAGACTCCAGAGCACAGCAGAAAGAAGTGAAGGAATCTACACAGTAGACTGATGGCCCGCAAGAAATGAACGATGGATGGCAGACAAAAGCAAAAGGCTCTAGAACCAGAATGCCTCTCGGGAGGGGAGACGTCTTATACGAATGCAAACATGTGCACTTGGGGATCACTGCACATCCATGCATAAGGGACACAAACCTTGCCAAGCTTTGGGATCGGCTGCCATGGGAACTCGGCAGCAACAGTCGGGAAGGGCGAGTCAGGTCCAGATGCCCATGTCCCGTTGCACGGGTATCATCAGGGGAGGAGAAACAGCGACGAGACGGACAACGATTGTGAAGGCGCTCGCTGGCTCCCATGCTGCATTAATGATGTGCGCTTGCACCGGTCGCAGAAATCACGCACGCCAGGCCAGGGATTGCGGCGCGGGGGGGGGGGTCGCGGAAGCGGCGCGGATTGGACTGGGTTGGATATTAATAGCCACCGCCGTGGTTCGGCGACGGCGGTACCTGAACTCGGATCCTGGGGGGTGTGGCTGAAACGTGTGCAGCGTCGATCAGATGTTTCTGATCTTCCGAGCTGCCAAGACGAGCGTGCTACGGTCATTACCCCTAGGCCGCACAGTCTCCTTACTGGCCCGCGACCCCGGGAACCAAGCTTCGGCGCGGGACGATGCCGGTATAAATGAGGCGACTGCCCCGCCAGCCCTCTAGGCGACGGCGATCATTCAAAAGTTCTCGAGCGATCCCCTGTGCATCACTTGTCCTTCGACCGGGGCTCTGGCGCCTGTCGAGAGATATGGCTTGTCGTACCGCCAGTTGGCCAGTGCGAGCAGAGGGATCGGGGAGGGGTTCGACGTCCGTTTCAGAATTGTCGAGGCGTTAGTCATCACGCCGCTCCGCGACCATATCAGGACACGCCGAGATGGCCATGCTCGCTGGCATTGGATGGAGAGGCAGCAAATGGCAGGCGTTGTTTTCAGCCTGACAAGCCAGCCAAGCCATCTTTGACCGATGATTCAGTCCGGGCGTTGAAGTTGCCGGGAGGTGGCCAGCTCGACGCAATCTGGAGAGCAGGGGTCGACCTGAACTAAGAACGTCCATGGAAAACAATAATGGTTTGGGAGTGATGCATGCTCAAATATACAGATACAAGATACTCATTGTTATAGAGTGCACCCCATACTGCCGAGGCGTTGACTTTCCTCGCCTCAGAATCAGCCTGATGCCGTGACTATCCAAAGCAACCAGATCTTGAACTCGCAGGAGAACCGCGCCTCGGTAACGACGAGGTTGCCAAGGCACTGGGACGGGTGCAGTCCAACTGGGCACTCACGGGCGAGCAGCAGACTGGAGTTGGAGTCGGCACGCCGCAACTCACGCAGACAGGAAATCTGCCCAAAACTCACTCTCAACCGTCTGCATGGACGCCCGTCAGCAGACCAAGCGGCGGGCTGCATGCTGATCTAATATCCTGCTAAGACACTGGTGGGCACTGGTGCACTGGTGCGGAGGGGTTTGACTGTACGAGATATCCGTGCCATGATATCAGGAACCGACATGGACATGTCAGTAGGCGCAATGATGTGCTAGATTTCCCAGATGCAAGACATCCCAGAGCTAAACTTGATGAACCACCGCGCCACGCTCGCCTAACATGCTTCATATCGCTTGTTGCTACCAATTTTGGAAGGGTCCAACGCCGTCCCGGAAAAAATCGCTAACCTCAGGTCTTGGGCCTCAGCCATCGCGGGCAGACGGTCTTGGGCCTCTGCATCACGGGCGGACGGTTCCCGTCAGGAACTGTTGGCTCTTCTTACGCACCCCCATGATGCGCAGTCGTCTCCGCTCACCCACGTCTTCGCCCGGCCATTCGGGATAAACGCGTTTGCCGTCGACGTTGATAAGGAACTCGAAGTATGGTACGCGCCGGTACATGCGGTTCACTAGGAGCAGCTTGGCGAGCCGCGCCCCAATCTCGCCGCTGTGCGCCATGTCGTCCTGGAGCACGTTGTCGTTGTTGTCTCGCATCTCTACGGACCGCCACTCGCCCGACCGCATGAGCTCCTGGCTGCAGGAATCCGTCTTCATCTCGTGATGCTGCTTGTGGTCCACCTGAAACATCGTTAGCTGCCGCGTGAAACAGAGGGCACGGATGGGAGAGGAGAAACTCACCCGGACAAAATTGTCTTGCCGGAGAATGGACCACGCCTTGGTCAGAGTGCCCGAAAGCCATCGTAGGTCATAGATTATGATCTCGATGCACCGATTCTCCACGCTGAAGAAGCGCTCGCACAGAGCCGGATTGTACTTTTTCAGAAATGTGGCAATGCCGTCGCAGAGGCGGTAGCTGTTCGGGTCCGTGTTCTCGCCAAAGTAGCGCGTGTCGATGATGTGCGGGAAGCCCAGGCGGCGGCGATCGGGGAAGTCGGGAATTCGGCAGTCGACAAAGAGGGCCGGCTCAGGCGCGGCACGAAGAGGCGGCTGGAGGGCAGGGATGCGCTGCAAGCTCGAACGAGCTGGGAACGCAGAGTCAGTTCTAGCGGCACGCTTCAGGCTGGTCGTTGCGAGAGCAGAGATGGATTTAGACGAGTGTCGGAGTGTGCCGGTCTCGTGGGCCGCCGTACGCAAGGTTTGCTTAGCTTGGTGCGCACCACCAGCGTAGCCTCGTATAGTCGGCTCGTCGCAGGGTTCCTGTGAGTTGAAGAGAAAGCCAAAACCGTGAACTGGGCTCCGATCCCTGGGCACTTCGCGGCTAGGCTTGACAGTTTTGGTGGACTCGGAGCTCGACGACTTTGAGGGACTTGCGGGGGTAAAGCTCGGCGTGGTGTCGATATCGGCGTCATAGGGCATCAAGCCATCCTCAGCGCTAGGCGACGACGAAGTCCACGACAGCGAGTCCGACGACGTCGATTCCAGGTCTGCCGATTTCTCGCGACCCTGCGTGTCTTCCATGGCGGCTGCGTGTCGCTGGAGGTGCTGCCGAGCTACGAAGCCGAGACGATGCAGTATTTCGCACAGGTGGAGACGGGCCGGTCGATTCACGACGAGAATGAAGAAGGAAGTGGCCAGAGTAAGGCGCGGCAGTTGTCTAGAGTTAGGTAATTGGGAGAAGACCCGTGGGCCGTGCTCCACAGGGCCGAACCAACGGGAAGCTGGCGGGCACATTGAGTTTTCAGGTGACAGTGTTCGGATGGGCCGGTGCCTACCAGGCATGTAGGCCTGGTGCAAGACAGTATGGAGTCTCCGAGGCAAGTGCGATGCGACCTTTGGAAGGAGCGGCTCGCGATCAGCACGAGAACTGCCCCGGAGGTTCTTGCCTTACCCAGCTGTGCCATTCCCGGGACCGTCACCCAGCCGATGCAGGGAAGCGGGGCCTGGAGCCAGGACACAAACTCTGTTGGCACTTGTAGATGGGATGACGCCAGCCATCTGACACGATGAAATCTTGACCCTCATTTCTCAAAGTACCACACACTCACATAGGCGGTGGGAGTGGATCGTCGATGGCAAACCGCAGCCAAGGCCCAGCATAATGAGGTGCGGCATGTCAAATTCAGCATCAATGATTCTGGCTGAAGCCTGTCACTATCTATACTAAAGAAGAAGCGGAAACCTGTGTTTCGTACGAGGAGAGCAAGCAGGGCGGGTCTGGAAATTTTTGGTTACTAACAAGTTGTTCTTGCGAGACCATATCCTGGCAACCCGGCTTCATCCCGATTCTAGTCTCAGCATGGCAATAGTGAGGTAAATAATGGATGTCAAGACACAGATATGGTATTAAATCTCCTACTGAACCGTTGACGGCAGCGACAAAGAGGTTAGGTATCCAAGCTACTGAACAGGCTGAAGTGTCGCTCAAGCCGGTCTAGACAGTGAAGCCATGCATGGAATAGAACAGCTAGAAGCAAAACCTTATTCCCCGCTCAGCCAATCCTGAAACGTGGTTGAACAAGTGTTAAATAAGGAGTAGCATCGTCGCTGACAAACCATGTGTTGCACAGCCTCATCTGCTAAAAGAGGAAGGTATCTTTAGCCGATCCGCCGATTGTGCGAGCGAGCCAGTCGGGGACTAGTCTGCGCCCTAAGAGTACAAATCTAATTTTAGGCAGTCATGTCAGCATCTAATGGAGAGTTGGCTATTTCAATGGATTCCCTATTCAATCCCGTTCCTCGCCCGGGATTAAATCTCGCGCCAGAGCAAACACCTTGTCAAACCATCACCAAACACACCAGCTTCAATGGCCTCCAACCCAATCGTATTCCTGGATATCCCAACCAAGGAGCCGCGTACCACGTGGTCGTTCAATCTGTGGAGGAGTAGGAACCCTCACATTGCTCTTGAATAAATCCGGTTCTCACTCGAGACTAGCTCGGTTTGTTCTCAACTTCAAGGGCCTCGAATACGTGACGGAATGGGTCGAGTACCCCGACATCAAGCCCCGGCTTGAGGGGCAGTAGGTGCAAGTCGGACCTACAGTAGAGCCAGCGTTGCTGACCTTTGCAGCGTCCCGCCACACGAAAGCGACGTGCTTTACACCCTCCCCGCCATCATTCTCCCCGACGGCACCTACATCATGGACAGCAACAAGATTGCCCCAGCGCTCGAGGCGCTGTACCCATCGCCGCCGCTGCGCCTCGACTCGCCGTTGATCCCGCGGCTGCGAGCGCTCATGAACGGCGTCCACGCGCCGTTTGGGCCCATTTTCGCGCCGTCGGTCCCGAACCTGCTGCTTAGCGAGCGCAGCCGCGAGTACTTCGTCAGGACGCGCTCTGAGGACCACGGTATGGACCTGTTCAAGTGGGGCCAGGAGAACGGCGGCGACCCGGCCTGGGAGAGGCTCACGCCGTCGTTGCAGGAGATCACGGCGCTGCTCAAGGAGACCCCCGACGGGCCCTTCTTCATGGGGAAGGAGGCGGGCTACGTCGACTTTTACTGGGCAGGCTACCTGCTCTTTACGCAGATGATTGGCGTGTATGACAAGTTCCTCGAGCTGAGCGGCGACGCAAAGGCGCACACCGACTTTCTCGAGGCAATGAAGCCATGGTCTGCAAGGACCGATCATTGAGGTCCTACCGGCAGACCAGACATCTTTATATTAGCAAGGGCTTGGTCAAACGTGGACAATGTGGATTAGAGATGCAGCGTATGAGTAGAAGAGATCAATAACGACGGCAACTTTGCGTTGCTACTTGCTTGTTTTTCGGAATAGAAGCTTACCGGCCGGGGGCAAAGCGGCGAACCCTAACCCTACTCCCCTCGGATAAGGATGGAACCGAGGATAAGCGTGGCTTAGCGCAGTCGGACTGACGCGTTCCGAGCCTTCGGATGGGCCACGACAGAATTCCACTTGGACAAGTCAGCCTTGGGCTTGGGGTGGCTGTTGGCTGGCTGTTTGGCTGAACAAAGAAGCAAGTGCGCGGTTTTGGCTGTTGCGCATTTGTTTTGTCTTTTGTGCTTTTCTCGAGGCAGATGTTCGGACTGAATACATTCTTGTCCGAAGGCTGCGGCGCTACAATAGCGTAGAGTTAAGCTGTAGCCCGCTGAAAGCCGACGGCTGCGGACTCAGCCACAGCGCTCGCCGTCAGCCGTGCGGAGCGTCATGCACAGCCGGGGTGAGCTAAGGAACACGAACGGCCACCGTATTTGCTGGTGCAAGCCCCAAAAACCTCTCCATCCCGAATCCTCTCTAGGCAATCGACCCCGAAACGTGGTCCTTCAAGAGTCAAATATTATGCTGAGCGACGCAGCCCCGAGCTCGTCCTGTTACTGCAAGATCTCACCGAGGGAACGCATAAGCATAAGAAAGACCTGTTCTGCTTTAACTCCTATCTACTCCCGCGACCAGAAGACCAGATAATCCTTACCATCGTTTCAACAAAGACACGTCCCTCAAAACACACTAACAAGAAGGTTACAAGAATGGGCCAGTTTAAAATGCTGCGCTCCTCCTGGGCGCCGGGGGGGACATCACAACCTCCACGAGACAGCCCATCGTCAGTTAGTAGAAGCTCGATGCCGGTGATGCAAGACGCCAGATACAACCCGTTCCGGAGAGGGGCGGACGAAGCGGAGATGCGGCACGCTTTCTTATCGCCGCTTGTGGTACCCCTCCGGACGCCGACCCGGCCGGTCGTTCTGGTGCAGCCACAGCCTGAACCGAAGCAACCTTCCGCCCCCGTCCCTCAAGTCGCCGAGCCTGAGTTCGCCGACTCTTTCCAGTTCCAGTATCCATGCGTACTCCCCCCGTTTAGCATGACAACGGCGATGCCGAGCACAACAACATCAACACCACCACCACCAACAACAACAACAACAATACGACAGGAACTTCCCCCTGCGACCAAGGCTGCCCCCGCTCACTTCGCATCCATGTCCTCCTTTCGCCCAAGCACACAAAACCCTGCCTATTCAGCAGCAGACGAACTACACTGGTGGCAACCCAAACTTGATGCCCCGCCGGCCGCCGCGGCGCGTAGCTGGGGATCCGAGAACAGACAGGCGCACTCGCCCGCGGACAGCCTATGGTTCCAGATGGGCCGGCCCAGGTCAGACAGCGGTGGCGTGCACGGCGAGATTCCCTTGCCGACGCTCGATCAGCGGAGGAAACTAGACAGCAGGTTCGATGCGCGCCAGCGAGGGGGCGAGGGAGAGCTGCAGCGGGCGGCGAGGCGCAAAGTCTCGAGTACTCCGCGCAGTCTGCTTCCTGGCAACGGCAACTTGGCGGGTGAGTGGAACAGGAGCGAGAAGGCAGGCGCCGGGCTGTTACCGTGGCAGTGCATCGACAACGCGGCTGCCGAGGAGCACGAATTTGCCGTGAGGGGGCTCAAGAAGATCAGCGCAGACGAGTACACCCGCGCCGTCAATGAGGTGTGGTGGTTGTACTATGGGGCAGAGAATAGGGGTGCAGTGAGGGTAGACGAATGCAGGTAGCACAGGACTGGGCCAGCATATACGAATAATCTTGATCATGGCTCGAACAAGTCTTTCACGTACCTCCCCCGTGTCTTCACAACCTGCTACCACATAGTATGTTCACCAGACAGGCATCTAGACCTCAAGATACCAACCACAGAAGTCAGGATAAACTTGGTCTTTGAGACACCAGCTTGGTATCAAGACTAAAGTGGATAAGGCATTCATATGGTTCGCGTGGAGTGGAGTAGTCAACCCTGGTTAGAGTTCTAAAGAAATGTTGAGTAGTAGATCAAACCATGGCTGACGGCTGATGAGAGTCATTGTGCGAGATATTATTATGAGCCTGATTATTGTTAGTAAGTAGGGCGCTGAGACTTTGATACAACCGCCGAGACGCCTTAAAAGAACCTTGCTATTATCAATGGATAAAGACTACCCTGTAGACTGGACCTAAACAGAGCAGGCTGACTGCGATCTGTCCGTGGCAGTACACGGCGCAAAGCCATGCACACGCCATTGCGCCAGCGATCTCCTATCCTCTTTCTTTGGTATCGTAGAAAACAGCCTAGCTCCCTGGGTCACTTGGCCTCACGGCCCTCTACTCTGAATTGTAGTCATCCACCGCCAAATCCCATCCCGCCATCCTCCAGCTGTCTCCATATGTATTGCAAGAGTCTGGCATCGAGTGGCCTCAGATAGCTACCACCGACTCTCTCGGGCCTGGCGCGCTGGCGGCGCGCGGGTGTTGTCCTGTTTAGCAGCTGCCTTGCGCAAGTCGTCCAGTTTCTTCAGAAGCTTGGACTTGTTCCACAGGCGTCGGACGTGCATCTGATTCAGACTCTCGTCGTAAACAGGGCCGGGGACTTTCTCGAACAGCACCATCGAGGCGGCCCAGCCCTTAGCAGGGGTCTCGTCGGCGTCCATGAAGGTGAAGGTCACGCTATCTTCGTCGTCGGGCAGCCGGCAGGTAATGAACCACGTTATCTCGGTTGGCAGCGCTACAGTGACTTCCCTGGCTGAGGGGTGAAGCTGAGGGCCCCGGTAGTATCCCGGGATGGGCTGTGCTTGTGCTGGCCGAGCGTCCTCGGACTCGAGGTATTTCGCGTAGGCTGCAGCGACGGCGCTCTGTGAAAAGACGAGACTGACACGGTCGTCTGAAACGGACACATCAACGGCGACCAGCTTTGGCATGTCGGCAATGTTTCTGGCTTGTCGGGCGGGTTTTTTGTTGTCGAATTGTCGAGTCTGTTGCGTGAATTTCGGCAGAAACTGCGGGACGAACTGTGGCGTCGTGAGACAAAGAAATTTCGACTGGAATCGCGCTGAGTGTGTGCTGGACTGCCAAGCAGCGTTAAGTTCGGACTGTATGATGGGCCTCAACTTCTGATGAAATCTAGCATGGGCGATTTAAACATCCAGAGGCTCCTCGTAATGAGGTGCGATTCACCGATGAATCTCGGGGGTGGGCCAATCGCGGAGCTACAGTTGTTCAGGTCGCCCTACCTCTTAGGCCCATGCAGAGCGCTCCCACCGTGGCTGCCGGGTAGCCAGTAACCGTGGGACAGCTCTGGCGCTATTCTGCTTCTGCGTCCGTCTTGTGTGGCGGGCGAAGGCAACCGCAAGCACGGCCTCGACCACCATAGGCGGCCCGAGCCGACCCCCCTTCATCAGAGGCGTTGTCAGTTGTCAATTGCTTGAGTTTCAATCAGGTATGAATGAGCCGTGCTGCCCCTCAATCACGGGAATCCTTCGTTCTGCGGGTCGGGACAGCGAGACACGAGTCGATGCCAACGTGGAAGTGCACAAAATGAGCTGTCCCCGACGTATAAATATCTTACCAGGCCCAGTCTTGTCATTCTTCATCCAGGGGTTTCCTTGCAATAGCTCGTCTAATATTGGCAAGTTCAAGGGTCGCAGTGCCGTCGGGTGAGTGCCGCTGAGACCATCCGACAAGCCCAATTCGACCCCGAACACGTGGGAGCCAGGGGAAACATTAACCCCAACAGTCGACAATTGGCAACCCACGTCGCCGGCACCCACGGAATTGATAAGCAGCCGTAACAACGTTTTGGAGCAGGCAGAACCTCGGAGAGAAAGGCAGGCCGGTAGGCAGGCTTGTAAGTCTCTAGGCACGAACGATGCGCGTGCCTGTCTTCTCGGGCGTCAGCCCAACTCCCAGCCCAACCGCGTGTTTGCGACAAAGTTGGAGACAGCCCAATCTCGGCCGCAACCAGACGCAAATGAATGACATTACATGCAGACAAGACTGCCGATGACATGGCGTACATATTTCTGTACAGCACAACATCTGCAGCCAAGTTTAGCGGCACCTAGGCAGACAAGCTATGAGTCTCATGAGACGCTTGCTTGGGCTTATACGGGTATTTGATCCCTAATCGGTTGCCTGGCTAAATGTTTGACAATACATCGTGGGCTCTAGGGTGTCTAAAGTCGAAGGCGCATTGCGTTAGCCAGTCGCGTCCCAGATGACTCATGGAGGGAATACAGGAGCACTCTGCGGAGAGGGCCTGCTTGCAGAGAAATCCTGCCCTGCCCAGCACTGCCTGCTGAACCCAACTCGAGCCCGCCATCTGGCTCGCGGAACTACTCTGCATCATCTCAGACCAGCGGTCCAAAAACTGGATGCAAAGACTGGATGCCTTGTACGGAATATCCTTCGGTCCCTTGCCGCCCGCCGATTGGCCCGTCTGCATGTCCTCGGTGTCCCGGCGCATCGAATCACATTTCATGGGTGGCCATCTTCCCCTGCAGGTGCGCGGAAGCACGTGTTTGTCGAGCGACAGTCGAAGTCTGCGAATGGCTGCTTTGCCGCGTCAGAAAGCACACCATCTCAACCGAGTCAGCCCTTACCTCTGCTTTTTCTAGAACACCAGACTCGAGATTCTAATCCGAGCGGGTTGCGGAAGTTCGATCTTAAATTGCCTCGGGAAATTCGGTGATAATTGCCGTCTTGAAAAGAGCTCGAGCCTTGAGTAAAGTCCGAGAGAAACGGCGAGTAGACGTGCCTTCCGCAAGACAGCGGCCCTAGCAACCGATGGTAGTTTGCACCGGAAAGGGTTCAGAAACGATGCACGTTTGGCCGTGTTGTGTTCTTCTGGCGAGGCCTAGTGGAAGTGTGTTGGTCGAAATTCCATGGATGCACGTTGTGCGGTGGGAACTTGGGGCGGCAGACTCTTGGTGGGAGTTGGGATGATGAAGGAAGGAACAACAAGGCCCATTCTCCGCCAACACCGTGTGCCGCTCTGATGAGGGGCAAATTCACCTGTAACCCGGCGCTGCATCCAGCAAGTGCAACTCCCGCCCTTTCTGCAGCAGCAGCGTGGCCCGCCTGCTCGGCCTTGCGGTTCGTTGCCTGACCTCCTCGTCCAGGCCGCCGTCGTTCGCTAGTCCATCCCACGCGTGATTCTTCTCTGCCCCCATCTCGCTCACTGTCGCTCACGCCAGGCCCGGCCATTTTTGAACATTCCTACCTTCAGACTCTCGGACAAGCCTGCGACTGCACCACCTCCGGCTTTGCTCTGTTGCTCGACTAGCCGCGTCGCGCTGACACCCTGCCCTTGGTCTGACAGCTCAATTGTCACGATGCGTCGGGTCCCAGTGAGGCCTGCCTTGGGCTAGATCCTCGTGGCTCTTCTCTTCCAAGACGTCGAGACATCTTCCGCTCCGGTACAACATTTAGAACTAGAGCACCCGCAATCGACGCTGCACACCAGCACGATATACATCACACCGTTTCCAACAAATCTGGCATTTGCAGCAAGCCAATGTCCGGTGTGAGTTCTGCTTGGCCTGAGACAAAGACAACAACTGACTTAGAATATCCAGACCCAGCGTGACCCCGAATCCCTGGCGTATCTCGGCGACAAAGACCTCGGAAACCGCATCCGCTACGGAACAGCGACAGTGTCGGACGTACTACACGCGTGAAATGTTTTGTGGGTTAATTCCGTGTTCCTTCAAGACCGCAGAATCGGTTCCAACTTTGCACGGGACCAATGACGGGTTTCTATCCATAAAGACCGTAGCAGTCCTAGACTGTCTAGGCTCTCATGAGATCCCCGAGTTAAGCCAAAGCTCCGTCCACAATGCAGCAGCCTCCGAGTCTCCACGCGATAGCCCCAACCCGAATATCCAACCACATGTCTGCGAACAGTCACGCCGCCACTTCGATGTTAGCGTGCAGGTGGGCCTCATGAAAATCATGCTCGTGACCAGCGTTCTTGGTAATGGCCCCACTAGACAACCAGCGCATCACTCAGCTAACACCACAGGCGCCCTTTTCCCAATCTTGATGGCTCCGAGGGTGGAGCTGCAGAACATCGAACAACTCCGACGCGAGGGTATCAACGTTCTCTCCGGCGCCGTCATTATTGATGTCGGTATCAATCCACCCCACTTCGGCGCCCGATAACTGACATGATTCGATGTAGCACCTTGTCGAAGTTATTCACCTGGCGAGGGGTGGCTGTATGAGCCCGTCCTTGTACAACCTTATAATTTGCGCAGCCTTCTTCACCGGCGTATTTCTGTGCGACTTGGTTGTTACCTGGCTGAGTCCAGTCTTGAAACTGCCGGCCCGCTTGCTCATCCCAGTCTGGGGCTTGGTACTGGGCTCCTGGAGCTTTCTGCGTGGACTCTGGTCAAAGCTGAAGCCTTCTAGCTGGTTTGCGCCAGAGGCCACCCGCGCGCCACCCATCGTTGAGGGAGATAGACAGTTGAGCGACGTCTTGGCCCTCGAAGCCAGTGCTTTTCTTCATTCAGTCTGTGGGTCCTTTTCCCGTCCCCCCCCTTTCCGAGTACCGAAGAGGTTTGAGTTGTACCTGACCTTGGGATCACTAGTGCTCGGAGTCAATCTCATTCTCTTCGGGGACAACTCTTTGCATACATATTTCACTGTTATCGTCTTCCACCAATTCATCGAAGGCATTGAATTAGGCGCATTCGTCGACTCGTCGGGCCAGAATGGAGAGGATCTCTCGATGCGCCGGAAGGTTGGCCATGCGCTAGCCTTTGCGTTGATGGCGCCACTTGGCATGACCGTTGGAGTGGTGATCAAGTTTTTCTACAGCGGCAGCAACTCCTCCATTGAGGTTTCTACAGATCTCTTGCGTGGTCTGGTTGCAGGCGTCCTGGCGTGGCTAGTGCTGTCAAGATGTGAGAGCAGTGGCGACTGGTGGGACATGAAAAGGTTAGTCTCCGGCAGCCCCTTGCGCACAGTCATAGGCTTGCTAGTCCTGGTGATCGGAATGGCATGGAGGAGTGTTTTGGGGAAAGTGCTTCAGTGGGTTGTTGATTCCCCGTACTGGAGAAGAGATACTGGAGCGAGCTTTTGGGCAAGGGGTTTGATGGGTCGGTAATTTTGGATAGATACTAGCGGCATCGTTTAGCAAGTAGCGGATTCGAGCAGTATTTGGGAATACATTCAGCGGATTGCTCATGACTTGTCTGATGCAACCTTGACGCAACGCCTAGTGTTTTATCTTGGCTTTACCTGTGGAATCAGCACTGTCTATTGCATGGCACTACTAATGGGAACACAGACGAGACCGGTCCAGCTGTAACGATTTGGCCGAGTTGCCTTTGATGAGTGGACAGAGATTTTCTCTATTGATTGCCGCCTCCTGGCGATACAGGTCTACGACATGGCAGCAACCTCCGGGTACTTGTCGCAAGAACTAGCACCAGCCTAGGCTTTGACTTCGACCCCGGAAGTCAGGCGGTTAGAATGTGTCGGAAACTGGTGTCTCGGCATGCAAGGTGGCCGCATAGAAAGTGACAGACTGCCCTACGCTAGGTGGAGCCGCCGGACGGGCGTCTAACCGCTTAATATTTAATAAGTAGAGAAACAGATTTTGAGGACCAAAGAACCAAGAAGTATGAAAAGACGGTGGCAAACACCGTGCGTTGTTCTCGAAAGATCTTTGCGTACATAAGTAGTCCTACAGTAGCCTCAGCAGTCAAGTGTTTAGCTACTACCAGGATTACTTGCATGCATAATGGGTGCAAAATAGGGGGGCCGTGCCAGAGTATCTGGCATGGTGTTCGACATGTTTAACCTGAGGTCAGGAAGACATCAACTATAAGCGAATGGGGGCTGAACAGTATGAATTAGCCAGGTAGTCAATCAAGCCGGGCAGTGAGTCAGCCTGTAATAAACCTGTCAAGTGCAAGCCAGTCAGCCAAGGGAGTCGGTTGACTTGTATGCAGTCAGCCTGTACGCAGCAGGTCTTACAGACAAGCCGGGAAAGTCGGGCAGTCAGTCAAGCCAGTAAGTCAATCTGACGACTGCAAGCCTGTTTCCCGGGCCAGGAGTTACCACTTCTCGCCCATGCCTGTTCTCTTGTAAGAGGCATTCAGGAAACCCTAAAGGTTGGAACCGGGTTCTACCCACATTGCAAAGGGAAGTCTACGAAAAGAAGGCAATTTACGGTTAACTATGAGAATAGATACCGGCCTCGACCGACCAAGCCATGCACGATTAGGCCGAATGTAAAGGAGAGGAATTAAGCTGAACGGAGCCAGCGAAGCCACCGTTGGGCGGAGGGAAGCTATCTTCTTATCTACAATTGACCAGAAAGTTTCTCGAATAGGGATTGGTCAGTTCACATCCTGGAGATGGAGCATTAGTCGATTAGATAAACCTCAAATACAAGGGATCCAAGAGACTTTTTGAGCGTAGCGAGCAGCTCGCCGCAGGCGCCCCGGGAGGCAATAAGAAAGAAAAGGCCGTTCAGCGTCCCTTCCTGAACTTGCCAGACAGAGTATTTTAGGGATGTCGCCGGGCTCTTAATTCTCAGCGAGGCTATCTGTGGGACAGTTTGGGATCACAAATCCGGGCCGTTGTGAGGGCTCGGGAAACAGAAGTTTTGCGTCAGGATTTGTGGTAATGACTGTGGTTGATTCCAATATACTGTAGTAGGGGAATCAGTGGGTATTATATATAGGAAATCTGAAGGGGCCGGGAAAGCCTTATCTGAGGCTAAGCTTTCTGACCCCTGAATAGCGTCATTCCTATAGGTTAGGCTCAGGGTTGTGGAGCCTTCAGAAACGAGGGTTAAGTCCTTCAGTACCATCTCTGTACTGGGGCACGGAAATGATTCATAACGAAGGATTTAGTAGTCAGGTTGGCAAGGCGAACTGAGCAGTTACGGGAGGCATCGAGATCCAGTTAGGGAATAGCTTCGTCCTGGGTCTGACACGTTTCTTCAGACTCGGTTCCCTCGCCATCGTATTCTTCTGGCTCGTTCCCGTCCCCGACGGGGAGTTTCATGTTGGGTATTTTGCCTTGGCCGGGCCGCCGCAGGACGCCGAGACACTGATAAAATGCATGCTTTGCATTTCCTATCTGCCACGCCTTCTGAGAACTCCCCCGCCCATCAATCTGTTACGGCAGTCTCTGAGTTGTGTCGACGAGGCTGAAGCCGCGCTTGATGAGCTCGTCGGCCGCAATGCCCGCACACCAGTCCTTCATCTCTCCCTCCTTCGGAGCGTATCGGAAGAAGCCGACCACGTCTCCGTCCTCGGTCCAAATGGCGCTCCCGCACATTCCTTCCGGAAGGGTGGCCGCCGACCCCTGTCCCATATAGGACCATGTTGTAAAAATCCAACTCTGTTCTGGTTCGAGCATGTGTCTACAGGAACTCGCGAAAAGCTGTTCCACATGAGCTTGCCATCGATAAAACCTGTATCAGGCGAATCTAAAGCGATTTTGGTTTGCATTCCCAGGCTCTCTGCTTCGGCCAGTCGTCGCAATGGGATGGGCTCTGGCATCTCGTTGTTGCAGAAGGTGACGTTGGAGAAACTTTCTGTGTCTCGGAGCTCGACGAGCGCCATGTCGGTGTGCGACACTTCTATGATGAGTTTGCCAATGTTGCGCCCAAGGGAGGGCAAAGGGTGCATGACTTGGTCAGTGCTGCATTCAGCTGGGAGTCCATGCGACGCCACCGTCATAAATTCGTTTCCGACTTAGTCCCTAACCAGAACTCCGACCGACGTAGACAGAACCTTGCCTAGATCGCTTAGCAGATACGCCGAAGCAACCCTAACGCCAGGCTGTAAGGTATCGTAGCTGCTGTGGTCGGGATTTCCTGGAGTGGGGTCGGCAAGGCGACGAGCCTGGGGTGCCGCGGGTCGGCCCATCTCGTCGTCAAATAATTAGAGACATCCCATGTTGGCTGCTCTCCACGGCAACTTGGTGAAATCGACGTTTCGGTGCTCCAAGACGATCACGAAGTCGTTGCCTAGATTCATGACCTCGGTGATGGCGATTCCCATGTTCCGGAAGTGGTCTTTGATGAGGATGAAGATGGGTTCTTAGTCCTTGATGCCCCCGCCGTTGACGTCCTTGGCGATATGACCGCCCTCCCGGCTAACGAGCCTGGCGTTTGGCATGGGTGAGTGCTGGGTAGAGGGGCCCGATTCAGGCCCCAAGTAGACGGGGAGCCCTGCCACTGTTTTGGGCCAGGGCTTCGGTGGCAAGGTTTTGAGGAAGATACCCAAGAACCGACCGTCGGTTCCGACACTGACAGTTCCCGGATAGAGGTTCCATAACATGTCTCGGTTTTCTTTTTTGTCAAAGGCGCCTCGGTCCGCATGTAGGTCGAACGGCAAGATGATGTCCCGCGGAGGTGGTAGCAACGGCTGGGGTTGGGGGAGTGGATTGGGGAGAGGCAGTCTGGCGTCTAGAGATGATAAGTTGGTTTTTGAGGAGGGAGGGAATAGAATCTTACGAATCAAAGCTTGCTGAACGATCGCCGACCATCCCAAAGGATTTGGGATGGCCGACCGGTCGAGATGGGTTTGCCAGCTCGTAATAGCGCCGGGACTGGTGACGGTGCAGGATGGTGGTGGTGGTGATGGTGCAGTTGATGGTGCAGGATGGTGGTGGTGGTGGTGCAGGGTTAGAAGAAAGTGCGAGATTGCTATGAAAGAGTTAAATATGCAGAAAAGTGAAAAGCAGAATAGAGATTGAGTCACGTGGTGGCAGTGGGAGTGTGGTTGCTCTGCTATTGTGCCTTTTGTTTTAGGTTCTTGTTCAATAGATACTTGTGCTGGGCCTCCAATCGGGCGGGGCATTGCAGCCGATTGCAGGCCTTCTCGGGCGGGTTGAATCCCAGGTGGTCTCGGGTGGATTCACTAAAAGCGTCCTCGGGCTAACTACTGAAGCCATCCACAACTGCGTCTGAATCGGCATTGTAATGCGATGAACACGCACCCCCAAATCCCGCAGATCACTGAGCATGACGGCTTTCCTTGCGGCAAACCTAGCTATCTTTCTTTCCCTCAATCAATCGCACATCGCACATCGTTTGGCAGCATGGCACGACCGAAGCAATAGCCCCTTCTCCTCCCGCTCTCCCCCCAAACCCTGAGCACATGCTCATCTTTGACCGACATTTCCTAAGCTCACAGGTACCAGGGCGTTGCATTTCTAAGGCGGGGAGTAGTCGAAGGAATGGAGTTTGATGCTGGCGTGGCCAGTATCGCTGCCGAGAGGATGGAGAGACTGTGCGCGTGGAGGACAACAAGGTCATCTATGGCGAGGATACCGACAACTGGGGATACTTGGGTGTAGACGAATAGGTCCTAGTAGCAGGGAAAAATAAATAAGGGGAGAAGATTCTGTCGCTTGATCCGGAAATGGTGCCCTGTCTGCGCCGATTTGCTCTAACCTATCCCCCGGACGCGTTTGCAGCAACCCTCAAAGGAGAGTTGATGGAAGAGGAGAGGGTCACGGAGCCCGCCGAGGAGCCTACCAAGGAGCCCACCGAGGAGCCCACCGAGGAGGGCGCCCTGCGGCCGTGGGACCGTGAGCATCAGGGGCGTTGGGGAGGCTCTTGGGGCTCGAAAACGGGATTATCAGGGTGCAGCAGTGTAGGAATCACTTGCGTGCGTGGCAAAATGTCCCAAAATGTCTCTGTCATGATGGCAGATTGCCGGCCACCGCGATCAGCGACATTCTCCTCTTTGGTGTTTTGGTGTGGGAGCGTTTTCTGCTGGGAGAATCACAAAACACAGTCAAGCACCTGATGTGCTCTGGAATAACTCAGGTGCGTTTCTCGCCAAAGCTTTCACGCTCTCGATACATGCACACGCACACGCACACACACACACACACACACACACACACACACACCGCGCCCAAGAAATTACCATTTTCGCTGGCTGCACCGCTCCAAGCACTGGCAGTGCAATTGTACCCCAATTGCACCTCGCCGCCGTCGCCAGCATCAACACACTTCCGAATGCGGTAATTCCAGCTCAGGGCCGTAGAATCATTCAAATCGTTCAAATCTACAATAAAAATCGAAGCTGGCTTCGTTTAATTCGCTTATGGCCGGCCGGTGGGTTCGAGAGTGGTGATGGCGGCGGCGCATTTTCATCAGGCGCATCGCTGAGATGGCCAAAGTCGCTCAGATCGCTTAGATCTTCAAAAGCAGACTTTTTTATCACTAGTTAGTACTGCGCGACGAAGAAATGAAGCCATACCGATGCATCGACTGAATGCGGTGCCGACCTTGCAAAGGAGCGGCAGCAAACTGGTGCAGTTATCATTCTGCCATTTTAAGTGGCCGCTGACTGGTATAGTTCTGATTACAAGTGAAGCTAGCCGCTGTGGCTCCTTCCCATCTGTAGGTCGAGTTGGTCTTGCTATCTAGTGTTGAGGTGGTGGTAAAGTAAGCCAAGACGAGAAAGAAGAAAAAAGCAAACGCCTTCCACCCTCTGGGCATTACCCCCTTGGACATTGCCTCCCTGGATAACCTCCAAAAGTCTCTGGCTCATGTCTAGCGCACCTCGGCAAAAGGTGCCGTCAGCTTCTCCGCCCACGCTCACGCCAATTAACTACCACAACAGAATAACCACCCACCGCCATGTCTAGACGAAGCTAGGAACGCACACCGCCAACAACTCAAGCATTCGAAATGCATGACTCTGAGAACACAGAGACGGAAAGGAACCGAGATCCTGCCGCCTCGGCACCCACAGCTCAATTGACCTTACCATCTCTAAAATCAAAGCCAACGTCAGCAGCCCGGCTAACAATGTCTTCTTTCTTAAATGGTATTGCCTCCACTTCGCGGGTCGCGATCTCGAACAGATTCGGCATTCCATGAGGGAATATCATGCAGTTCTTATGATCACGACCGGCCGGCATCTCGCCCGACAGAAGCAGCGGCTCGAGAAACATCCGTGTCAGCTGCTCCATCTTAATCATCCGCTTGTGCACTGACGACGGGCTGCATTTCTGATCAAGTCCCTCGAGCTCCGATGCGCGGAATGCCCAGCGAAACGCCGTCGCCATGTTCATCTCGCAGACTCTCTGCGCCGTGCGCCCGCGGCACGGGCGGTCGGCCCGCGGTCGTGCGTTCTTCAGGTGGTGGTCGTACGTGTCCACGCGCACGCCGGCTTGCTTGACGGTTTCCAGGAGACGGTCCATAATTCGCTTTCTGCAGGCGATAATATCGGCTGACGGTTCCAAGGTTAGCTGGTGGTCTGCCCATCTTTAGCGCCGAGCGATAATGCTAGCGATTGCTTACCCAGGAGATTTAACGCCCTCACGTGTTCGTCGCCGATATACGGCTCATTGTCCGAGGCGCCGTAGCCAACGAGGTCGCCCCTGGAGTTCAAGCGGCCCTTGATGACCATGTTATAAATGGTCTGCTTGATGCAGCCCAGGTGGCCAAGTTGGTGCGTAATCCAGAGCTGTGCGGCGGCCTCATCGTGGCGGGCCACGTCCTTATTGTAGACCTTCTTGAGCCACTTGCCCACAATAGGCGACAGGCAGCGCGTCATTTCGAAATGGTGTGCCACGGCGAGGACATCGCGGAGCAGCATCATGTCGGCGAACTCGTGGTATACCCTGGTATCCAGGCCATGGATAACCATGAGCACGATGTGGAACGGACGCGACTCGATGCCGGGGAAGAACAATCTCTTCTCTATCTCAAAGGCATCGACCGATTCTTTTTTCTCACATTCCAGGTAATGGTCGTTGGTAAAGTACTTTTCCCTGAGGTACGGCGAGGCGCGAGCGAGGGTGCGCGAGCAGACTTGAAACTGGATTTGGTTGTCGCCGACAGCCAAGATGAGATCGCCACGGTCATCGAGAACCTCAATTGGGCCGTTGTGCTGCGGGCCCCCGTACTGGGTTATGGGCTGCGGCGTGTAGCTACGGTCAGACGGCTCGCGGATGGTGTGCGAGACTGCCCGCGGCGGCCGGCTCTGGCGGGACAAGCTAGGGCTAGCGGGCGCGCCGTTATCCGGTCCGAGCTTTAATAGCTGCGACCAGTCGAATGTGTCGCCGTTCTCGAATTCGGCCATGATTTCTATGGATAATAGGTAAGACTACGATGCACGGCTGATGTGGTACGTGTGATGCTGCAATTGAGAAATCGTAACAAGGCTGTAAGAATGTGCCGGGAGATGAAGGCCGAGGATTGAAGGGAACATGTGGCGAGGAAAGTGTGCAAAGAGAATGTCTGCCGAGGGCATGTGCAAAGGAAAAGCCCAGGAGAGAAGAGGGACGGCGTGGACGAAGCGATTATCATGGAGATTAGGGAATAGCGCGAGCTTCAATCTGCGAAGAGAAACCACCCGAGATAGGAAGGAGCAGAAGGGCAAATTCGAGAGTGATAGCTACCTACCGGAAAGCGATCCGACGCGCACAGTCGAATGGATTTGGAGATTACCTGAACTTGTATGCGGCAGTTTCTAACCTGGTCGAGAAAGAGAGGGAACGCAAAGTCAGGGGCCGAGCCACCGGAGTTGGTGGCTGAGTTTTTGAATATTTGTGCTCCCAGGAAGTTTATGAGAAAGGTTGGCGAGATATAAGGGCAGGGCTGGCTTGATCGATTGGATCCCGTTCAGGTCTTCCGTCTAATGTCGAGCCCCGAGCCCTGCTCCACTTCCTGCCTGACCTTCCTGGTCTGATATAGAATCAGAAGGGTGGGTGGTAGGCAGGTACCTAGCCGGTAGGTATGAACCATGGCTCTTCGTGAATTGCTTCATTTGGCTGTCGCGCATTCGTTGGAAGTTTGCGGTCGCAGGAGACGATAGACCCGTATAGAAAGAGTTCCCAAGGACAAGTTCCCAAGGATAGGCACGCGTCACGTGCAGTCCTAGCAGTCTCCTCGCCTAGCTGGTATCCAGTCTGAAATATTGCCTTCTGTGACTGGCAATCATGCGCCGGCGTCCCGAGGCACGTCTACTGCGATCGCGTAAGCCCAGCGAATTCGTTTTATTCCCACCCCGTCCAGTGCCGTCGCCTCCAAGAACTTTCACGTAAGCGACATCAAAGTCCACCTTCAGACTCGGCCAGACACGGGACTTGTCAAAGCCCATAACTACTTTCATTTCCTGTGTGGGGTGCATCGACGTCCTCGGAGGCTGGCAGAGGTGCGAAACCCAGGGCACCGAGCCCTCTTTCCTCCTTTGACGGCTCTGCTCGGCCGAGAGCGGCGCGCGACGTGTCTGTCTCATCATATCTGAGCCATGGCCTCCCGGCTGAATCCTGTTCAAGTCGTACAGACGCAAGCAGCGAACATCCGCGCGACAGGCCGACCACACGACGGCAGCCAGCAGTAGCACCATTCCGTTTGGAGGCGAAAAGCCTACGTATTGCATTATGGCTTACTCTAAACTGATTATACTAACCTCTAAACCTCCTGTCCAGCTACACATATCTAGACGACGACTGCTTCCGAAATAAAACAGCGAGACTTTGCGGCTCCAAGGTCCCAAGACAGTTGGCCACCAATCACGCCAGGCCCGACGATCGGCGGGGGACTCTTGCCAGCCAGTAGATGCCAAAGGTGGCCAGCACGTTGAACACGATAAAGGCAATCATGATGCCAAAGTTGCGCCAGGCCGTGGCCATGATCGCGGGCGTCATGCCGAACGCCTCCAGCACGAAGTTGGTTTCGGCGACGGCGCAGAACTTGCAGGCAGCCGTGTCCAAGGGGTTGACCACGTAGCCGCCGTTGGACTGCAGGTAGGGCGCCAGGTAATCGCCGCAGTTCTGCACCGCGCTCGTGAGCAGCGGCTCGATCTGGCGCAGCTCGACCGCCGAGCACGTGATGCGCGTGTTGATGAAGCCCGTGAGCACGATGGCGTTGATGAAGTAGCCGATGGGCGATAGCCGGTACATGAATATCCAGAACCGCGGGAGCAGGTCGGGGACGACGACGACACTGGACGGAGTCAGCAGATGGGACCAAGACACGAATTGTTGGGAGCAGAAGAAGATACGCACCCAGAAAACAACATGGTCAGCCAGAACAGCAGCGTGGCGACCTGGACCGCCGCCTCGGGGTGCTCGATGCCCGCCGCGACGGCGTGCGAGAAGGACGTGACAAAGAGCATGAAGAGCCAGGTGATGAGGAAGATGATGAAGCTGTTGAGGTTCTGGTGCTCCGTGTAGCGCCACAGGCCTGTGGGGAAGTACCAAGTGATGAAGATGAGCGCAGCGGCGACCGATTGCCAGAAAAATTCCACTATGGCATAGGCCGTGAGGAAGACGGTCCACGAGTACGTCTTGGACCGCCGCTCGCGCGCCTCGAACAGCGCGCGCCCGCTGCTGAAGCGCGTGATCAGCTGCTGGTCTAGGGTGCTAAAGATCTGACACAGCGAGAAGATGGAGAAGAGCAGGTTCGTCAGACCCTGCAGCGAGAGCTCCGTGTTGAGGAACGAGAGGCCGTTGAGCAGAGGCTGGGAGAGTTAGCTTAGTCATGAGTCAACGCGGCGACATGAGGTCGGCGACGTGAGATCAGGGGCACCCACCAGGCCGATGCACAGCCCCAGCTTGGACCACAGGAAGATGGGGTCGCGCCAGAACTCCTGGAACAGCCTGACCGTGACGGCGTGCAGCTGCGCGAACCAGGAGGCCGCGTACTCGCTCTTGACCTCGACGGCGTGGGCCGTGCTCGACTCAACCTGCTTGAGCGCGTCGAGGTGGGCGATGACGTCCTGCTTCTGCTTGCTGGTCCGCCACTTCTCGAACCAGGCGTGGTGGCCTTCGTGCGCCACGAGGTCCGTCGTCTCGGGGTCCGGCTCCGACTTGCCCGTCTTGGTCTTGGCGAGGCCGTCGTCGCCGGTAGCGCCCGGGGCGTTCTTGGTCACCTCGAGCACCCACTCGGCGGGGTTGGCGTCGGGGGGGCACGTGGGCGCGCCGTTGGTCTCGAAGTAGTTGATCAGGGTCGAGGCCTCGGGGCCGATCTCGCCAAAGTACATAGTCTCGCCGCCCTTGCCGAGCAGCAGCAGGCGGTCAAAGGACTGGAAGATCTGCGAGGACGGCTGGTGGATGGTGCAGAGAATGGCCTGGCCGTTGTGCGCCAGCTTGCGGAGCAGCGTGCAGATGGACCACGCTGTCTGCGAGTCGAGGCCTGACGTGGGTTCGTCTGCGGGAGGAATCGTCAGAGAAGCACGGCTTTTGCGGGCGGACTAGACACAAACTTACCCAGAAACAAGAGCAGCTCGGGCCGCGCAACCATCTCGACGGCGATCGTGAGCCGCTTGCGCTGCTCGACGTTGAGTCCTGACGGGAGTTAGTCTGGCGGGCTGTGCAAGGTTGGCTGGCCAGCTCGGGTCAGGTTTGAGCTGCTCACCTTCGCCCGGGACGCCAACAATCGCGTCGGCATACGGCGCCATGTCGAGCATCTTCAACACCGTGTCGACGTATGCCAGCTTCTCCTGCTTGGTCTTGCCGCCCGACTGCCGCATCAGGGCGCTAAAGTTGAGCGCCTCGCGGACCGTCGTCGTCGGCAGGTGTATGTCTTCTTGCTGCACGTAGCCAATTCTGCGCTGGAAGCCCGCGTCGCGCAGCTTGCCGTCAATGTGCACGTCGCCGCTGACCACGCCCACGGTCGCTCGGCACGCGAGAACATCCAGCAGGCTCGTCTTTCCAGCACCCGTGACACCCTGGAAGATTCGCGTCAGCAAGAGCAGACCGGGATTGAGAGAGCCTGACCTTACCATCAGAGCCGTGAGCGTCCCGGGCTTGACCCAGCCGTCGACCATGTTGAGAATCTTGCGCGGGCCGCCGCCCGTCTTGATGTCGTAGCTGAGGCCGTTCCAGTGGAAGATGGCCGACTGCCGCTGGATCGAGTTGACGACGCCAAAGTCCTTGTCGGCGGCGCCGCTGGCGCGCGAAGCCCGGTTGTTGCCGTCGGTCTCGCTCTCCTCGGAGTGCGCGACATCCTGCGCAAACGTCGTGGACGCGCCCGACTCGTTGCCGTCGCCGCCCTTTCCGCCGCCGCGCCCCTTGGCAAACGCGCCGCGCGGCCGCCGGAAGAGCAGGATCTCGCCCCTGGACCGCTCCGCCGGGATGTACTCGGCAGCAAGCAGATGCACGAAGAAGAAGAACACGCCCATGCCGATCAGGATCCCGAGGTTGCTGTTTCAGTCAGTAACGGTGCATCTAGCAGCGGAGGCATGCCTTACCGCCAGAGGTGGCTGGGCAGGTAGCCGTATTTGAGCTCCAGGTAGGCTTCTCCCCGGACGGTGAGCTGGCCGGCTTCGGCGCCGATCGCGGCGCAGATCTTGCCCTGGGCTCCCACCTGGTTGTAGGACGGGCCGTTGGGGATGGTCACGGTGCAGGGGAATTCGCGGCCGCGAAACTGCAGGCCGTCAGTAGTAGTTCGGGATAGGGACAGAGGATGGTGCAACACACCTCGTTGATCATCCAGCTCTCGAACGCGTAGGAAATGGGATTCAGCCACCGCAGCCACGCAAGCCACGACACCATGTACGTCGGCGGGATGACGAAGCCCGTGTACGTGATCAAGACGGCGGTGATGATGGACGAGGGCACCATGGTCTGGTCAAACGTCTTGGACAGGGAGCCGACCATGCGGAAGTACATCGAGTTGACAATGTAGATGGTGACGCCAAACAGGAAGAAGGTGAAGAAGGCGCTGGGAGTGCGGTTGAGGTTGGCCATGAAGTATACGGTGCACGAGAAGGTGGTGACGATGGCGAATTTGTTGGGCAAATCACAGATCATCGAGGCCAGGTTCTCGACAAAGGGGTGGTAGAAGGCGTAGCGGTGGTGCTTCTCGACAATGGGGCGCTGCGCCCACATCAGCAGCACCTCGAACGCGGGAGCGAAGCCGACCACCATCAGGGAGAAGAAGAGGAAGACGGAGCGCTGGTCCAGCGAGTCGCTCGTCTCGCCGAGGTTGAAGTAGGCGCTCCCGATGAGGAGGCCGAGAATGCCGTTTGCCACGCTGGCCGAGATGGCAGGCACCGGGTTGTTGCGGAGACGCAGGAACCCCCGCTTGACGGTGATGGCAATCTGCTGGCGGACGGGGAGGGTGTAGGTCGACGATGCGAGCTTGACCTGCTCGCCGTTCCTGTCAAACCCTCTGTTTTGGAGCGGATGGGCCGAGTTGAAGGCGTGGACCTCGTCGCGGACGGCCTGGGCCTGCTTGCTCTCCTTCCAGACCCTGGCGAAGTCGTCGGGGGTCCGGGGCACGCGGTCCGCGAAGCCTTCCTGCACGATGCGCTCGACGGGGTTGGTCAGCGATGTCAGGAAGTCGGCCGTCGTGGCGCGGTTCGGCCGGACAAAGCCCAGGCCGACAAAGTAGGCCGAGGCCTCCTCGACGGGCCCAAAGTAGATCTGCCGGCCCTCGTATAGCAGGGTGACCTTGTTGAAGTTCTGGAGCAGGTTAGCTGGCGTTCTGCAAGGGGAGGTACGAGGCAGCTCGCCTTGTACATGGCCTCGGAGGCCTGGTAGATGCTCATGATGACAGTCGACCTGAGCGCGTCGGTGGCCTTGCGCAGCAGCGTGATGAAGCCCAGGGCGGTGGAGCTGTCGAGACCGCGGGTGCTGTTGTCCCAGCACTGGAAGGGGGCGCCGCTGATGAAGGCCTCGGCAAGACTGGTCCGGCGCTTCTCGCCTCCGCTGATGCCGCGGATCATGGCGTCCCCGACGGGCGTCTTGAAGGCGCCATCCAGAGAGAAGAGGGAGGCGACATTGCTGCCGACGGCACGGGCGGCGGCGGCACGGTCCGATCCCAGCTCCCGAGTGGTGGCGGCAAAGGTCAGGGTCTCGCCGAGGGCCAGCTCGGGGAAATGCACGTCGAGCTCGGCAAGGTAGATGGATTCGCCCTTGAAGGTGTCGTGCATGTCGCGATACGGGATACCGCCGTAGTTGATCTCGGCGTCGGCGCCGAGGTGGAAGCCGTGCGTGTCGCCCGAGAGGGTCTTGAGAAAGGTCGAGCAGCCGCTGCCGGGCCGGCCGAGCACCAGGAGCATCTCGCCGCTACGGACCAGGCCCTCAAAGTCCTGCAGGATCTGAACGCGCTTCGGGGCGCGGTCGCGCTGGGCCAGCACGCCGGCGAATAGGCGCGGGTACGTGAGGGCATACGAGACGAACGTGGACTGGAAGCGGTCCGACGACAGGAAGCCGTGTGTCTGGAGGCGGCGGAACGACACGCCCAGCTGCAGCCGCGGCCTAGGCAGCGCGTGCTGCAGCCACTGGTCGAAAACGGGCTCGCCGGCGTCGGTGGCGGCCGTCTTGAGCTCGGCGGACTTGTCGTCGGCGTCCTTGGACACGTCTGCCGTCTTTTCGTCGGCGCCCTTGGGCACGTCCGCCGTCTTTTCGTCGGCGCCCTTGGGCACGTCTGCCGTCTTTTCCTCCGGCATCTTTTCGTCCGACATGGTGGCGGCTGATTCCAAGTCAATTCGCGGCACACCAAGCAGAGCCAGGCAGATCACGAAGCACAGAGTCTGACGGACGGCATGCTCGGTGGGCTGTCATATAAGATAAGGACAGGAAATCGCCTGTCCAGTGTCGCGCTGTCGGGGTCCAGTCCGACCGGGCCGGACAAGCCCATCCGCGTACTGAACAAAATGCGCAATGCCCAATCTGCATCCTCTGCCAGTCGCCCACAAACCGTCAGCATCGACGCCCGCTAGCCCGACTTGGCGCGACCCAGAGCAAATAAGATTGCCTGCACGCCGGGCCAAGACTGCCGACGAGCGGCGCAGGATGGGCAGCTTGGGGGCGTCTGACAGGCGGTAGGGCTGCAGCACGCTGCTGCTCTCGTCAGGGTGGCAGTGGCAGGGCATGTTGGCCGTCTGCCGTTGGAGAGTCGCCAAAGAGGAAGCCGGGTGAGATTATTGCCCGCCAGTCGACAGTGGAGCGTCGCACTGTGCAGTACATTTACTTACGTGGAAGGAGAGATGCAGGGGCATTTTGTGGTTGGAGCTGTTGGACCCCAGCACCTGCCGTCTTTAGAGTTAGTTCGCCCCTGCGCTTCGACAACACCGAGCCTTCAACCAACGCTACATTATTGAACGATGAACTACCAACAACCAACAACCAACAACTACGGCCGTAAAACTAGCAAAAGTTCCAAGATTGTGAAGCAGCCATTCCCACTCCAGCAACTATGGACTCTCAAGAGACCCGACCTCAGCCGCTGTCAACGTTGTGATTATTCTCTATTGCGGTATACACAGTAAGCGTCATTCTTCGCTAGTAGCAAATGCCGCAACAGGCCTGTCCATCTACGCACTCCGCACCTTGCGGCGTTGAAACCCGGCCTTGGAATTTCCGCATCTGCACGCGAACTCCGCGGACGCGACGGAAAGACCAGCCCTGTCGAAGTTCCGACTCGTTCAGTCAACCTTTCCAGACCCGGCCCCCCTTTGCAACGGAAGACAGCTGGTCTGGCGCACAGTGTGCGACTACAGAGATTGAGCATCAAGCCACGGCAGCAAGTCTATCCTGGCAGGATTTGGCCGAACAAGGGGTAAAGCGCGGCAAAGCACGCGCCTAGCGCTTTAGTCAAGGTGAAGACAATTTAGAAGTGTCTTGGCACCGTTGAGTCTGACGTGAGCATTCAGTTACAAATTGCATAACGTCAGCTCGCTTCCAGAAGCTATTCTCTCAATCCATAATACCGAGGTAAGTAGGATACGGATAGTCGGACAAGTCGGTAGCCAGCTATTCGGTTTTAGCAGAAGCGCTTCTCTCAATCCAAGCCTCCTCCCCATCGCGTCTCTCAAAAGGAAAACATTAGCTAACGGTGAGCAGGGGGCCGCGACTCTACTCAGCCCTACTAGATTAGACTCAAATAAACCTCTGTGAAGGCAACTCAGTAAAGACGCCTGGTCTCGGATGGTTTAAGCTGGAGAGGGTATGCATCAAGCAACACCACACGCCGCCAGACAGTGAACTAACGTAGGTCGCGCCGCGTCCACGTGGGACGGCTTGTGGTCGGTTTACATTCTCCATCCTATGTTTGTGAGTCAGGACTTGCATCCTATGTTGTGAGCCAGGACTTGCATCCTATGTTTGTGAGCCAGGACTTGCACGTGTCCAGCGGGGGAGGTAAAGATTTCTGGCTGTCATCTGAAAACTGGATGGAGGCGCACGCGCTCATGCAGCCCTAAAGTGACTGGACGGCTAGGCGGCTGGCCAAAAAGAACCCAGAGTGCCCAGTAACAGGATTGAACTGTTGACCTTCGCATACCCAGATACTGCCTTTCGACGGTATTAGTACGACGCTGCTAACCAAACTGAGCTAACCGGGCTGGATGCTATTGAAGAACGGGGCGTGGACAAAGCATATTGCTCCTAGGCGGCTGGAAGAAAGAAAATTCTTCAGTGCCGTGGATCTGGATGGAGCCCAGCGGAGTGGGGACCGGAGTTGCGGAGTGACAGAACATGTTTTACAGCGTGTCGGAACTCGGAACGGCTGCGCGACACCAGGCCAGCGGAGACGGGCTGACGGCAGTGGGCTATCGGGCCGCGTTGCACTGGGTGATTTGAGCTCCTTGATTTTATTCATGCCTTTCGGACTCTTGGTGGCCTGGTGCTCTCACGCGGCGCGTCTCGACCCGGGCTTGGGCATTCTGTATTTCATCCCTGCTGCTATCGTGTGCAGCCAATGGAGCGCGCGACAAGTCCGTCCGAGGCGCTATGGACAATCACAAGTGGGGCTCATGTAGGTGCCGCAGCGTCAGCACTGGCCATCCGCACTCTCGGATTCCAGCACTGAACAAGAGGATCCACTAAACAAGAGGATCCACTGAACAAGAGGATCGCGACCTCTACCAACAGGCTTCCAAAATTCCAAGCCACCTAGGTAGGCGGCGCAGCCAACAGCAAAATGACCGTGCAGGCGACGAAAAGATCAAAAGCGAAGACGGCGGCACCATGCATCGCACCGCGGTCTTGCCATTTCGTTGTTCGCTGTTCTATTGTCTCTCAGATCTCAGTCCACCATGGCTTCAACCCTCGCGCTGGCCCTCGTGGGCGTCTTCGCCGTCTACTTCTTCCTCCGCGCCCTGCTGCGGCTCACCCAAGACGACAAGGAGCCGCCCGCCGTGGAAACGACGATTCCGTTCCTTAGCCCCATCTTGGGCATGCTCACCCACAAGTCAAATTTCCACACGCACATGCGCGACGCGACCGGGCTGCCCGTCTACACGCTGCGAATGCCCTGGTTCCGCCTCTACGTCGTCAACTCGGCACCCCTCATCACGGCCGTGCAACGGCAGTTCCTGACCATCGCCTTCCCGCCCATCGAGGCTAAAGCCGCCAGGCACGGCATGGGAGGCAGCAAGGCGGCTTTCGACGTCCTTGCCAACGACATGATGGCCGACGGCAGCTACCTGCGCACTTACGACGCCGCCATCCATCCCGCCGTTACCCTCGGCCCCGAACTCGACGAGCTCAATCGCGCCTCGGTGCGCGTGCTCGCGGCAGCCATCGACGACCTCCAAGAACGAGCTCCCCAAACAACCGGCCTGCTAGCCTGTAAGTCATACTGAGTGTCCAGTGTCCGAATCACTCCGACATGGTTTTTCTTAATTTATTCTACCTAGGAATAGGGGTCCGCCACAGCATGCTTATGGCGACCACGGCAGCCGTTTTTGGGCCCCGCAACCCCTTCGACGACCCCGCAATTGAGGCGGCGTGGCTGTAAGTCCGCCTACAACCGCGCCCACCGCACCGTATCGTGCACGCCGAGACTTACCACGAGGATTGCATCTGGAGCAGCAAGTTCGAGCCCGACATGATGTTCTTCATGCTGAACCTGTTCCCACGCGTCCTGGCCCGGGAGAGTTTCCAGGCTCGCGAGAAAGTCGCCGCCGCCTTCGATGCCTACTACAGAGCTGAGGCGCACCTCGACCCCGCCGCGTCGGGCCTGACCAAACGCCGCTACCAGCACAACACCGAGCACGGAATCCCCGCCGCCGACATTGGCTATTTCGAGATTGGCAGCCTCTTTGCTCTTCTCGGCAGCACTCTGCCTGCCGCCTTTTGGATGATCTGTCACATTTTCGCCGATCCCGCTCTGCTCGACAGCTGCCGCCGCGAGTTGCAGGCCGTGGTCTCTCAGGACGTCGCCGGCGACAACCAGCTCCCCGCCTATGTCATCGATATCGCCCGCGTCAGGGCATCGTGCCCGGTCCTCCTGGCCACGCTGCAGGAGGTGCTCCGCGTCCGCGGCATCAGCACCTCGGCGCGCGTTGTACTCGAAGACCATGTCCTCGACGGCCGCTACCTGCTCAAGAAGGGCGCCACCGTGCTGGTCCCCGGCCCCGTGCAGCACAGCGACCCGGCAGCCTGGGGCCCGACGGTCGGCGTGTTTGACCACACGCGGTTCCTGCGTGGAGGCAAAGGGAAGCGACACAACCCCGTGGCTTTCCGCGCCTTTGGCGGCGGCGTGACGCTGTGTCCGGGGCGACACTTTGCCACGACCGAGATCCTGGCGCTTGCGGCGCTCATGGTGCTGCGATTCGACGTCCAGCCCGTCGCCAATGGAGTTGACGTTCCCTGGTCGATGCCCCCCACCATCAACACGCCCATGGCGGCTGCCGTGGCGACGCCCGACCATGACGTTGACGTCGAGATCCGCCTCAGGGGGCCGAGAGACCAGCGCTGGCGTGTAGAGCTCTCAGGGTCTGGTAAGCTCGCCGACATTGTGGGCATCGTAGCCGAGGATATCGATCCCTCCAGCGCCATACACGCACACTGACCCGTCGGGGCCGTGTTGGGGAGCAGTGCGTAGATTCGCGATTTGGATTATTAGCGTACTGAATGCAGCGTTGCCATTTGCCCGATGCGTTCCCTGCCAGTTTCTCGTTTCGTGTTTTGCCTGTTTATCGGATTGTCCTGGGGGCGGCTCAGCCAGCTACAGTTTCGCGTGTTCAAGGATGGCCGCCAGCTCCTTTATGACAACCCCCTCGTACACCTTCTGTCTAAACTGCTCCTCGCTCAGATCCTGCGTCGTACTGCACCCGATGCAACGCTCGACAACAGTCTTGTAGGGTGGACTGATCAGCGCTACCCGTTGTTCCAGCAGCCTCTGTGCTGTTATGGAGTCCCGGATGGTGGGCGAGCTCATCCCCGTACCCAGCCAGGTCATCCTGCGGCTCGCGCAGCTGGTCGAGGGCCGCGCCGAGTATTATTTCGAGCAGCAGTATTTCGAGCGCGAAGAGCGTCGTGTTCTAGTCTGGCGCTACATGTCCCGTGCTGTCGGGCTGTCCCGTGCCGTCAGGCGTGAGATGGTCAACTGTCCGCGGCTGCGTCGGAACATGTGGGAAGCTCCTGGATAGAAATGGGTGCTGGTACGAGACGGGGCTGCCGCGGTTGAAGAAGTGCACGCTCTTGCTCGTCAGCGTCCCGGGCAGCCACGGCGTCTTGCTCAGCTGCAGGACGGCGGAAGCAACCGCGAGTGCCAGCCTGACCTTCTCCTCGAGCCACACCAGCGACTGCAGACCCGTCTCGGGCCTGCGCTCCAGCACGTCTTGCAGCGTGACGATCGACCAGCGGTCGCTGTCGGCGGTCGCCCCCAGCGGGTACACCTCGAAGTGGTGCTCGGTTCGTTCCCGGTCGGCGAGACAGCCGTAGCGCACCGGCCGCGCCTCGCGGGCCTCTTTCAAGGCAGCGCAGAGTCCAAGAGTCGGCGGGGGTATCTTGGTAAAGGTGATGTCGGTAGTCTGCCGAGCGATAGTCACAACGGGTCTCTTCACGTCACACACAGGCAGCTTCCCTGGGCTCCTGAATAAGAGAATTGTCTCGGACTTGACAAAGAGGCGAATATGGCCCTTTTCCTTGCCTTCGCGGTCGTATCCGGAGGGGGGAGGCGGTGGAGGGGAGGCGGTGGAGGGGAGGCGGTAGAGGGGAGGCGGTGGAGGGGGGGTCGGTAGAGAGGTCGGCTGGGATATGGATATTGCTGTCTGGATATTAAGCTCGTCCCAGGAACGCTTCCGGCCTGATTCCTCGGCTATCTCGAACGAGATGGCCATCTTGAACCGGCCTCATGCAGTATCTGGGCGTCTTCGCCGTGGCAAGGTCCATGAGCTGGGTGGGCCGGCCGAGGCTGACGTCGTGCGGGTCCGTACACACAATGCTGGATCGCAGAGCGCAGTAGATGCTCGAAGACAGGTCCCGCAGGATCTTGACTACCTTGACGCGCGACCGCCTTCGACGGACGGGCTCGAGAGTCACGCTCTGGCGCGTCAAGCCCTCGAGGTCGCTTATCCCCTTAGATATGGTCTCTAGGGCATCCTAGTAGTCTTTCCTACTCAGGCGGTACAGAAACTTTTTGAATTCCCGTGGCATCCACTGCCTGTCGACCCATTCGACCTGCGTTGGCGTTAATTTGGGACTGGGGGACAGACCGAATGTAGCTTGCCTTTCCGTCCCGTGTAATTTGCACGCTGAGCCTCTGAATCACAGTTTCGAGCGCTTCTCTGACCGCTAGCACCGTCTGCTCGAACGGGTCGTACGAGTCGTACAGCCGTCGGCGGATTCTGTCGTTTGGCTCCTTGGCCTGCCACAGGGGCCCGAACGGGTCCTGCAGCATCGGCTCGACATCTGCCTGCGGCACGACGTCTCCCAGGAGCTGCTCGCAGACATTGTACAGCTTCGATCTCTCCATCGTCAGCTGCTGGTTGATGCTCTTCAGTTCCGAGGCTGTCTTGCCCCAGTCCGGCATGAAGCTGACGTAGGCCTCGACGGCCGAGACGACGATGGGAAGCGTCTCGATGACGATTCCGGCGACCTCGAAGCCCGGCGTGCTGGCGGCGACTGCTTGACATAGCAGGGAACTGCAGAGATGAGGTTGAAGGGGCGGTAGGTGCCTGATCCAGCAGTCCTCTCCGTGTGTGATGTGGTCTGGCAACCTCGGTGCCTACTAGGCCGGCTGTGCCTCGCTCGACCATCGGCTCAGAGAGGCAACCCACATGCAGGATCAAGTCGCTCACCTTCTCAAAGACACATCTCAGTTATTGCAAGACGCTCTCGCCGTGGTCCGTTGGGACCCACCTGCGCAGGCGCCTGTTAGCCAACGCAGGCGCCTGTTAGCCAACGCAGGCGCCTGTTAGCCAACGCAGGCGCTTGTCAGCCAATGCAGGCGCCTGTTAGCCAACGCAGGCGCCTGTCAGCCAATGCAGGCGCCTGTTAGCCAACGCACCAGCTACGATGGGCTTACAGACTCAGACATTGGCCATGAGTCTCCAGAGTCGCGCCTATCGACGCTGTGCATGGACATCAGAGAAGCCGCCGACTGTCTCCTGCGTCTCTCGGTTGCCAGAACCCCGCACCCCACGAGAGATTCCGCAAGCTCGGCGGGGGCCGTCAGAAGACATTTCGTTCCGAGAGTCACACGACGTTGCCTACGTCCGGGGCAAGTTTCCCCGATCAGATGGCGTCCTCGCTGAGGCACTGGGAAAGTCCATCACCCGCCGGCGAGAGTTCTTTCGCTGCCGGAAGGCCCACCACGACAGGCTTGCCCAGGGCCTCGAGAAGACAGACTTTGGTGGCAACTTTGGCGACAACGTTGAGGAGAGAGATGACAGCCACACCGAAATCGTCCAAACGACTGTTGCCTCGCCGCTGGCAGAGCACTTGAAAACACAGACAGACATTGATCTCCGGAGTGGGGTTATCGTCGAACCGCGACCCGGGGGCGCAGCTGACCAATAGGCCGCCATTTTGGGAGCTCAAGGACGAAGGCGGCCCATCCCAGCCAGCGGGGGATACGGCCACCACACTGCCGCTTCCACAGACGAATGTTATTTCCGCCAACACGCCAGCCGCGTTGGCTGACAAGTGGCCAATGGAAAACGTACAGCGATTTCTCCGGGCCAAGTCGTTTCCCAGCGACTGGCAAGAAACATTCAAAATACTTGACGTCCACGGGTCACAGTTCCTCAACCTTGGCCAAGGTGCCTCGGGTTCTGGGAATTTTTGAAATTTTGGCATGATGCACGAGCGAATATACCCCCAGCTTGCCCGGGTATGCTCGGAAAGCGGCACAAGATGGGACCAGCCAAGGGACGGGAGGAGGGCAAGAGACTGCGGTGCTTGATCCGGAAAGTCGTGCAGGGCCAGTTGCTCGATCCATTCGGCGAGGGCCAGGCACAGGTGCAGCCATTAGAAGAAGCCCCGGTCCGCTACTGGGTAGAAAGTGAGGCTATCACCATGGACGATAACGGGTTCCATGCGCCGGACGAAGCTGCCGAAGATAGGCCCCAGGAGGCAGAGAATATATGTGGGCAGTGCAGTGAGCATTATATAGACACCGAGGGCTGCTGGTACCATCCCGGATGGCTATATCGTAATGAAGCTGGCCAGAGAAGTAGGTGGACAATCCCTGCCGCGTTTTGCTCCTAGCTGCCAGCCGTTCGCTAACAAGGGTGCATCGAATACAGAATGGGCCTGCTGTGAGAGGGTCGAGTGCGTGCAATTTTGCGAAAGATGGGACCACACAGCAGGGGGATTTATCGGGACAAGTTCCGGGAGAAACAGCTGTTCAAGTTCAGAGATGAGATGGGTCGAAATTTTTTTACTACCGTTCCATTTGTGCTACACTTGGCTTGTAAGTCGGTATCAGATTTCTCTTTTTGTTTCCACGTGCTAACTTGGAACCAGGGAATGGAGGCCTTGATCAAGAAATCATTCCTGTATACGGTCGTCGATCCCAAGGTCCAGGAGGGGCATTACGACCTGCTGGGCCCCGACGGCGAGATTATTCCACCTAGCGCCTGGGAAGCTACGGTGAAAGACGGTTGGCCGGTCACTATGCGAATGTGGCCCGAGGAAACGAATGTGGCCCGAGGAAACGAATGTGGCCCGAGGAAACATTGGACTCGGACGTGAAATAGCCAAATCTATTGCCGCCAGATAAAGCACCGCGATTCTCGCTGGACAGATCACAGCCAATACACCCAGACCTGTTGAGATTATTACCGCCAGAAAAATTACTGCGATTGCCGCCGGAAATGTTACAGGGACTACAGACGGCACCGGCAGCACCAGACGAGACTCCCAATCTTTCTCCCCATTGGCAGCCCCGCCAGTCCTCTGGAACCAGTAGTCGACTCGAGGGCAGCGGGACTGCGAGTGGCAGTATCAGCGCTAGTGGGCTTCATAGCGAGGGCGAGAGCAACGAGTCCCTTTGGGAGCGGTTAGATGAAGGGTGAGAGATGAAGGGTGAGAAATGGATAAAGAAAATCCAGCCCTTTTAACCAACAGACTAGGTTTGAGCTGTGAGGTGCTACTGTATCACGGACCTGCAAAAACAAGAATAGAGGGGGCCGTTTGCCAAGACTCAAGAATTCGCACATCCAGACGGCCTGCGCATGATATATATCTAAACAGCCCGTTCTCTATTTTCATGCTCAGCCGATGTATCTTTGCGTTCGAGCAATTTTCATATTCTTCTCGTCTATTGGTTGGGGGTGGAGAGGACAGGTGATACCGCGAACCATGCATGTTACCAATTTTCCACAATATTGAGCTACTTTCCTTCGATGCCAAGGGGCACATTGACGGCAGCGGCGAACGAATACTATATTGTAGAGAACCCCGTCATATCGGCGAGCCTGAGCGGAAACAGCCAACCCGTGCGGCTGAACGTGCAACGCCACGGGCCAAACAAAGTTCACGGTTGTGGGCTGATTCCCAAGGGGTGTAGCGGCAGGCAAGGCATAGATAAGCGATGGTGTGCAACAACGCCCCCCAAATAGTAATGATTGGCGATAGCTGCCGTGCTGATGGTGTGCTGCCCGGCCTTCTCGGCGCTCTGTTCGAGTTCGAGACCGCGCCACAGTACGCCGGTGATTGCTTTTGATAGGCCACGCCCGGCGCCAAGACAAGCTGCACCACCATCTTTTCCCAGGCCTTGATCAAGACCGCGCTGCGCCTGACCTCTGGGATCACATCGAGCCGCATCCAGGCTCTCTGTGCCACCACCCGCAATTTGACAGAATGCCTCGGTTGCGGGAGGTGCTGGGCGAGGTGCTAGGCGAGGTGCTGGGGCTCGGGCAGCCTTGAGTGCAAGATTTGTTGGCGAGAAATAATACATAAAGGGTTGTGTCGCCCGAGACGCGGGCCACGCAGTCTCACACTTATCCGTAGCCATCGGGCCTTCTATCACAAATACTGGTATCCGTCACCGTCCGACATGGCGAGCAGCAACAAGCAGGACGTAGGGTTCGAGGGCGTGGTGCGGGCGGTGGCGGGCGGCCTCATGGAGCACCACAACGGGGTCATGGCCAGATACGAGGCCGTGTTTGCACTCGTCTCGTCCTATGACAACGGTGGGTCACCAGTCACATCCCCCAACCTCGGTTGTGCTAATTGTGGATTTGATGCAGTGTACTTTGACTTCTCCGAGTGGAGCTGCTCGGTGCTCAACGAGAGCACCACGTCCTTTGTCTTTGGCATCCCGGCTGGTGGCCTCGAGATCATGTGCTCCGACATCAAGGGCACGCCGCGCATTGCCACCGTCACCGCGAAGCACCTTGACGCCCGTGAGCTGCCCCCGTCCTGCTCCATCCCTGCTCCTGCTGACCCTCCAACCCGGCAGAATCCGGCCAGGACGTCGTGAGCATCTACGACTGGTGCGTCGCGCAGGCCCAGGCCGCCGGCTCGTTCAACCCCTCGCAGCGCGGGTTCCGCTTCGAGTTTGGCCGGTACACAGGGTCATGGCCCATCCCCGGCTTCCGCACTGTCGGCGCGCTGATCCTCGAGGGCCTGATCGCCGGGGCCATGGAGGCGCAGGCAAATGGTGGGGCCAGAGCCCCGGCCAGCAGCAACGACGGAGAGTGCTGCGTCATGTGAGTTGGGTTGGGGCGCCGTTTGCTTGACGGCGGCGAGGAGTTGGATTGCGTACATCCCACGCCCACAGACCCTGTCCCCTACAGACCTGTCCCCACAGACCCTGTCCCCCACAGACCTTGTCCTGTTTACTTGATCCTTTGAGCACAGCGAGAGTGCGAGCATAGGAAGCCTCTATGTAATTTGTTCGAAGGAATCATTGGAATTCAAAGGCTTGGCAACGTAAAGACGGCTTCGGCCCTCACTACCTAATTTGTAGCTAGACATATTTCTCAAATCTGTTTTCAAAACCCAACCAGGCCCGCACTACGCGGCCGACCGGATCAGCAGCGGGCCCAGCGTCCACAGGATCAAGATGTTCCTGACGTGCATCCACTTGTCCTGGCCGCGGGGGTGCTCATAGAGGATCTTGGTGTCGGCGATGCCGGCCCACGACCAGCACAGCAGGAAGATGCCCAGCGTCCGGCGCTCGCCCAGCAACGTCAGGATCCACACGAAGATGCCGGCGCCGAGGTTGCGGCCCGTCGACGACGGGAAGAGCACCACGTTCTCGCGCGTCGCCGTGGGCAGGCCGAAGAACTTGGCCACTGTCAAGAGTCAGCGGTTGCGACTCGGGCAGGCCGGAGAGGGACCAGTACGGCTCAGAGGGTTGACAAAGGTGCCCCACACGCCCGTGTAGATCAGCGCCGAGCCGATGGCCAGCGTGATGCCGTTGAGGGCGTACGAGTAGTAGGGGATGGCGCCTGTTTCTGACATGGCTGCTGGTCGAGGAGGTGTGTGGGTGCAGAGGGCTGGTGTGTGGGTGCAGAGAGCTGGTGTGTGGGCTAAGACGGCATCGAGCTGTGTGCGGCCAAGAACAGGCCGCGTCTAATATGAGCACACGGAATATGCCGGAGACCGAAACCGCCCGACGTTGCTGCTACCTTGCCCCGAGTTAGCCCGGCTGACGCCGGACCGAATTCCAAGGCCGGGTGCAGTCGCTGTCAGCCGGACTATTTGATGACGGCGGCGCTTGTTTGTTGCCCCACGGGGTGTTATTGGGTTCGACGCGGGATTGCTAGTGTCTTCGGGGCTTTGGGTAGTAACGGGAGGCATTGCCGGCGACTAACACACGACCTGCCCTAGCCCCGAAGCCGCAGGCCTTGGCGTGCTCGGGGTATTTGAAGAAAGACTTCCGTAGCCCGCGGGCCCACAACTGCTGCATGCGTCCCTTGCTTTAACCCCCGAAATGAACCGAGTCCTAACTGGCCAGAGCCAGATGAGCGGGTACGCCAGGCTAGAACTAGATGAGCGGGCTCGCCAGGCCAGAACTAGATGAGCGGGTACGCCAGGCCAGAACTAGATGAGCGGGTACGCCAGGCCAGAACTAGATGAGCGGGTCCGCCAGGCCAGAACTAGATGAGCGGTTCCGCCATGCTGCAAGTGTTGATACGGCACGACGAGGAGGTAATTACAGTGTATCTTGAACGGAGGGTTGAGGAGAGGTTATTGACGGCAGTACGACACCAGCTCACACGCCAGTACCCATTCTAGCACCAGGGTCAATGGAAAGTAGGATGTTTTGAATTTGTAGTGAGCTGAATTTGGATGCAAAGTAAACTGGGCAAAAGTAAGCTGGGCAAAAACAGAAACCACAATTTTCACCAGCAACTAGATCAAATCATCTTGCACCGACCCGGCTTAAACTCGACAAAGCATCAACTAGATTGCCATTCGCTAGTACCTCATTATTGCAGCTACATGGGTTGAATGGCGACTGGATCCCCCCGTCAGTGAATGACACATCCAACGTTTCATGCGAGAATCTGCCGCAGCAGCACGTCGGCCTTGCGCTTCTGCTCGGCCACTACGGCGCCCAAGTCGGGCCGCCGGGGCACAAACTTGATCCCGAAGTGATTGGGCTTCAGGACGACGGACGAGGTGAAGCCAGTGCTGGGGCTGAGGTCGAGCTTGGTCGTGGGCACCACGTCAAAGGCCCAGAGGATCTGGGATACGGCCATGCACATGCTCTGGTAGACGAAGTCCTTGCCCGGGCACTCGCGGCGGCCGGCGCCGAACGTGTACACGGCCTTGCGGCCCAGCTGCGACACGCCCGCCTTGGCGCCCACGGGGTCGCGCATGTAGCGCTCCGGCATGAAGCGGTCGGGCTCGTCGTAGAAGTCCGGGTCCATGTTCATGAGCCACATGTTGATCATGACCATGGTGCCCTTGGGAATGTTGTAGCCCAGCATCTGCTCGTCGGCCACCGTCTCGCGCGGCAGGCCCAGCGTCGACACGGGCCGCCACCGCAGCGACTCGGTCATGCACGCGTTGACGTACGGCAGCCGGTCGAGGTCGATGCGCTCGGGCAGCTCCGTCTCGCTCGCAAACACGCCGTCGATCTCGGCCTGGGCGGCCCGCTGCACCTCCGGGTGCGCCGCCAGCGCCAGCATGAGGGTCTGGAAGACCACGACGGACGAGTCGAAGGCGGCGTCGATGGTGCCGCCCATCAGCATCGTGATCTCCTGCTCGCTGAAGCGGCCTTCGGGTGGCGTCTTGGGATCGGCCGCCCGCTGCAGCAGCTTGGTGGCGAGCGGCTGGATCGTGTTGTTGTGAGGCTTCTTGGCGTGCGCCATCAGCGCCCCGTACGACTTCAGCAGCGCCTTGCGGGTCACGGGCGCCTTGCGCTTCCACTCCGCGAACATGGCCGGCACCCACTGCAGTATCGGGAAGATGTCGATGGGCGGCGCCGTCGCCGGGTCCAGCAGGTCCTCAAACTCGTGCTGCACCTTGTTGTAGTCGCGCACCCAGTTGTCGCCCAGATCGTGCAGCTGCGCCCCGCTGATCATGGCCACGGGCGCCGTGACGGCCCTGCGTCGCGTGTCAGTGAGGGCACGCCAATATACCAGGGACACACGTACCACGAAGCGATGTGGTCTCTCCACTTGTCGCCCGACTGCAGCAGGTCGTAGACGAGGCCCGTGGCCGAGGCCTGGTGCATGGGCGCCAGCTGGCCGAGGCCGGAGCCGGCGAGGAACTCCTTAGTGATGGTGCGCAGGCGGCGGCTGTAGTCGTTGCTCAAGAAGATGGCGTACATGTCGCGGCCTTCGGGCAGCACGTGTTCCTGGGCAACGTGGCGCTTCGGGCGGCCCGAGAAGATGGCGCCGCGCTTGACGATGAACTCGTAGACGAGCTTGGCGTCGTTGATCACGATCACGTTGGTCGGGCCGAACTTGAGCCCCGTGATGGGGCCGTACTGCTTGGCCCACTCGGCGGCAGTGAGGAAGGGGTTTTCCCGCGGGAAGTTATGCAAGTTCCCCAGCCCCAGGATCGACGGTGGGCCCGGCGGGAAGTTTGGCGGGCGCCGCGTCGACAGCAGCCACACCACGGCATGGTACACGAGCAGGCCCGCCAGGGACAGGAGGCCAAGGGAGAGAGCCAGGGCCATCGTACGAGTTGGTATATGGGAACGTCACGTGCTAGAATCTGGCGACTGGCATCACAAGCGGTAGTCCTGTGCTGCCGCGGCATACACGGGCCTCACTCATATATACCCAGGCGGCCTAGGCGGCCTAGGCAGCCTGAGCGAATGGCCCGAAAACGACCCGAAGCCGGGGCTCGTGCCCCACACACCCAAGCCCGCGATCAATAGCTAAGCCGGTGTGGGATACCCGATAGGACCATCTCCAGAGCCTGCGGGGGCTGCAAAGGCTGCAGGGGCTGCAGGGGTGGCTAACAGAGCACACGCAGCACGGCACAAAGCAGCCCATAACACGCTACGCTGCCACTTCGAGCGCGAACTACTAACCATCAGACCACTGGACACGTACGAGTCTGTTCGAATTTCATCGTGATAGTATGGGAACTTGATTCCCGGATTTCTCTCACGGATCCATCGAGGACTCAAGACAAGCTAGTTAAGCCTGTAACATGAAACCTTGAGCCTTGGTGTTCTAGAAGGTCCTGTGTCGGCGAGCTGCAGACCACCGCTCAAGCCCAGCCGGCATAAGACGCAAACTCGGCCTTGATATGGTCGGGCAGGAACGGGACGAGAATGTCAGCCTTTTGCAACGCGAGGCCTTCCATCCGCAAGATAATTAGCATACGCCATGTGCTATGTGGCGTGGAAGTAAGCGTTGGGCAGGCTATTGAAGATGGTAAAGTCACTGGCGGAGACGGGGCGGTACGACGTGGAGCCGCGGGCCTCGGAACCGACAACAAGAGTCGGAACCGACGACAAGAGGCAGCTGGGCGGTGTTGGCCCCGGCGTTAGTGAGGGCCGGCGCGGCCGACGGCCTCGAGCAGGGCCAGCGTCTTGGCATGCGGGCGAAGATGCCGGGACACTCGGCCTCGCGCTCGCCCCACATGACACGGGCAGAGTCCCACTCGACAAGCTGGCGGCCGGTGACGGCCTCGGCCAGCACCACGGGCCACGGGGTAGTGCGTGGCGACGCGGATCTGGGGCACGGGTTAGTGCGTGGCGACGCGGATCTGGGCGCCCAGCGGGAACATGTCGGGGGCCAGGCGGGCGTCGAGGAGCGTGACGGCGTCGGGGTGCATTGACGCCAACTCGAGGATGCGCCGCATCACGTGCAGCAGCTCAATATGAACGCAGAAGCTTGGACTCGTGGAGCTGACGGGGGCCATGGAGTGCTTTGCCAACCATGGTGCCGCCCTCGGTCGGGACCTGGTACTGGAAAGTTAGCGCAGGCCGCCAAGTATACGGTACGCCATGGATGGGCGCAGTACATCCCTGTGGCATGTAGTTATGTAGCGGCTGCTCCTGCTACGTACGCGTATTCGCTGCGACGCTTGGCACTGCAGTCTGCAGTCTGCAGGTGCTGCTCGATAGCGGCAACGGCTTCCCGTCGAATCCGGAACTCTTGCACAATTGTGCAACAGTGCGTGGTAGCAACAGTGCGTGGTAGCAACAGTGCGTGGTAGCAACAGTGCGTGGTAGAAACTTGTTCATGACGGGGCTTGCAGTGTTCTATTGGCTTGGCCCCAACTGGCCCAGTGGATCGGAGATATTAGGCCCGGGCACGATGCATGTCGTAGACCTGTGTTGTGCGCTCGAGGCTCCTTCGGATCATTCAGTTGGTAGCTGACTAACTCGGCCGAACTTCAAACCGCGTTTGTCAGCAGCGGCGAAACAGTGCCCGCGGCTGGTGGCAGCTGGCGGCAGCTGGCAGCGAGCAGGAGGAATACATTAGCATAACCAGTGTGACGGTAATCATGAGAAAAGCGGAAGAAGTAGGCAGCTGGCGGCAGCTGGCAGCTGGCAGCGAGCGGGAGGAATACATCTAGCATGACCACCAGTGTGACGGTAATCATGAGAACAAGCGGAAGAAGAAGCACTAATTACTTGGCGTGGAGAATGGCATTCAAAAGTGGAAATTGCTAGACCTTAAATACTTTGATTGTAACGCTCTGTAAAATCCTAGTTGTAACGCTCTGTGAAATCCTAGTTGTAACGCTCTGTAAAATCCCTGGCTCCGTGGCTGGGCTATCTCGGACGGATCATGACATCACTTGGCCAGGCATAGACATTAGAAGATGGCCAGGCTGCGTGTCATGTATTGAACCTCGTTAATCGCAGAGTGCCTAGTTAAATACAATGCGGCACCGGCACAGCTCACTGCACCGCGATGCCCCCGCTGGAGTTGATGGTCGCGCCCGTCGTGTTAGAGTCCCTCATGAGGTAGACAAATGCCTCGGCGACCTCGTCGGGCGTGCCGACCTTGCCCAGCAGCGCCGTCTTGGCGAAAAAGTCTCTGGCGCCCTTGCGGTCCTCGGGCGTGGGCCCCCAGAGCTCCGTCTCGGTTGCGCCGGGGTGCACGACGTTGACGCGCAGCGGTGCCAGGTCGAGGGCGAGCCCGCGCGCCAAGCCCTCGAGGCCGGCCGCGAAGCACGCGGCGGCGGGCCAGCCCTTGATGGGCTTGTCGCCCGCGCGGCCGCCGCAGAAGGCCAGGCTCGACGCGTAGCCGGGCGTGAGGAAGCGCGGGGCCAGCTTGGCGATCAGCGCGGGCGCCACGATCGCCAGCTGCGCCTGCCCGAGGATGAAGTCTCGGTCGGTGCGCGCGATGGTGCGCATGCCGGCGCGGCCGGCCGTGACGACGACGTGGTCGAGCTGCCGGGTGCCGCCGGCCGTGACGTCGGCGAACAGCTTCTCGAGGCGCGCCTCCACGTCGGGCCGCGACAGGTCGACGGTGAAGCCGCGGACGTCAGCGGTGGCGGGCGACTCGGCCTTGAGCCTCGCGACAGCATCGGCAACGCGGCCCGCGTTGGACGACGCAATGCACACGCGCGCGCCCTGCTCGGCAGCGAGCCTGGCGACGGCGGCCCCGATGCCCGACGAGCCGCCGATCACGAGGAGCGATTGGCCCGAAATCGAAGGCATCTCGACAGTTGCAGGCGCAGGCGCAGGCTATCGGTGCGGATGAGACTGAGGGTGTGTCGAGGCGGCAGGGTGTGTCGAGGCGGCTGTGTGTCGAGGCGGCAAGGTGTGTCGAGGCGGCAAGGTGTGCGATGCAAGTCGGGCTTTGGCCTCTTGGAGTTTAGACTGCGAGGCGGCTGGAATGGTGGATTCAAACTCGTCTTTCCTCGTGCTCTGCAAGCATTGAGGGCTGTCATATGGGTGTGTGCTCTGTAATTAATTAAGGCCTGTACATGTACATGTAATCCGTACACCGTGCCGCTAATTAGCCGTCTGCCCTATGAGCGATGTGGGCGTGCACTGCCGGGGCAGGTTGAGCCGGGTCGGGTCCTCAATGGCCGATTTATTTGTCATTGGCCGAGCAATGTTGACCCGGCCCTCGTAATGCGATGCGGTGCGGCACAGCCTGCAGGGCCGCCACAACCATGATCCAATGTGTCGTGATACCACCGTGGCTGCAATGCCGCCGTGGCTGCAATGCCGCGAACTTCAACGCTTCTGTCGATCGCAGCGCAGCTCAACCAAGATGAACTAGCTTCAATCCGGGTTGCCATAGCATAGCTGTCTCGGGTGGTAGGCAATGCACAATCCTCAAGGATGAGCTGTACGTGCATGCTGCTACACGTGTATACGTAGCCGCGGTGCTTGGCGCGTCACCGGCCGGACAGGTGAGGGTGTACAAGTGCAGTACATCCCGAGTACCTTTACTACAGGGACAAGGACGGGCACTAACGGCTTGGCGGCTGCCCCACGCGATGCGACGGGAGGCATCCGAACTGCACGCTAGGGACACGGGGGAAAATACGGTATTACAGTGGTATTATCCATACGTGCAGCCAAGGTATCTGATGCACGACGTTCGCGCTGCCGCTTGATGTACATGTACATGTATAAGGTATTGGTCTATGCTAGTGTCGCTCGCCAAGTTCATTTCTTCCCGTAACGCCACCCCAGCCTGGCCCCTGGGAGCGTTGCTGACAGCCAGTCTATTTTTCCTCTGCACTACCACAAGTACCAGCCTCGGCCGCTCGGCAGCTCGGCCGCTCGGCAGCTCGGCAGCTCGGGATGCCGGCCTAAACCGCGACGGGGATCACCTTCTCCTCCGCCGTGTTGCCGTCCTGTTTGGGCATCCGTTTGAAGGGGATGATAAGCGAGATGAGAACGGTCAGTGCAGCGCCGGCCAGGGAAAAGGCAAACACGTCCTTGATGCCGACCATGTAGGCGTCGAGCACAGCGGCAAGGTCGGCGCCCCGGAAGACGTGCTGGAGCTCGGACGCACCCGTGGCGAGGACCATGCCCGAGTTGAGGTTTGGCGCCTCGGCGGCAAGGGTCTGCAGCAGGCGGTTTGCAAAAAGGGACTGCGCTGCCGTGACAAAGTAGGCGCCGCTGATGGAGTTGCACACTGGGCGGGGTCAGCAGAGTCGCCACACGATGCGGCAGGCTGGACTTACTGAGCATGATGCCCGTGATGGACGCCACGTTCTCGGGCTTGGCGAAGATCTGCGCCGTCGTCATGGGCACCTGGTTGCCGAGGCCGATCCCGAACCCGAACAGGACCTGCGGGCCAATGTACCGGGCCTTGGACGAGTCGATCTCCAGCGTGTAGATCAGGGCCGCGCCGGCCGTGGCGACCAGCCCGCTGGCGAGCTCGAACGGCTGGAGCAGGCGGGTCTTGCCGATGAGGAAGCCGCTGAACATGGCGCCGAGGGCAAAGAAGGCCATGAACGGCAGGTTGTTGACGCCGCTGTCGATGGCCGACTGTCCGTGGATGGACTGGAAGTAGATGGGCAGGTAGAAGAGAACCTGGAAGTTGCCCAGATTGATGCTGGTGCAGGTCAGCAACAGCGCGGCAAGCGAGGTAGACAGCACGGCAAGCGAGGCAGATAGCACGGCAAGCGAGGTAGACAGTGCGGCAAGCAAGGCAGACAGCACGGTAAGCAAGGGTAAGTAACTCACATCCAGCCGTACAGCGCGTTGGTCCAAATCAGGCGCGACTTGAGCAGCGACAGCGGCACCATGGCGTACTCGCCCTGGAGCCACTCGGTGGCCCAGAAGCCGATGGTCAGGACGACCCACATGACCAGCGTGGCGACGACGCTGCCGTCACTCCACGGCTTGGTCTGGCCGCCCCACTGCAGGGCCAGGGTGAAGCTCACGAGCGAGGTGAGCAGCAAGCTGAAGCCGGGCAGGTCGAGCTGCAGCAGAATCTCCTTCCACGTGGCCGGCATGGGCTGGATGTGCTTGGGAATCCTGAAGAAGATCAACAGCATTGCGACGATGGGGCCGCCGACGGGCAGGTTGATCCAGAAGCACCAGCGCCACGTGGCGTTGCTCGTGAAGGCGCCGCCGATCAGCGGGCCGACGATGGTGGACATCATGAAGACTCCCATCCACAGGCCGATCAGCATGGGCCGCTTGCGGGGCTCGGCCACGTACGTGATCATGAGCACGGAGCCGCCCAGCGTGCCCGAGCAGCCCCAGCCCTGGAGCGCGCGGCCGACGATCAGGGACGCGCTGTTAGGCGCCGCCGCCGCCAGGATGCTCCCGATCAGGAACAGGGCCACCGATGCCAGGTAGACCAGCTTGCCCGAGAAGTACTTGTACAGCTTGCCCCACATGGGCGCCGACGTGCCGACGAGGAGGAAGCAGGCGCTGCCGTACCATCCCACGTCGTCGAGCCGGCGGAACTCGTCCGTGATGCCGGGGATGGCGGTTGCGACGATGCCCTTGGACCGAGCGGTTAGACTTGAGCGTCACTGTCGAGGCATGCTAGCCGACCAGCTTGCAGGGGTGGAGGCTTGAGACTTGACTCACAATGTCCAATGCGGCGAGAAGAGTGCTGAGGAAGATGGTGGCCATGATCATGACCAGCTGGAAGCCCTTGACGTACTCGGGCTCGGCCGCGGCCTCGCCGGCGCCGCCGCCGGCGCCGACATCTCTCTTCTCTGGGAGGCTGTCCGAGTGCTCGCCGTTGCTGGCCGTGTCAGTGGTGTGGCCCGACTCCTTCGCGGCCGCGGCCGCGTTGGTCGCGTCATATTCAGGCGCCTGAGCCGACATGTTGCTGTGTTGTCTCTAGTCTAGGTAGTCTGACTCCGATGCCGAGATCTTTGGGAAGGGGTGAAAAGGGAAGGTTCTGATGCAAGGCGACTTGCTTTAAGCCGGCGCGTCGGCGTGTTTACACGGGCCACCTGCAGACAGGCGAAGGCGCCAGATTTGCATCGAACAGTTCGGGGCCTGGGACGATGACCAAGAAGACAACAGAACGGGGGAAATTTCAGGCCGACCACGGCCAATTCAAAGACCACACACAGCTGGTCAGCCGACAAAACCACAGGAAACAAAACCACGGGAAACCTGGCATTTCGGGATTGAACACATGGACAGCGTCCCAAAGGGGCACCGTCAAGGAGAGGTACGGAGGTACATGGCCGCCCCACAGCAAACACGTCTTGATTACAAAGGTCGGGCCAATTCGTCTCCGGCTTGTCAAATGGCGGCGCTGGGCCTATCGCGGCACGGTCCGCCACCGCCAACGGGCCAATGGGGTAAAATGCAGCCATGGGCGCCAAGACGTTAGACGTTGGCCAACCCTGTCGCTGATCGCACGGCCGCGCCACATGCACGTTGCTGGTCAGAGCTAGCGTTGCCGGCCAGAGCTAGCGTTGCCGGTCAGAGCTAGATCACCCGCGGACGGACGATTGCCGCGCTATTGCGGCATCCCACCTGGCGCTGCCTGCCGGGTTCCCTCACAAACCTGCGACAAACAGCGGGCACAGACAGTGCACCGAAACAGCCAAGCAACAGCCCTTCGAGCGCAGCGAGCAGCCCGCCGCAGGCGCCCCCGGAGGGCCGCCAGAGGCAAAAGGACGACCGAGTGTCGTCAAGCAAGGCACAATACGCAATGGGAGTGTTTTCATTCAATTATTGCCCACGGGCTGTTCCCTCGGGCTGTTTTGTTCAGGACTATTACAAAGAGCTTGGACTGCCACCAGCTCGATATCCATCGCGCCATCTACCTCGGGCGGTCTAGTCCTCAGTGAAAATCTTGTCGTAGTCGTGCTCGGCCCAGCGGATGTCCGGGGTCAGGCCGGCAAACTTCCACACGCCGGCGACGCGGCGGTAGCGCACGGTCGCCTTGCCGTGGGCGTGGCCCTTGTAGAGGACCTCGGTGAGACCGTCGTCCTTGTACTTCTGGTGCGCGACGCGCATCTGGTGGTAGCCCGTGATGGTGTCGGCGCCCGTCTGCACCCACCGGCCGGCGCCGATGAGGTGCTGCGTCTTGATGCGCTTGTTGCCGAGGAAGTGCTCGCTCGACGCCATGGCCAGGAACTCGGGCGCCGGCATGTCCTCCCACACCTTGTCCATGACGGTCGTGTAGTCAATCTGCGGCTGTCAGTCCTGCTTTGGTGGGGAGGCTTGTGAGCGACGCACAAACAGCGTCGGCGCGATGCACTTGGCCAGGCGGTCCCAGTCCTTGGTGTCGTAGCTCTCGGCCCATTCGAAGATGGCGGCCTGGCAGCCCAGGACATCTGTTTCTTGTGAGCTGGGACTTGGGTCGGCTGGAGTCGGGCTTACCTTGGAAGGTGGGCGGGGATTCTGCGGGCTCGGCCATGGTGTGCTGTGCGGGTGTGCTGTGCGTTGAGGGTGTGTTGTGTGGGTGTGCTCTGCGTTGAGGGTGTGCTGTGCGGGTGTGCTGTGCGGGTGTGCTGTGCGTTGAGATTGTCCCGAGGGCGAGTAGACGTGGCATTCGACGCCAGGAGAGGTCGGGACCGCCTTGGCAGGGCACCAGCCGCTATATGATGTTTGTGTGTGAGCTGCCGGGTCGTGGGCGTGTGTTGGCGCCGCAATCCTTCGGCCACGAGACCTGACCCGGCCGCAATGCCCCGAAGCCCGAAGCCGTAGCCAAAGCCGAAGCCGAAGCCGAAGCCGAAGCCGAAGCCGACGCCAATACCGATGCCGATGCACGGCACGCGGCGCTCGCGTCTTTCGGGGTCCGACCAGCAACGCGGCTGCGGTAGCCAGCGCAGCCCAGGCGCTAGCTAGCGGCGTTCGAGCCCTCGCTCCGTAGCGGCGGAATCGAGCGACTTCATAAAGACGATTCGTCGTGTTATCTGCCGGCCAATTCACGGTTAGCCCATCGTCCCTTCCAGCCCCAGCCCCAGCCCCAGCCCCAGCCCCAGCAGAACACAACCCAGACACCATGACGACCCCCTACATCCCCGGCCGCCTCGACGGCAAAGTCGCGCTCGTGACGGGCTCGGGCCGCGGCATCGGCGCGGCCATGGCGCTGCAGCTGGGCAAGCTCGGCGCCAAGGTGGTGGTCAACTACTCCAACTCGGCCGAGCACGCCGAGAAGGTGGTGGCCGAGATCAAGAGCTACGGCACCGACGCCGTCGCCCTCAAGGCCGACGTGCGCGACGTCAAGCAGACGGTCAAGCTGTTCGAGGACGCCGTGGCGCACTTCCGCCGCCTCGACATTGTGTGCAGCAACGCGGGCGTCGTCAGCTTCGGCCACCTCAGCGAGGTGACCGAGGACGAGTTCGACCGCGTCTTCAGCCTCAACACGCGCGGCCAGTTCTTCGTCGCGCGCGAGGCCTACCGCCACCTCAAGGACGGCGGCCGCATCATCCTCATGTCGTCCAACACGGCCCGCGACTTCAGCGTGCCGCGCCACTCGCTGTACTCGGCCTCCAAGGGCGCCATCGACTCCTTCGTGCGCGTGCTCGCCAAGGACTGCGGCGACAAGAAGATCACCGTCAACGCCGTCGCCCCCGGCGGCACCGTCACCGACATGTTCCACGCCGTCTCGGAGCACTACATCCCCGACGGCGCCAAGTACTCCCCCGAGGAGCGCCAGCAGATGGCCGCCTTCGCCTCGCCCCTGCACCGCAACGGCTACCCCGAGGACATTGCCCGCGTCGTCGCCTTCCTGGCCAGCAAGGAGGCCGAGTGGATCAACGGCAAGATCATCACCCTGGACGGCGGCGCGGCGTGAGCGCGGGGGCACATCGCTGCACCTTGCCAGATAGAATCCAGTAGCATCTCCTAATAAACCATCATGAATCCCACGTGCAGTCCCTTTTCTCTTGTTTTGCCTCCGGCGGCCCTCCGGGGGCGCCTGCGGCGGGCTGCTCGCTGCGCTCGAAGGGCCTGTTGAGGATTCACTGCTTGCAACTATCAACTAGAGACTATTATTGCATTGAACTATTGCACGTCACTGCCTTGTTCCAATTTGTCCGTTGGGCCTGCTCTTCATGCCACCAAATCCAGCGAATTCCGTCGGGGTTAGGGTTGGCGGTCAGATCTCACTCAGGGGCTTGCAGGGCTGCTAGTTGGCACGGCGACGGGTTGAATTCAGCTCAAACTACAACTACACAATAAATAAATGCAAATCATGCAAAACTATATGCAATACTCGATTACCCTCTGCCGACACCTGTCCCCCTCAGCGTGGCCCCGTGTTGGCGGGCAGGTACGGGTGCAGAAACGGCAGGTAGTGGCGCATCAGGCCCATGAGGATGCACATGGGGGTGCCGGTGGGGAACTTGGCCCTGCCGTTGGTGTTGACGACGCTGACGTTCTGGCCGTCGTAGGCGCCCGTGTCGTCGTCGACAGCCTCGATCATGGCGGCAGCCAGGTCGAGGTACGACAGCGGGCTGTCCTCGTCGGTCAGGCTCAGGGCGTGGCCGCGCTGCACGTCGACCGACAGCGCGCCCGGCTTGGCGTAGATGGCCGTCAGCCACCCCGCCTCGGCGCGCAGCATCCGCTCCGTCTCCACCAGGTCCGCGTACACGTGCGACGCCGACCGCAGCAGCACCAGCCGCAGCAGCCACGGCACGTGCCGCGAGAAGTGGTCGTCGATGGTCGCCGACGACAGCAGCACCAGCTTGGGCAGCGGGTTGCCGGGCGAGGCGTCCCGGAGCCCCCGCAGCGCGTGCAACACGGCCGCCGCCGTGTCTTGCGCCAGGCGGCACCCGGGGATGTTGTCGTTGGTCGACACGACCAGGAACACGGCGCGGCAGCCGCGGATGCACGCCGTCAGCAGGTCGACGTCTTGCACGCTGCCCTCGAAGACGGTGACGCGCCCGCCGTCCTTGATGTCCGGGAGCACCCGCATGAGTTTGGCACGGTTGCGGCAGTAGGCGTGGACTTGGCCGCCGGGCTTGTTGAGCAGGTTTTCGATGAGCGCCGTGCCGCAGTTGCCCGTCGACCCCAGGACGGCGTAGGTGTTGGCCGGCGCCGTTGCGGCGAGGTGGGCAGTGGTGGGATGGTCCATGGTTGCCGATGGCAAGAAGAGCCGAGTTTGTGCAGTGCAGCGCTGCGGAGAGGCAGGCGAGCAGGCAGGAACAGCTGCGAGGCCTGTGTGTCTTCTCGAAGCCTGCCGCCGCGTGGGTTAATTAGGAGAGGGCATGTTGGTACATCCACTAATAGTCGATCGCGGGTTGCACTGGTTCTCGGGGCATACCCGGCCACCGGGGCGGAAGTCAGCTTTGTCCCGCATTGAGCCGACGCGTTCACACCCGCCTAGGTGGATCCGGTTTTAGTGTCCGCGAGTGCGAGGTCCACCGTTGCGAGCAGTCATGTTGACATTTTCGACATGCCCGTACACCTACCTACTCGGCAGTTAGGACCTACCTACTCGGCAATTAGGACCTACCCACTCGGCAGTTAGGACCTATCTACTCGGCAATTAGTACCTATCTACTCGGCAATTAGGTAGGCAAGCAAGGCACTTGTTTCGCGCACGTCATCCTCCGCGAGATGACCCTCGCCGAATTGCTCGTGAAATGCTACAGCAGCTTATCGATTGAATGCAAGACTCTAGATTCCATTGCTGCCATTGCCACCACCCACTCAGTGACTCGCACCCGGCTGCATCAGATACTGCTGGAACTTGGGAAAAAAATTGGCGTAAAACGCCGTGTCCACCATCTCCTCCAGCCTGCTCACTTTGGTGCCGTCCTCGGAGAAGGTGACGAAGATGGCGTACTCATTGGTCCACTTCTCGCCCGGCAGCGGCGTGTCGGCCAGCGAAGTCGCGTAGACGGCCGCCGTGCCCCGCGCCGCGTCGTGCACCACCTGCTTGATGTCGAGCTGCGTTCAGTGTCAGCGAGCGCATGCATGCAGTCGTGAGACAAAACCCGCCTCCCAGTTGGTCAAATTATCGACCAGCTTCGGGTATATGGCCTCGGCGGCGGCGCGCGAGTGCACCGGCGTGCCCAGGGACAGGGGCAGCAGCCTCTGCTTGAAGTCGTCAGACCACAGATCGATGGTGGCTCTGGCGTTCTGGTTCTTCCACGACTCGAGGAACCTGTCGAGCGTGGCCGCCTGGACGTCGGCAGCGGCAGGCATGGTTGCAAGGGTTGTCTCGAGAGAATGCAGTGGGCTGACCTGGGGAGTTTGCATGCAGTGGCCTGAGATGCCGGCCCAGAAGCCTAGATTGGCCTACGAGTAATGTAGTCGCCGCTGCGGCCCCGAAATACCCCGAACGGGTAATCGCCATATGCTTAGGTCATCCTATCCAAGCCCGACACCCTAAAGATTGTGTTGGTGGAGGTCCTAGAACTAGGTAGCCTGTAGGGCTCGGCTCGGACCCGGTAGTGTGAACCGGGGTCCCGATTCCTCCCGCGTTCCGCAACATGCGACTTTGCCATACGCAGGGCGTGGCAACATCCGAGTTACCTAATTACCTAGCCTGCGCAAAGTCTGAGTCTGATGCCGATATTTCCAGAATCAAGCAATCCGGAACCACCGGGTCGTAGAGGTCTAGAACGCCGCATTCAATACTTCGGATCCTATTTTCCTCCGAGTTATGCGGCTGGGCCGGATACTCGGCGACTTGGCTTGTTGGGGCAGTTTATTTCCCAAACCGGAGCCTGCGTCCAGCCAGCACTGTTGGCAGCTGATACCGACGTTTGCATATTCAACAGGCTTTCCGGGGCTGAGAGGCCAACAGGAGGAGGACGGGGTTAAGGACAAGATAGGGGCTAATGATAGACAAGACGGTCACGGGGGTTGAGGACGGACGATAAATCCGGCCCGAGAATAGTTCCAACCTCGTGCAGCCTGCACTGCTACACGAAGCCCAGAAGGAAGGGACTAGACAGCATACGGCTAGACGCAGCCTAGTCTAGTTCTAAATTGGGTCCGAGAATTCCGGTGTGACAGCCAACTTCGATAATTACCAGATTGTAACGAAATACACGGCAATACGCAAAGGTAACGCGATAGTAACGGGACTAACACGATTGACGCAGGAGCAAGACGATGGTAACACTAGAGCAACACGATAGTAACACAGGAGCAACACGATGGTGACACAGGAGCAACACGATGATGACACAGGAGTCACACGACGGCAGCACACGAGGACATGAGAGTAACAGCCTAGATTTCGCCCTGATTTCGCCCTATCTTCCCGTCCACCTGTGTAACTGCAAACGGGACTAGTACCCGCCCTGCCCGGCTCGCCCAGCAGCCCGGCTCTTGCCAAGGCGCCCCTGCCAGCCGGCAGCCGCCGTTCTCACTCAGCGCCGCGTCGCCAAGATGATCTTGACGGGAAAGTAACCCTCGACCCGCTTGCCGCCGGCAAGCAGCGCGTCGAGCTCGGCGTACAGGCCCACAAAGGCGTCGGGAAACTGCGAGATGAAGGGGAACGAGCCAAAGTGCTCGCGCACGCCCGCCAGGTCCGTCTCGAAGCTCCAGCCGGACTCGTCCTCGCGCACGTCGACGTCGGCCGGACCCGTGTAGTCGGGCTCGGCGGCCGCCCGGTGCGCCTCCTCGGGCGGCAGCATGCCCTGGATGCCGCCGTGTGCCATGTTGAGGTGGACGCGCAGGGCGCCGGGCACGAACAGGGCCTCGTCGAGCGGCGCCACGCTGTACCCGTCCTGCGTGCGCGCCATGACGCGGATCGTCTGGTCCGGGTCGTCGACGGTGCGCAGCAGCTGGCGCCCGCCCTCGTGGCTGAAGCGCGCCCACAGGTCCTGCAGCGCCGCGTCGTGGAACCGCGCGGGACCGAACAGCGCCGCGGCGAAGGTGCCGCCCGACTTGAGCTGCCGGGCGATGGCCGCCATGGCCGCGGCCTGCGGGTCCGGGAAGTGCATGACGTTGGTGGCGAAGACCATGTCGACGCTGCCCGGAGCCAGGTCGTCGGCCTCCTCGACCTTGGCGGCGCGGAAGCTGTACCCGTCGGTGCCTAGGCGGGCGCGGGCGAGGTCGACGTTGGTGGGCGCGATGTCGGACACGATGACGTGAGCGAAGCGGGCGCGCAGCCGCTGGGCGTAGGGTCCGTTGCCGGCGCCGACGTCGTGGACGGTGCCAAAGGCGCCACCCTTGGCCTTGTGGTAGCCAAAGATGCGCTCGAAGAAGGACTCGGGCACCCGCGGCCGGCCCTTGACGTAGTTGTCCCAGAACTTGTCGTCGCGGGCGAAGATCGTGCCGTTGGAGTCCATGGCGGGCGAGGCGTGAGAGAGCAGGGTCGACCGGCGTCAAGGTCTTCCTACGCAGCTGGCAGCATGACATGCCAGCGCCGCCCCAGGCAGTCAGTAACGTGGTGCTGTTATCTACATGCATACGGGCCGATTGCTGGCCGTTCGGGTCTTGCTGGTGCGTGATTCCATCTCTCGTAGCGAGGCGCCGGGAGTCGTAGCAGGTCCTGCGTCGGTGTGATTGGGGTGGAGAACGCCGCGACCGACATCCGATGGGTTTCCGTCTCGTCGGGACAGGAGAGGTGGTGCGGGCAGCAAGACGCTCGTCAGTAGTTTCGGAGCAATGGGTCTGGAGCCGACCGAGGACCCACTAGAGCTTCAATCTGACTTGCAAATCAAGTCTACGGGACGGGCATCGGTGCCAGTCCAGCAAGTGACCTTGCACGTCTGCAGCCCGGATGCATATCAGAATCACGTAATCGCGGGCAACATGTTACCCCGTTCCCACTGCCCCATCTCTCTATTGCTCCTTCCCATGCATGGCTGCGGCGGCGCCTACTCGAGTCATGTAATCCTTCCATACCTACGCAAGCCACCCACGCAGCACCCCGTTCCTTCCCCCTGGATTTAATGTTCGGCGAACTCCTAAAGTCCCAAAGCTAGCCAGAATCAGTAATATGGATGGTCCTGCTGGACAGCCAACTGCTGCTGTGCAACCAACTGCTGTATGGCTAACTGGCTGCCGAGCACTAACTAGCTGTCAAGCAACCGACTATTGCTCATTAACTGGCTGCTGTGCAACAGCTGTTGCAGACAGTAGCTGTTGCAGACAGTGTGCCGGGCTGCCAAGGTAAGCACAAGGTCACATGTGTGTCAGCCCATGGCCGGACGAGGTGCGGTTGTGTGTTGAATTAGAGGCACCAGTTTGATGCCAGGGCGACTTCGGAGATAAATTTCCACAGTGAGATCATAGGAGAGGGCTCGACAACTCAAACCCACCTTGTGAAACGTGAATGCGGTTGTGCGACAACATTGAGGCTGTTAGTCGGGACATTGCCCGAAAGAGTACTTGTAAACTACCTAATCAGAAGCCCGCCCCCTCCCCCACCTTCCCCCCCGAGTAATTACATGCAGCCCCCCTCCACCCAATCAGCACCCGCATCAAGCGTCGGGCGGGTCCACAAAGGCCTGGTGCTTGACCGCGACGGCCACGACGAGCCCCGTGTTTGAGCGCAGCCGGTGGGTGACGACGAGCTTGCCGACCGAGTCCTTGACCGAGCCGAGCAGGTCGAACAGCTCGGCCATTTCCATCTCGCCCTCATTGGCCAGCTGGCCCATGCCCAGGTCGCGGGCGCGCGCAACTGCCTCGACGTTAGGATCGGGCAGGCTGCCGGGCTCCGGCAGCAGGCGGGATGTCAGGATTAGCATGACGCCATCGCAGGCCCGCAGCACACTAAGGAATTCCTGTAGCTGGGCTAGGATTGCGCCACCGGGCAGGAGCGGGGGGGACGCCGAGGGCAAGTGGAAAATGAAGACGGAAGCGTCGGCAGGCGAGCGCGCCCCCGCGGCGCGGTCCGCCACGGTGATGCGCGCGCTGGGGTAGAGATCTGCGAGGCATCGAGCCATCGACGTTGACGGCGCTCCGACCTGCCGATTGCGCTCGTCAGCTGTTTGGAATCTTCTGGTATGGAACACTGGAGAGAGTGCCAAAAAAAAAAAAAGAGGAAGAGAAAAGCTCCAGGGGTTGGCAGGAATGGGCTGCGGGGCGCGGGGTTCGCGCGGGGCATCCGGCTCGCTACCCTGCACCAGGCACCCTGGTCGCGCACTTACCTCGACGATGCAGGCGTGGGAGAGATTGGACCAGTTGAGCTGCGACAGGGTCTGGGCCAGTTCTTCCGGGTTCAGCAGGCCAGCGGCGTTGTGAAGATAAGCGGCCCACTGGCGATTGAGCTTGGGGCGCTCTATGCGCGCCACGTGGAAGGGCCTTATCGTGTTGAGGGCCAGGTTGTAGGCGCTCTCGCTGGGGCGGCGCGAGGGTCCAAAGCGCTGCGTGGCCGTGGCCATCTGCAGCGCCGTGGGGGCGGCCGACTCGGCCAGGAACATGGCAGCGTCGAGGAAGCGCTGGTTGGCGATAAAGTGCGCGGACAGGGGGGTGTGGGCCACGAAGCCTGGCTGCGGCTCGTCGAGGAAGCCGCAAGTCGCCGTCAGACGCACCACTCGCCCTAGCTGGCTGCCTGGAACCCCTGAAAGGTCCGCTACATCCCTAACGGGCACGCTGCCCTCTAGCGGGATGCACGCCAGGATCTGGAACTCGCCCAGCCATTGCAGGCAGGTGAGAATCTCAATCTGTTTCGCGGCTTTAGCTGTCAGCAAGCTTGCAAGCATCAGTACGAATAATGACATAGAGGCCATGCAGACGCAGAGACAAATAGAGGGACGGTGGGAATGACCTGGGTCGCGAGGTTCTGGAGAAAGTCGGACGGCTCGCACACCAGCCTCCGTATGTGCGCGACGCTGGCGAGGATGCTGGCCTTTGCCCGGCCCGCCTCCTTGTCGGCGTCGGCGTCGGCGTCGGCGTCCATGTCGGCGTCCCGGGGCTGGTGCGGGTCGAACGAGCTAGCGGCCCGGTAGTGGCCGGCCAACGTCTTGACGGCCGCGGCTAGCTGGCTCGTATAGCTCTCGAGCTGCGCTAGTCGGTCCATGGCGGCGCTGCGGCTTGAGATGGCAGTGTGGCGTGACTAACGTAAATTAGTAGCGCAAATATCGATATCCGGCGGTATCAAGGTGGAGCGGGCTGTGACGAAGGCAAGGCGAAGCGGGGCGGGAGGACGATACCTATAGGCGGGGCGTAATGAAAAGACTGTCCCTTAGGCGGCCCTGTGCTGCTAGGCAAGTGCTGAGTGAGATGAGATGAGATTTTAACAAGCTTGGCGGTTGGAATAAACTACAACCCACTCTCTCCGCTTTATTAGCGCTGCTAATCGCGACGATCGATCCGCTACCATCTCTTGCTGCCGGTCTTGGCGACGGGCTCGGGGCCAGCACGAGCCAGGTCGGCGCCCCGTATTCGGTGCGGGACAATACCGAAAGGGCATCTTCAGCGCCCGGCCGTGCTGTGCCAGGAGGCCACAGGGCCCAGACACGCACTGGGGTGCGTTGGGCTGCCGCACAATCAAGCTTTGCATCCCTCACCGCCATTCTCGACACTCATTGCCCTTGGCAGCTCCGCGTTAGCAGGATCGATTAGAACAAGGTCCCTTCCATTAGAATAAGCTTTGTCGGGTTTTAGGGCCCGCTGATTTCAAGGACTCTAGTATAGTTGCCTTGTTCAACTAAGGTTGTTAAGCCACCTACGCTTGTGGCTTGGACGAGTTTCTCCGGCTCGAACGCTACCGACAACCTATTTCTTCAGGAATAGTGCCTATTACTTCAGGAATAGTACGGCGAGCCACCGTGTATTCGTATCCGAGTCGCTTGTACGACCCAGCCGCCCCCCAAGTGAATAAACATGAGGTAACCTTTCCCGGCCACGCTTCACTGCCAGCCCGGAAGAAGACGGTCTGGCATTCACAATTCGAATCTGCCCGCCGCACGGCCTGCCGGGCGAGAGACGCTCTGGCATTGGGCCTCGAATCTAAGCAAATTCTTAGCATGGCTCGTGTAGAATCCCGCCAGCAAGCAAGCTTTTGATTTCCCAAAATGGCCGCGAAACAAATAAGTACGCGGGTTGGTTAGAGGATAGACAGCGAAACCGGCCTACTAGTGTTAGCCAGGATCCTCCGTAGACGCTGACCATGCCAGACGTGCAGCATGGTGGGTTTGGACCAGCAGGATAGAGTCTTGATATTCTGCAGTGCACCCGAGCGTTGCAGGCCCGCGTATTCTTGCGTGTAGTCGAGGTACTTGCTGTCTACCAGGCTATACTACGCACAGTAGCCTTGGCACCGCTGTTCATGGCTAAGCTTGTAGGATCGTTGCTGCGTGCTACCGTCCGTGCTGCGACCTACCTTTCTTGCTCACTTCCCCGGGGCAGAGCGTATCCGTTAGAGTGCGTGATGGTACAACACGTAATACAAGACAGGCGGAATGGGATGATGCGTCGTATGATTGGTAATACTATGAAGTTGACGCGTTTCTTTGGGTCAAGCCAGGCTTGGGGGCCCTCTGCCGATATACGGGCCGGAAATATATAGGACGCAGGTTCTAGCAAGCCCGGAATGAGCCGCGCAATCCCATAGATGTGTTGGTTAATCCGGATGTGAGCGCGAGGCGAGAGGGCGAGATGGAGGGGGCGAGATGCGAGGGCTTGGTGTAATCCCAACGCCAGGACACGTAATGTTACACTACTTACGTGACGAGCACAACAGGATCGTGTAACGAAACACTAGCTAGCCAATTTGGCTCACACTAACCCTGATTTACACGGATTACCTCTTTCAGGATCTCGAACCCCGGTAAGATATAAATAAGCCACTGGGTCCCCGGTCAACCCCGCGGGCGTGGGTGATTCTGCGGGCAGGGACAAGTCAGCTTGCCAGGACCAACAATGGTTTGTACCGACCCACCCTCCGCATGTACAGGGGAGACAGCCCCAGTTAAAATCGTAGGCCTGAACCAGACCGGCCAGTGCTGACCGCATAGGGAATTATTAACAATTTAGGGCAGCATGGGATTTGCGACGCCGTCTGGAATCCGTTCGCTGCCACGCAGCCACTAGCAATGGCTGGTAGAGCCAGTGGGGTACGCTAGTGGGGGTTGGGAGGTGGAGGAATGCAAGTCGCCGAATTGAGGGTAGGCCGTTTGCTGCACTAAGTGTTCGTTACGTGGATGCACGGCCAGCCTAACATGTAAGGTAGTTAAACTTTGCGTGCTGTACGTAGGGCAGCATCAAACAGCGTTGCAGATCCACGGGCGGCCTGCATGTATCGCATTTAGTTCCTCCTTCACGACACTTGGACCGACCCGGTTTCTTATCGCATCCATACCTTGGTCGCTATGGCGAGCGAGCTGGCAGTAGCCACACTTCCACGTCTCTCTGCCCCTTTTGGCCCGGTACAAAGCATCCGTACCGCCGCTGTAATTACCTGCCAATGCCAGTGCCAGTGCCAGTGCCAGTGCCAGTGCCAGTGCCAGCGCCAGTGCCAGCGCCAGTGCCAGTGCCCCCCCCCCCGCAGGCGGGGTTCAACGGTACGGCGGCCACCTCAGCACGTTGGGTCCCCGCCACTTCCTCCACTGGACTGGCGGGACTAATCCTCCTCTTGGCCGCGAGTACTTGGCGTCTGGCCATTCCCATGTGCGGTAAGGCCTCCTGCGGCGTCTGGTTGGACGGATGGACTCTGTACTGAGCATGGCGTCGGCCGAATGGCCGCCCTTCGATGCAGTCGATGCACACTCGATGCATGCCAACTATCTGCAGCAACCTCGCTTCCAGGCGCCGAGTCTCGGTGAGACCGACTCAACTTGGCAGTTGTGTGTCTGGTCAGTACATACGTGCAGCGGCGTCGTGTTACCAAGTAGACAGTCAGCACTTGGGCGGCGCTGTAGTGGCGAGGTACTTGCTCCGAGTCTGGGGAGTGGGTGCTCGCTGGTGCAACCCCATGGGGCCGCGGCGTTCATCTTATCACACACCCAGTAGTCCACAGAAACCCGAGCCAGGGGCCAGGGGCCAGGGTGTGCGGCTTCGGGTCCCAGATTTAGGTTATTAGATATAGGAAACACTGTGTCGATGCCGTGCTCCCAGAGCACACAGACACGCAGCTAGCCGTCTTGACGATCTCTCTGCCACGACTCTGTACGGTTAGCATACTCTGCAGTTCGCCGTTGCCGTTGCCGTTGCATCGATCCGCGGTAGTACACGCCATCCATGCCAGACTCGCAAACCACGACCCCGGCATCCGGGACCACGACGCCAATGTCACTCGCCCAGCCGTCGACGCGCCGCAGCTCGGGGAACCCGCCGTTCGCAAGCTCGAAGCTCCGGGACAGCTGTCAGGCATGCGGTATGCATCACTCATCCTCGATGTTGTCGATGGAGTTTCTGACAAGATGAAACGAAATAGCCCTGTCCAAAGTCAAGTGTCCAAAGGAGAAGCCAGCCTGCTCGCGCTGCGAGAGTCGTGGCATGACATGCCAGTACTTTGTCACCAAGCGTCCCGGTCGCAGGCGCGAGAACAGCATTAGCGTCAACACCAACGCCAACGCCAGCGCCAACGCCAACGCCAACGCCAGCGCCAACGCCAAAGCCGGCGCCAAAGCCGGCGCCAAAGCCGGCGCCAGCACCAGCGCCAGCGCCAGCGCCAGCGCAGATGCCGTGGGGAGCCGCACCGGCGACACCATCTTGGCGGTGCAGCACGCCCCTCGCGGCGCTGGCTTCATGTCGGCCAGCCCGACGTCAACAACGCTAGCGCCGCACAGCAGCTACCTCACGCCGCCAAGCCTGCTCGCGGCCTCGCCCAGCCGCGACAATGGGTCCGTCGACCCGTCCGACGTCTTCTCGAGCCTGTGGAGCTTGGACGCGGGCATGACGCCCGCGATGCCCGACTTTGGGTCCGACATGGCGGGCATCGACTTCTTCATGTCGGCCATGGACACGTCCTTTTCGCTGCCCATGATCGAGGGGGTGAGCGGCGGCGGCGGCGGCGGCAGCGGCGGCATGCCGTCGGCTCGGGGCGGCGATGTTGCGTCGCTGCTGATCCCGGCCGACGAGATGAACCTCGACCTCATCTCGGAGCCGTCGTCGGCCGTCGACTCGCTGGGCCCGTCGGGCCCGTCGTCCATTGCGTCGAGCGACCACTCGCTGCCGTCAACGGGCAAGACCAGCGTGGCGGACCGCTCGTCGTGCGGCTGCCTGACGCGGGCGCTCGACCTGCTCAAGATGCTCTCGTCGGCCCAGTCGTCGCCGCGCGCCCTGTCCGTGGCGCCGGAGGCGACAATGGCAAATTCGTCGTCGTCGTCAAATACGCACTGCGGCGACGGCGGGTCGGCGCAGACCGTGCTGCTGGAGAATAAGCAGGGCATCGAGGCCGTCAGCCACATGATGTCGTGCCCGTGCTGCGCCGACGACAGCTTCCTGCTGACCATCCTGTCCATGATCGTGCTCAAAATGCTGGGGCGCTACGCCGCGGCGGCGCAGGCGGGCCCGGCCGTGCGCGGGCTGGTGGGGGGCGGGTGCGTCGACGGCGAGGCCGACCGGCCGGCGCGGCTCTTCAACGGCATCCTGGCCAGCAACCGCGAGCAGCTGCGGCGGCTCGGCAACGCGTATGAGGCGCCACGCGACGACGAGAGCCTCGGGCGCACGGCGGCCCAGCTCGTGCTGAGCGAGCTGCACCGCGTGCAGCGGCTCGTCAACCAGCTGTCACCGCGGCTCAAAGGGCCACGCGACGGTGGCGGCAGGGACGGGAGCGAGCAGATGCAGCAGCAGCAGCAGCAGCAGATGCAGCAGCAGCAGCAGCAGCAGCGGGGCGAGGGCTCCGAGTCGAGCAGTATATGGGGCCAGCAGCAGGCGGGGGCGCTGGCCGGAGACGGCGGTGAGCGGATGATGATGGCGGCAGCGGCGGGAACACCCTTCTCGGCAGGCACCCTAGACCAAGTCGAGAGCGATCTGCGCAAGAGCCTCGGTTCGCTGTCAGCGGAGATAATCAACAGGCTGCGGCAAAGCTGACGACGAGGGAGAACGGGGAGGAAAAGAAGAAAGACAAATCTAGAATTCTTTTGTAAAATTCTTTTGTCATCCATCACATGCGTCGATTCCAGATACGCACACCGACTCGCGCACCCACATGTCTTATCATGCGCCTGCGCACAGCCGTCTCCTTACACACTTCATATGCGCACTTCTATACGCACTTTTATACGCACCTCGGCTAGATTTTCAATTCTTGGTTTTCCGGTCATTTCCTGCGGGTTGGGGCTTGCAGCTCTTGACCGCAGCGCCAGCACCCGCACGTGCATGTAGGCACGCTGTGGCGTTTTGCCGGCCCTGGGCCGAGTGCAGACGGAGGATTGATTTTCAGCACAAGTGTGCGCTCGTCGACGGGTAGTTGAGGCGTGTCGGGCTCGTGGGAGATGGCAGGTGGGCGGTGGTGGTGCGTGCTTCAACAGTGCCTGTACTCGCATTCCCTTCCATTGTTACCGAGGTAACCGGGTTGGCCTGAGATAATGAGTGACGAAAATACACCAGGGTATCGCAAGCCTCGAGGTAGCCAGGAAGGGGTCATAAATACCCAACTGCGCGACCACCTTGTGCAACAGTGCTGCTTGGCATGGCATTCTACGTCGTGTACTCCGGCCTCGATTTATATGAATCTTTCAGGAAAGTGCGTGGCTGCGCCGGCTGAAACTGCACCCCACCCTGTGCAGGCAATTGCAAAGACCTAATTTGTTTCCCACACCCTGTGCAGGCAATTGCAAAAACCTAATTTGTCTCCCACACCCTGTGCAGGCAATTACAAAGACCTAATTTGTTTCCCACACCCACCTCGCATCTGCTGAGTCTGGGAAGCGAGCAAGCGGCAGGGCCGCATTGGACGTCCACGCATGGCCCAGATCCCAAGGCGCAACCGACCGCAATGTCACTGACTGGTCCTTTGTGCCGCGGCCCTGGCGTGGCACAGAGATGCGGCTGCCGGCTGCTACCTCGCCGGCGAGACACGGCGATCCTTTCCCAGTGCAATGCGTGTCTCGACCTAGGGAGACGTTCGGAGCTTGTGTCGCGGCGGAGTGCCGGGAGCCAGCCAACCGTAGCCCGGCTAGACACAGAAAAGTCTCCAACTCGGCTCGCTCTCGCTTGGCTGCGACGCGCAGGCGTGGGCGGCACTGGGGTAACAATACATGCGCCCACTCGTTCTAGCTCACACCGTCAGGGCAGTGCCAGCACATACGCGGAAGTTGCGGCAGACACTGCCACGGCGGAAAACGTTGCGACGCTGGCTAGGAGAACAGCTCAGAACCAGGTCGCCAGCATCAGTGGTAGCGGCAGTGCCGTCGGCGGCAGTTGCGCTAGTGATACGCCCCATCAAAGGCGGCGATGGCCAACGGCTGCAGCTCCAAAAGGTAACTCTGCAAACATGGTCAACAAAGGAGCTTACCATGTGCGGCACTTCACATCACTACGCCTGCGCGGCGACGCCACAGCCGCACCCAGCCCGGACATGCAATCCAATCACGGCTGGCTGAACAGCGTGTGCGGTGCAACACCGACCCTCGGCGGGCCCAGCCGCTGCAGCCCAGCTCAGCACCGTGGTGGCGCGGTCATCGGAGCATTTGCTGGGTTGTGGCGCGATTCTCGGGATCGAGTCGGGTCGGGGGCCGCCCTCTGCTCGGCGTGCCATCGGCATCCGCCCGAGGCCCGAACGCGGCACGACCGCTACGTGCCGAGCCGCCAGCCGCGACGTGTATTTGAGCGATGAGACTCGCCAGGTGGCGATACCACAACCACCAAGTGAGCTTCCACAACCACCAAGTGAGCTTCCACAACCACCGTGAGCTTCTACAACCACCGTGAGCTTCTACAACCACCGTGAGCTTCTACAACCACCGTGAGCTTCTACAACCACCAAGTGAGCTTCTAGTGCCATCACCCTACCTCCAAGCTATAGCAACCAGACCACAATGGCTGCCGCAGACGCGTTCCGCCTGGCGTCGGAGGACCTCGGGGTCGCGCGCATCGGACCCAACCCGGCCGGGACCGTCGACGTGACCAACGACCTGCTCAAAAAAAACCATGAGCGGTGGCACATGTACTTCCGCGACGTGGCCGGGCACAACCACATCCCGCACGCGCTGCTCAGCACGCTCGCCATGGGCGGCAGCGCGCAGGACCTGCGGCGCGCCTACGACGACGGCGAGGCCATCCAGCGGCCCATGCCGGCCGTCGACTTCGCCGCCGTGGCCGAGCTCGCCGACCCCGCCAAGTTCCGCGCCCGCATGCAGACGCTCGACGAGTACCCGACATTCCTGGCCTTCTTCGAGCGCGAGATCGCCGCCAAGGGCTGGCAGGCCGTCGTGAGCGAGCACGTGCTCGCCCGCACCCCGCTGGCCGACTTCATGCTGGCCCAGATCTACGAGGGCCTGTACCACCCCATCATCCACCTCGGCTTCGGCGTCGAGTTCGGCCTGTCGGGGCTCGTCGCCGAGGGCCTCGCCCAGACCGCCAGCCACGACCCCATGTACATCGACGTCTTCTTCAACAAGGCCGAGCAGCTAGCCGCCTCGGGCACCGTGCCCCCCAAGCCCCTGCTCGCCCTCTACCACGAGGCGCGCGCCAACCCCAAGATCCGCACCGCCGCCCGCGGGCCCGACGGCCCGTGGAAGGTGCGCGACGGCGTGCTGGGCCGTGCCCTCGACGACATGGTCGCCCTGGCCGCGCAGTTCCAGGTCGACCCCACGGACCCCGCCGCCGTCGAGCGCGCCACCGCCGAGATGATCAGCTGCGCGGCGTGGACTTGCGCGGCGGTGCACCAGCCCGGCAAGGAGCGCAAGATCGACTTCTTCCTCATGCACAACGTCACCAGCTCGCTGTTCCTGACCGTCTTCAACGCGCAGCCGTGGATCTCGCTGGCCGACAAGGCGCGCCTGGTCGAGTGGAAGGCCCGCCTCGACCTCGTGTGGTACGCCGCCAGCGCCGCCCCCGAGCTGCGCGCCGAGTACGCCCTCGACTACGAGCCCACGCTCAGCAAGGGCATGGGCTGGCCCGAGCTGTACGCCGAGCTCAACAAGCACCACGACGACGGCCACGTCGCCAAGTTCGTGCGCGCCCTCAAGAACGGCGCCGACGCCACCAAGCCCTTCGAGGCCGGCCCCGCCGCCGCCGACTTCCCCGTCAAGGGCGACGACTTGTGGCTCAAGATCGCCCAGCTGTGCTACGACTCCACCATCAACCACGTCGACGGCCAGCGCAAGTGGGTCTGGGGCTCCGGCTTCGCCCCCATGTGGGACCGCGTGCCCGACTTCCTGATCGACGAGCAGCCCCAGCTGCGCAACATCTAGGACGGCTGGTTTGCGTAGTGCGTGCCTGGGCAGTGTTTGTAGTGTGTTTGTAGTGTTTTTGCATACATGATCGATTATTCATTGTTGCCCCTCGCTAGATTTATGACGTTACGCAGCTTTGTCTCTGTCCTTTGATTTACCGTCGTCTCAATGTTGTGACATCACTTCTTTAACCGCCTCCTTGTTGTTCTCTTGTTGCCTCCGGCGGCCCTCCGGGGGCGCCTGCGGCGAGCTGCTCGCTGCGCTCGAAGAGGCTTGATTAGCTGTGGTAAGTTTATGTGTGCTTTATGTTTCGGGCTGTGTTTAAGTTTTAGTGAAACTGGTATTTCAATCCATCCGGGTCTAAATCAAATCAGACCTCAACTAAAACGCTTTGCATGAACTAAAAAGTTTTGCACGACGTAGATCGCACTCTGTTCCATTTCGCTATCGTAAAATTCCATCTAGCTATCCTTGAATCCGTCCACCACCTCGCCGTCCCGGACAAACTCCTCCACCCACCCAATCGTCATCCTGGCAAATCAGCTGGGCACGCCTCAGTCACTTGCAGATTCAACTTACATGCTCCGCTTGGTGTCGGCAAACTTCTCGTGGTCGCCGACCAGGTGCTCCTGGTACCACGGGTCCTGCTTCATGCGCTTGTAGTCCTCGAGGCTCTTGAAGACGACCTGGCTGAAGCAGTCGAAGTCGGCCACGTTGGCCATCTGGTGGTCGTACAGCTGCGCCATTAGTGCGCGCGTGCTGCTCTGGTTGTGGATCTGCCCGGGTCAGCCGACACCGCCGACAAACCGAGGGAAGGGGCCATCTACCTGCGTCCACCGCTTGACGCCGTACTTGACCATCAGGTCTTTGGTGAGGGGCGCCGACACGTTGACCATGTGGTTGCGGTACGCCTCTTCGCTCATGCCCGGCTTGCGGTAACCGCAGATGGTCAGACACAGGTACTGGTTCTTCATGCCCGAGCCGGTCGGCTCGGGCACTTCCGGCTCGCTGGTCTTGAGCGTCATGTTGCGTGGCAGGCGAAGCAGAAACAAACACGTGTGGGATGGACGGACAATGGCAAGTTGATGCTAGATGGTACGAGATTCGGGGGTTCAGGAGAGAGCGTTGGGTCGATTTGGGGAATAAAGAGCACGACCTCAAGTCCTGACCCGACGGAGCGGAACACAGTCAGACGAGAGTCGGGCGAGGGTCGGAAGACAACGAGCGCCGCCAGCCAGGCCGGGTGCCCGTGAGTGCCGAAGGCCCGAGCCCCGGCCAGAAAACTATAACTCCCGGGCTGCTCGGACGACGGTAGAATCAAATCCACCTCCGCAGTATCGTCTACTGCTTCTCTGCTGCACAGTTGGCTTCCCGCACCACCTCACAAACCTGCAAACCGTCATGGCTGTAACCAAATCCGAGCCTGCAGCGCCGCCGCAGCCCAGCATTGGCGTGCCGGCGGTCGCCGTCGTCTCGGGATCCTTTCTCTCAGGTACTACCCCTGCACCTCCCATCCCATCCCACAGGCCACAACCCCGACGCCGATCGAGCTAACCAATCGTCGGGGCGTTGACCAGGCGCCATGATCAGTCTCTCGGCGTTCGTCGTGCCCGTGTTCCTCGACACCAACACCGACGCAGGCCACATGCTTCGACAGTGGACGCGCCTGTACCACTACGGCCACATTTACCTGCCAGCGCTCTGCGTCGCGACGTGCGGACTGTACGGCTACGCAGCGCTGCGCAAGCGCGCCGCCAGCAGCTACAGCCCGCAGTGGTCGCGCTACGCTACGGCGGCGGCCGCCACGCTCGCCATGGTGCCATTCACGTGGTACGTCATGATGCCGACCAACGACATCCTGTTCGGGCTCGAGGCGGCCGCGACGGCGGGGACCGGCAGTCCAGAGCTCGTGGCTGTGCGCGCGCTGGTCATCAAGTGGGCTTGGTTGCATGTGACGCGCTCGCTGTCGCCACTCGTCGGGGCATTCCTGGGCTTCACTAGCCTGCTGCGCGAGCTGGGGCTCTAATTCGGGAGCAGGGACAGGCCAAGCGGCACTAGGCCAGGCCAAGCGGCACTAGGCCAGGCACGTCAGGCATGACTGCCGTACGGTACGGTACGGTACGGTACGGGGTGGCGACGGGGTGGCGACGGGGGGTTCGCGGCTGGCGGGAATCGTGCCGAGAAGGATTCGGACATGGGGAGGGTCGTTCGGGTCGGGCATGGGAGGCTACGCTGCGGGCGCCACGTATTGGCCTTGTGACGGTGTGGCGGCAGCGCGGAGTTCGGGATAATGAATAATTATCCGAGTGTGTGCGAGCTAAAAACATGACAAGTCTTTTAACCCGATCGCATCATGCCGTGCAGGTCCAGGGGTCGTGCTCACAGGGATCAGGGGCAGGGGGCTAGCGGGAAGCAGCAGGGGACGATTTGGCGCTGTGGGGGGTACGGCACAGGGGTTGGGACGGGGAGACAGGGGGTCGAGGATTACAAAAGCCGGGGCACAGTTGGTCCGACTCAGGATGCTCAGGGAGCCTGCTTACAGAGACAATGACGGTGTTCACCCGGCTTCCGATCACGCTCGACGCGCGACATGCAGTCAGTCACATTGAGCCCCATCGCCTTATTTCCACGACGCCCGTTTGAGCTGTCTGGTGCCCGCAGGCTGCGCAGGCTGCGCAGGCTGCGGATTAAGCCGAAGCACTTGACCCCTACTTGGCCCCTGCCCATGCCCCGCCAATGCCCCTGCCCCTGCCCATGCCATGCAGGCCGGGGTGAAGCAAAAGCAAGCCTTGGGACGGACAAGGCCCAGGACCCAGCCCCGCCTTGGCGATGCGGCCTTATCGCCACGTCCAGCTTGGGTAAGGGTCGGTGTTGTTTGTTTGGTGGGGCACAGGGGTGTTTGGTTACCGATATCCTCACAGGGGGGTTTAGTTACCGATATCCTCACAGGGGTGGTTGGTTACCGATATCCAACGAGACGAGTAATCAACCCGGCCCTGGTTCAGGCACCCGGCCCTGGTTCAGGCACATGCTGCTACTGGACACGGTATGATTTGAAGGCATGAAAGCGGACAAGGTAATCAATCCTCCAACTTTTATTCCGGAGCTGACTGTCATCAAGGCAAGTCATCAAGGCAAGTACGAGTAAAGAATGACATTTTATTGAATCATAATACGTAAACAAGTCATCAAGGCAAGTACGAGTGAAAGAATGACATCTTATTGAATCATAATACGTAAACAATACCATCTAGACTCTATACTGCGTGACGTGCGGCCTCGGACCAGCTCAGCTCACAGAGAACCACCGCTTGACACCGCCCCGCATGTCGAAGCCCACCATGCCGTCCTCGGCCAGCTTGCGCAGCACCTCGTCCATGAAGGGCTCCAGGGCCATCTCGCGCACGCCGCTGTCCATGCTATCCCCGTAGACGGCCGTGACGAGATCCTTGACCGTCATGCGGCCCGCGGCCCCCGACCCCCCGCGGTCCTTGGCCCGCTGCAGCGCCTGCAGGGCCTGGCGCTCGCGGCGCAGCTTGCCGGCTAGCTCGCCGGCGATCTTGCCCTTGAGGTCGGCGATGACGGCGCCGTGGGCCGGGTAGCCCGTGACGCAGCTGTGCGACTGCATCAGCCGCAGTGTGCCCATCCACGTGTTGAGGTGCTCGACGGCCGCCGTGCCGTGGCCCAGGATGTTGTCGCCCGTGAACATGGCCTGCTCCTCCTCGAGCACGAAGCACATGTGGTCGTGCGAGTGCCCCGGCGCGTGCACGGCCCGCACCGTCGCTCCCTCGACCTTGAATAGCTGCCCGTCGGCGATGGGCTGCTGCGTCTTGCTCGGCGTGTGCTTGTAGATGGACCGTGACACGTCCGGGTACATCCGGATCAGGTCCGGCACGCCGCCCGTGTGGTCGCCGTGCCAGTGCGTCAGAAGCACGTGCGACAGCGAGAAGCCGTTGCTCGACAGCGTCGACGCGATCAGGCCGGCCCAGTCGGGGATGCCCTGGCCCGTGTCGACGATGAGCCGCTGCGCCCCGGTGCCGACGATGTACGTGTTGGTGCCCTGGAGCGTGAACTGGGCAGGGTTAGCATCGCCAAGCCGAGCTGCAGCGGAGAACTCACCTTGCCGGGATTCTGGCCTAGCACGCGGAGCACGCGAGGGCTGAGCTGCTCGACGTCGAGCAGCTTGGGCAGCGTCGTCTGCTGCGTCTCGAGATACTCCTCGAAGGCGCAGATGTTGAGCGCCTTGTTGATCTGGCGGTAGCCGCCGACGCCTGGCGCCATGTTGCTGCTACTTGGGATACGGCTGAACTTGGGTACAGCTGAGCTGACACTTGGGATACAGCTGAACCGACACTTGGGATACAGCTGAATTGACACTTGGGATACAGCTGAACCGACACTTGGGATACAGACAGCTTGGGATATAGACAGCTTGGGATACAGACGTCTTGGGATACAGACGGCTTGGGATGCAGACAAACTTGGATAGAGACAAAACTTGGGTCACAGACAAAAAGTAGACAGCGATGAGTGACTGGTTTAGAACAGACAGATAGACTGATAGACTGACAGACAGACAGACAGACAGACAGACAGACAGATAGACTGACAGACAGACTGACTGACTGACTGAGAAGGAAATAGCAATCTCGGGCTTGGTGTCTGACATAGTGCAAGGATGGGGGCCACATCACCATCCCAATTGTCCGGAGATCGCTCAAAACGTTTGCGCCGAGATAAGCCTGGGCCGGGATAATGCATGGCCGAGCCCGTGGGCGTCTTCCTTCCGAATGGCATGGATTTCGGGTCAGAGCCCTGGCTCGGAGCATCCTCAGCCAGCCCCACGCCGTGGTTGTGCCGGGTCAATACCAACACCACAGCAACAGGCCCCTGAAGCTGGTGGCAGGCGGCCCCCAACCACATCGGTTCATTCCGCGAGCTGATAGCATCAGGTCGACAGCCGAGAATAGCGATCAGGTCGACAGCCGAGAGTAGCGATCAGGTCGACAGCCGAGAGTAGCGATCAGGTCGACAGCCGAGAGTAGCGATCAGGTCGACAGCCGAGAGTAGCGATCAGGTCGACAGCCGAAAAGAGAATGCCGGACGGGTCCAATCACGGATGGAGCCTCAGTGCCGGCCGGAATCCAATCGTAGATATGCCTCGTCTAGCTGGCCGGTCTGTGTTCTGTTGAATCTCCATATAAAGACTTGTCCGCAGGGCAGACACGGTTCCGGCTCCAGCCTCAGCACTCCATCCAAGTCGAGGCATCCACGGTATTCTTCAAAATGGAGTGGATAGCGCCCCGCAAACACATGGATACCTCGTCCCCGTCGTCGACGACCGAGTCGCTGGTCGAGACCGGCAAGCTGAAGCTGGGCTACTTCAGCAACGAGTTCCCGCATGACGACCTCAAGGACCTCTTCCGCCGCCTCTTTGCCCACGGCAAGGACAGCCGCCACACGCTGCTAGCCACCTTCATCCGCGAGGCTACCCTGGCCGTGCGCGAGGAGGTGCGGCTGCTGCCGGCCACGCTGCGGGCCCTCGTGCCGCCGTTCGAGTCTGTCTTCAACCTTGCGGACCACGCCGAGCTCCGCAGCGGCCCCCTCGGCGGGTCCATTGACGGCCTGCTGCTCTGTGCCGTGCAGCTAGCGGCCTTTATCGGGTGCGTTGTGATGGCTCGTTGGGACAGCGCAGAGCCGTGCCGGTCCACTCTCTGACACGTCCGCAGATACTATGAAAACAGCACCGAAGACGAGTTCGACTTCCGCCACGCCGATGCTGCCCTCGCAGGTCTCGGGACAGGACTCTTGTCGACGGCTGCCGTGTCGCTGTCTCCGACCCTGGCCGACGTGCCGCTGGCCGGTGCCGAGGTCATCCGCATCGCCTTTCGCCTCGGCGTGCTCGTCGATGAGGTGTCGCAGAACCTGCAGCCTCGCTCGGCCGATGGCCCCGGCGACAGCTGGGCATATGTGGTGCCCGACGCCGCCGTCGAGGAGGTGCAGAAGGAGCTCGACTCGATCCACGCTGCCGATGTAAGTCGAGCCGGACCGAGTCCGACTATGCAGTACGCACAGCACCTACTTACCCAGACGAGCACTGACACGTCTAGAACACGCCCGAGCCCAACAAGGTCTTCATCAGCGCGCTGAGCCGCACCTCGGTGACGGTCAGCGGCCCGCCGGCGCGCCTCAAGCACGTCTTCCACGTGTCCGACTTTTTCCGCGACCGGCGCTTCGTGGCGCTGCCCGTGTTCGGCGGCCTGTGCCACGCCAAGCACATGTACCGCGCCGAGCACGTCGACCGCGTCGTGCAGACCGCCTCGCTCGACGCGCTCGACGCGCGGTTCGTGCCGCACGTGCCCGTCTTCTCGACCAGCAGCGGGCGGCCGTTCCCGGCCAAGAGCGCGTCGGGCCTGTTCCGCGGCATCGTCGAGGAGATCCTCACGCAGGCCATCCAGTGGGACAAGGTGATCGAGGGCGTCACGCAGCGGGCCAAGAGCCTGGCGGCGTCCGAGTGCCAGGTGCTGCTGTTTCGCACCTCGCTGCCGGTGCGCGACCTGGTCGACGCCCTGGCCACCGAGTCGGCGCAGTTCAAGACCACCACCAAGGACCTGGTGGCGTGGATCGCCAGGCCCGAGTCGGTGCCGCGCGGCCCCCGCGGCAGCCAGCAGGCCAAGATCGCCATCGTCGGCATGGCTTGCCGCCTGCCCGGCGGCGCCACCGACACGGACAAGTTCTGGGAGGTCCTGGACCGGGGCCTCGACGTGCACCGCAAGATCCCTGCCGACCGCTTCGACGTCGACACGCACTTCGACCCCACGGGCAAGCGGCTCAACACGAGCCTGACGCCCTACGGCTGCTTCATCGACGAGCCGGGCCTGTTCGACGCGCCCTTCTTCAACATGTCGCCACGTGAAGCGCTGCAGACGGACCCCATGCAGCGGTTGGCCATCGTCACGGCTTACGAGGCCCTCGAGCGCGCCGGCTACGTGGCCAACCGCACCGCGTCGACGGACCTGCATCGCATCGGCACCTTTTACGGCCAGGCCAGCGATGACTACCGCGAGGTCAACACGGCGCAGGAGATTGGGACCTACTTCATCACGGGCGGCTGCCGCGCCTTCGGCCCGGGCCGCATCAACTACTTTTTCAAGTTCTCGGGGCCGAGCTACAGCATCGACACGGCCTGCTCGTCGGGGCTGGCCACGATCCACGTGAGTGCCATCTGTTTTCGCTTGCGGGAGAGACAAGAAGAGGACGCGGCTAACCGAGACAGCTCGCCTGCAACTCGCTCTGGAACGGCGACACGGACATGGCCGTGGCGGGCGGCATGAACGTGCTGACCAACTCGGACGCCTTTGCCGGGCTCAGCAACGGCCACTTCCTCTCCAAGACGCCCAACGCCTGCAAGACGTGGGATAGCGAGGCCGACGGCTACTGCCGCGCCGACGGCGTCGCGTCCGTCATCCTCAAGCGGCTCGAGGATGCCGAGGCCGACAATGACAACATCCTCGGCGTGATCCTGGCCGCCGGCACCAACCACTCCGCCGAGGCCGTGTCCATCACGCACCCGCACGCCGGCCACCAGGCCTACCTGACGCGCCAGCTGATGAGCCAGGCCGCCGTCGACCCGCTCGACGTCGGCTTCGTCGAGATGCACGGCACCGGCACCCAGGCCGGCGACGCCCAGGAGATCCAGTCCGTCACCGAAGTCTTCGCGCCCCTGACTGCCACCAGGCGTCGCAGCGCAAAGCAGCCCCTGCACATCGGCGCGGTGAAATCAAACCTCGGGCACGGCGAAGCCGTCGCCGGCACCACGGCCCTGCTCAAGGTGCTGCTCATGTTCGAGAAGCAGGCCATCCCGCGCCACGTCGGCATCAAGACGGTCATCAACCCCGGCTTCCCCAAGGACCTCGAGAAGCGCAACCTGCACATCCCCTTTGAGAAGACGCCGTGGCTGCGCAGCCCCGAGCGCAAGCGCATCGCCGTCGTCAACAACTTCAGCGCCGCTGGCGGCAACACGAGTATCGTCATCGAGGAAGCCCCGCTGCGGGCCCCTATCGCCCCCGCCGCCGCCGACCCGCGCACCGCCCACGTCGTTGCCGTCTCGGCCAAGAGCAAGGTCTCGCTCAAGGGCAACCTCGAGCGCCTCATCGCCTACCTGGACGCGCACCCCGACGCGCAGCTCGCCGACCTGGCCTACACCACGACGGCCCGCCGCTACCACCACAACCACCGTGTCGCCATCGCCGCCTCGGACACGGCCCAGGTCCGTAAGCAGCTGGCCTCGAGCCTCGCCGCTGCCGACTCCCACAAGCCCATCCCGGCCACCGGCGCACCCCCCGTCGCCTTCGCCTTCACGGGCCAGGGCGCGTCCCACCGCTCCATGGACCTGCAGCTCTTCCGCGACGCGCCCGTCTTCCGGTCGCAGATCCAGCACCTCGACGCGCTGGCCCAGAGCCAGGGCTTTCCCTCGCTGATCCCCGCCCTCGACGGCAGCCACCCCGCCGACCACGCGCACTCGCCGACCGTCACGCAGCTGGCGCTCGTGTGCGCCGAGATGGCGCTCGCGCGCTACTGGGAGTCGCTCGGCGTCAAGCCCGACGTCGTCGTCGGCCACAGCCTCGGCGAGTACGCGGCGCTGCACGTCGCCGGCGTGCTGTCGGCCGCCGACACCATCTTCCTCGTCGGCCGCCGCGCGCAGATGCTCGAGCGCGCGTGCCAGATCGGCAGCCACAAGATGCTAGCGGTGCGCGCGGCGCTCGACGCCGTGCGCGGGCTGGCCGGCGGCCTGCCGTACGAGGTCGCCTGCGTCAACGGGCCGCAGGATACGGTGCTGAGCGGGACCGTGGCCGAGATGGACACCGTGGCGGGCGCGCTGCAGGCGCAGGGCGTCAAGTGCTTCCACCTCGACGTGGCGTTTGCGTTCCACTCGGCGCAGACGGACCCGATCCTGGACGACTTCGAGGCGGCGGCGCGGCGCGGCGTGCTGTTCCAGCCGCCGACGCTGCCCGTCGTCTCGCCGCTGCTGGGCAAGGTCATCTTCGACGAGAAGACGGTCGACGCGCAGTACGTGCGGCGGGCGACGCGCGAGGCGGTCAACTTTGTGGGCGCGCTCGAGGCGGCGCGCCGCATGGGCACGGTAGACGACGCGACCGTGTGGATCGAGATCGGGCCGCATCCCGTGTGCATGGGCTTCGTGCGGTCGACGCTGCCGGCGGCGCCTAAGGCGGCCGTGGCGTCGCTGCGGCGCGGCGAGGACAACTGGGCGACGCTGGCGCACGGGCTGGCCGCGGTGCACGGCGCCGGCGTGGCCGTCGGGTGGAACGAGTTCCACCGCCCCTTCGAGCCCGTGCTGCGCCTGCTGGACCTGCCGACGTACGCGTGGAACGACAAGACCATCTGGATGCAGTACAACGGCGACTGGGCCCTGACCAAGGGCAACACCTTCTACGACGCCGAGAAGGCCGCTGCCGCCGGGGCCGTCGTCGCCAACCCCCTGACGGTGCCGCACTCGAGCCTGCGCACGTCGCTGGTGCACCGCGTGGTCGGCGAGGAGTTTTCCGGGGCTGCCGGCCGCGTGGTCGTGCAGTCCGACATGATGCACCCCGACTTTCTGGCCGCGGCGTGGGGACATCAGATGAATGGGGCGGGCGTGGTAACGTCGGTAAGTCTTCTCACTCTCTCCGTTCCCCGCTGTACCAAGGTCTGGCCCGGCCCAGCTGACAACATCCCCGCTCGCCCCAGTCCATCCACGCCGACATCGCCTGGACGCTGGCCAAGTACCTGATCGACCAGCTGCGGCCCAAGGTCAAGGCCACGGTGGCCGACATCAACATCGCGGACCTGGTGGTGCGCGAGGGGCTGGTGGCGCAGAAGAACACGACGGTGCCGCAGCTGATCCAGGTCTCCATCGCCACGGCCGACATCGACGCCGGGGCCGCGCAGCTCGAGTGGCACAACCTGGCGCACGACGGGTCCATAGCCGACGCCGAGCCCATCGTGACGGCGCGCGTCGAGTACGGGCGCGCGGCCGACTGGCTGGCCAGCTGGACCGCCACGGCGCACCTGGTGCAGGGGCGCATCGACGCGCTCGACGCGCTGGCCGACGCCGGCGTGGCCAACCGGCTGTCGCACAACATGGCGTACCTGCTGTTCGCGCACAACCTGGTCGACTACGCGGCCAAGTACCGCGGCATGCAGTCGGTGGTGCTGCACGGGCTCGAGGCGACGGCCGAGATCACGCTGACGACGGACAAGGGCGGCGCGTGGACGGTGCCGCCGTTCTTCACCGACAGTGTGTTCCACCTGGGCGGCTTCGTCATGAACGTGTCGGACGCCGTCGACACCAAGAACAACTTCTGCGTGACGCCCGGCTGGGGCTCGCTGCGCGTCGCGCGCCAGCTCGTGGCCGGCGCCCGCTACCGGTCCTATGTCAAGATGATCCCCACGGCCGACGACCCGGCCATCTACCTCGGCGACGTGTACGTGCTGCACCCCGACGGCGAGATTGTGGGCGTCATGCAGGCCATGAAGTTCCGCCGCTACCCGCGCGTGCTGCTCAACCGCTTCTTCTCGCCCGCCGACGTCAAGAACCCGGTCACGGGCGTTGGCGCGCCCGTCAGGGTCGCGCTGCCTGCTGCTGTCGGCAAGCTTGCGCCCGCCGCCCCGGTACCCGCCCCGGCTGCTGCTCTAGTGGCACCCAAGGCCGAGCCAGCACCCGCACCCGCACCCGCACCAGCAGCCGCAGCGCCAGCTCCAGCGCCCAAGGAGGCCGTCGCTGCCGTCGCTGCCGTCGCTGCCGTCGCTGCCGTCGCTGCCGACTCGGACAGCACGGCGGTCAAGGCCATGGCGCTGGTAGCGGCCGAGGCGGCGCTGGACCCGGCAGACCTGCAGGACGACGCCAGCTTCGCCAACCTGGGCGTCGACAGCCTGATGAGCCTCGTGATTGCCGAGAAGCTGCGCGAGCAGCTGGGCGTGACCGTCAGTGGCAGCCTGTTCCTCGAGTACCCGACCGTCGGCGACCTGCGTGCGTGGCTGGTCGAGTACTACAGCTAGGGGGTGGTGCGTGTTTTGGATATGCAGGTTGTGGTCGGTTGGCTGCTGTTCACGACGATTAGAAGGCACTGTGAGAGAGATTCAGAGTATTGACTGCGATGACTTATTTCATGTCAGATTACGTTAGAAACTCAGATTACGTTAGAAACTCAGATTACGTTAGAAACTCAGATTACGTAGAAACTCAGATTACGTTAGAAACTCAGATTGCGATGAATTTATTTGCATTACATGTTAGTGCATCGACAGCCAATTAATAAGAGTGCGTCTCCTACTACCGTCAAATCGTCCCCGCATACTGTAGGTAAGGCGCCCAAGCGTAACAGCTCACCGCCTAGGAAATTACCAAATTTTACATCCAAAATTACCGCATTCGCTGGCTGCCCCGCTGGCAACGCAGTTGTACCGCAATTACACCTCGCCGCCGTCGCCAACGTCAACATACTTCCGAATGCGGTAATTCCACCTCAGGGCCGTAGATTCACTCAAATCGTTCAAATCTGCAATAAAAAGCGAAGCTGACTTCGTTGAATTCGCTTACGTAACAGGGCCAAAAATGCGATAAAAACTACAGGCCTGCTTACACTACTCACAACTGCATGCAACTGACAGCCTTACTGATCTATGCCTTCCAATGCCCGGGCAGCCAGTCGCAGAACCCTTCCACTTCGTGTAGGCCGTACAACACGACCTTCAGCCACTGCAGAGGCTTAGGGCCATGTGAAGCTCGTGATGTTGTGCCCCCCGGCTAACACCCTGCGTGCCTTGGTGTTGAACACTGCTTGTTGCCCTGCCAGCCCGGCTCCCTGTGCTACAGCCAGCCCGGCTCCCTGTGCCACAGCCAGCCCGGCTCCCTGAGCCCCGGTTACTACGGCGAGCCGGGTCCAAGTTGTTGACAGTACGGCGAGGAGGCTCCGCAGGCGCCTGGCTAAGGTCGTCGACGTCGTCGTCGTCAACATCGTCGTCAACATCGTGGTCGCATCGTCAAGAGTAACGCCCTCCCACTGTGAGCCAGTCCGTCGAATAGAAGGCATGAGCCCGGACTGCCTGCCCGGCTGAGTAGTTGGGACCCGCGGAGCGTTCGGCTCGGCTGCAAAGGCAGTAGTGTTGCGCGGCCTGCCCCGCAGGTGTTGAACTCTGTCCAAGTCCTGGTACCGTATGTACTCGTCTTCATCAAGTAGTAACCTTTCCAGGTACTAATATGGATGGAAATCAACCTTCTGAAGCTTCAGAGTACCTACATTATGACGTTCGAGAAGCTCGTGAGAGCAAGGAATGCCGTACTGCGCCCGGAAACTACCGGTGCAAGGCTCGAGGGGTCTCGGGCCGTCTTCCAGTGCCGGCTGCATCTTTTTGTACTGCTGAACAACACGATCGAGGGCTTCATAACACACTTTATAAGGAGCCTCGCCTAGCCATTGCTTTCCTAGGTAATCGTAGTGAATGCGGTTCTGTTGGTTATAGGATTCCTTCATGCCCTGCACCATATTCAAGCTCTGTTGTACGGTCTGATCAACTGAACTAGAGCCGGTAATAACGTACGACTTTAAAAGCTTGTTGACCGACTCAACTGGTGATGTGGATCGTTGGCCGAAGTTCTCGACCTTGTTGGTATAACAAGTTGCCCACTGACTTTGAAGTGGCATATATGTTTCGTCGAGATACTTGAGTATAGCCGTTTGGCCGGAAAAAACGGCTTTCATTATCTCCCAGGCCTGGTTGAAGCCATCGAGAGTAGGCGAGTATATAATATGCTCCCAGAGGAGATACATTCCCGCCTTTGTGTAGGGGACCTCGGCTGGTAGGGGGCCTAGGCTCGGCTGCTGGCCATCCTGCACTGTTCTTATACGGAAAACAACCTGGTTTTCTTCCTCATCTTCATCGTCGTTATCTTCGCTGTTTTCCTCTCTCTGTTGCCCGCCTTGTCCCTGTGTTTGAGCCTGAGCGCGGGTAACCTCCTTCGTAGCGGCTGTATTCCATTTCTTCTTGAGCTGAAGGACTACATTCTTGTTGATGTGGAAGATGTAGAGTTTAGGCTTAGCGTCAGGGTAAACTCTGGCAATTACATTCCTCATCGCGGCCTCGAAGTCGGTAATTGTGACCTTCGGGGGTGGCGCGCCGATTCTTTGACGATGCTCGTTGACCCCGTCCATTACCCAGTTGAAGCCGTCGTCACGTTTGTTATCGATCAGGCCGAAGGCACAACTCACTGACTTGCCCAGGTTGGTCTTGACAACTACCTGGAAGAGAGCCAGGCCCTTATTGTTCGTTTTATCAGTGTTATCGTACAACTAGACCCAAGGGAAGCGTTTCCATTGCTCCATGCACTACTCGGGCGCCCAAAAGAGTCCCCGTGGCTTGTCAGGGTTGTCGGTAGACCAACAACGTAGTAGATTCCTGCATCATCAAGTAACTTCTTCGTAGCTTGAAATGGCGTGTATCCTTTAAGAGCCAGCTTTCGAAGGCGGTACCGGCATTTTCGTAGGTGGTTGTGTGTGAAAATGAGGTTAGGAAAGGCCCTACGTAGCTCTTTGGCAATCTCCCTATTGGGGACTGCTAGGCGGTCGATGTATGCGGCGATGACTGCTTTATGCTCAGGACCGAAAACGGCTTTGGGTCTCAATAGGTTGAAGTCCCGGCGCTCGGCGGATGACTTGTATGCTGTATATGCTCGGGATGAAGCTCAAAGGTCCATTTCCTTTCGTTAGAAACGAGGGCTTTGGCTATTTCCTACCATTCGCAGCCTCTGTGATCCGTGGTGGTTTTGTTTACTGTTGCCCTGGACTGCAGGACTATTCCACGTTGGCAGCCAAAATCCACCCTGGTTGGCCGAAGTTCTTGACGTAATTAGAGGGTCGTAATTTGACTGTGTTGAAGAGAGCAGAAGCGGCCCAGTCGTTCAAATCCTCGATAAGATCATCGAGGCTGTTATATTTGGTGTTGAAAAGCCTATGGCCGGCTGGTGGGTTCGAGAGTGGTGGTGGCGGCGGCGCATTTTCATCGGGCGCATCGCTGATATCGCCAAAGTCGTTGAGATCGCTTAGATCATCAAAAACGGACATTTCTATCACTAGTTAGTACTCCGCGACGAAGTAAGCCATCAAAAAATGAAGCCATACCGATTCATCGATTGAATGCAGTGCTGACGATGTTTTTTGGTGGTTGTGGAAGGCCGGTTGTAGTGGAAAGGTGTAAGGTTCGGCTGCGTTGTGGTAAAAAGTGGTAAATTACTGCGCGGCAGAAAGTTGGATGTACTGGCGGCCGGAGTATACAGTCAGGGCTAGGGTTATATATGGTGAATTACAGTATGCGGGGACGATTTGACGGTAGTAGGAGACGCACTCATTAATAAAGTTCTATCGTTAGACCTTGGGGCTGAGCACCAATCTGGCTATCATCTCCAAGATCAGTTTAATGACGGCGCGGACAAAGAGTAAAGCCGCAACCTCACAAAGTCCTGCCAGAAAGCCGAGCAGCAGAATAATGGAGACGAAAAGCGTTTCAATCATGGTTTACGGGAACACAGGACTCTGCAGACTCTTGATGCCGGTCCTATCTTAACCTGTAATCTGTTTAATTCGGGGGCTGAAGACGGCGTCTACAAATGTCTCCCCCCCCATTTTATCGTCAAAGAGCCCAGCTGGTGCTTGTGCTTGTTTACATTTGATTGTTCAACTTCAATACAACCAGCTTCAAAGAAGACGTTTCTGGCAGCGTGTTATGGCGAAACATCACCTTGCAGTCCTTCGTTGAAATAAACCTGTTGCACGGCATTAGGCGTGGTAGACAAAGAAGCTAGAACAACCAGGGCAGTGCTTGGCCGGCTGCGGTCGCCGTCACCCAACCCACGGGGCCGCCGACACCAGAGCAGGACCGTGATAGGCAGATTGGCGATGGGCGATGTGGCGAAGGCGGCGGCCAGGCACAGCGCCAATCCCCCGCATCAGGCGCCCCCAAGGTCCTCAGCTCGATGCTCGCTTGTGACGCCTCTGAGCCCCCCTGGAAAATGGCGTCGATGGCCAAACGTTGGTAATTGATCTGACAAACGCAGATTGTCGACGATAGAACCAGGACGGAATCGGCGTCGATGCCACCTCGCGAGCAGCGTCGTGCCGCCAGTGCAAGCCCGCATCGGGCGCTGCCGCGGGAGACCCCTGTTGCGGAAGGTCGTGGTGGTCGTGGCTCGGTAGTTGCACACGTGCTTGGACGGCTATATCGCAGCAGCGCGGGCTAGCCGCCTTTGCGACGGAGTCCTTATCGCTCAATGCCATGCCGTGCTACCACCCGATCGACCTTCCCTCGCCTGCCCAGGCCCCCCCGCGCCCCCGACGCCCGCCTGCCTAATGCGGGAGGTGGGAGCCTGGGAGCCGGGAAATGGCTCACGATTGGGCCGCGATAGGCCGAGGCCTCGCGAATGATGCGCATTGCACCCCAATCAACAGGGCTTTAGCCTTGGCGACTATTATCCTGTGACGAGCGCCTGGACGGGCCGCGCCTTAAATAGGGGATGCTTGGCGCGAGTTCGCCGCATCGGCCAGTTAGTCTTCCCCGGTTCAGACATTGGGCGGTTCAGACATTGAGCGGTTCAGACTTGAGCGGTTCAGACATTGAGCGGTTCAGACTTGAGCGGTTCAGACATTGAGCGGTTCAGACTTGAGCGGTTCAGACATTGAGCAAGCAGTTCCAAGAGAACTGAGCCGGAACCGAGAAGCTGCAGCTGAGACGACCCGGCGGCAGACCGTCGCCATGAAGCACACGCTGGTTGCCTCGCTGGCATTCGCGGCCGCCCTCGCGCGCGAGCTGCTGCCCGTCAAGATCCTCGCGCCGTCGGCCGACCACTTCCGCGACATTGTCAGCAACGACACGTACGACTTTGGCTGCCGGCCCATGGCGCGGCCCACGGCCGACGGCCAGATGGAGCTGCACGCGCTCCTGACGCGTGACCAGATCACGTACCTGAACCACGAGTACCGGTCCGTCGACGCCATCTCGATCCGCGAGGAGTCGCTGGTCAAGCGCGCCACGTCGGCCCCCATCGGCACCGGCGACCGCTTCCAGGCCGGCACCGTGGCCCCCGTCGGCCTCGGCACCAAGCCCAGCGGCACCACCATCGCCAGCATCATGAACGTGGCCGAGATCAAGTCGGCCGTCGGCGGCCTCGTCACAAAGTACGGCGTCACCTCGTACAACCTGCCCTACGCCACATTCAACGGGGCCACCCAGTATGCCGCCTACGTCGGCGCCGGCGCCGACACCTCCAAGTACCACCTGTATCTCTCGGCCGCCGTGCACGCGCGCGAGAGAGGCGGGCCCGACAACCTCGTCTATTGGATCTCCGACCTGCTGGCGGCCAACGCGAGCGGCGGCGGGCTGACGTACGGCCAGAAGACGTATACCAACGCGCAGGTCAAGTCGGTGCTGGCCGCGGGCATCGTCTTCTTCCCGCTAGTCAACCCCGATGGTGTGGCCTACGACCAGTCGTCGGGCGCGCTGTGGCGCAAGAACCGCAACACCAAGTCGGGCTCGTCGGGCTCGTCGGTCGGCGTCGACATCAACCGCAACTTCGACTTTCTGTGGAACTTCAAAAAGTACTTTGCGTCGTCGGTGGCGCCCGCGTCGACGTCGCCGTCGTCCGAGACCTTCTACGGCACCGCGGCGGCCTCGGAGCCCGAGACCAAGAACCACGTGTCCGTGTACGACAAGTTCCCCAAGATCCGCTGGTTCCTTGACATCCACTCGGCCGCCGGCGACATGCTGTACAGCTGGGGCGACGACGACGACCAGTCGACCAACACGGCCATGAACTTCCTGTCGGCCACGTACGACGGCAAGCGCGGCACCGTCGGCGACACGGCGTACAAGGAGTACATCCCCTCGTCGGACCTGACGGCCATCAAGCAGGTGGCGGCGGCGACGGTGGCGGCCATGAAGGCCGTGGGCGGGCGGTCGTACATCTCGCAGCAGTCCGTCGGCCTGTACCCGACGTCGGGGGCCAGCGACGATTACGCCTTCAGTCGTTACTGGGCCAAGGGCGGTGCCGTCAACAAGGTTTATGGGTACACCATGGAGTTTGGCTACTCGACCAACTTCTACCCGACCCTAGCCGAGTTCAACCAAAACATCCTCGACACCAACGCCGGCTTCATGGACTGGGCGCTGGCCGCGATTGCCGTGGGGCTGGAGTGAGGGCTGGAGCGAGGGCAGTAGATAGCAACGAATAATGCAATTAGATTCACTGTTCAGTTTGCTCGCGCTGGTGAGCCGTGGAGGACGTTGGCTGCGCTGCTTGCGTTGTCGGGTCAACGACTGAACTCAAGACAACTGACAACTGTTACTAAACGGCAACTAAATGCTGTCACTCGGCGCAGAAAGCACCAGCTCAGCGTCTCTAGGGCTGCCCCACTCACACGGGCTGCTTCGGGCCGGATACTTGGGATGACAAAGCCCGTAAGCCCTCCCTGCGCAGGCATGTGGGGGCGTTTCGGTATTTTCCCTTTGAAGAATTGGGCACCAAGACACCAAGACAGCTGACAGATATCCACGAACCCAGAAGGTTTTGATTCGACTAGACCTGCAAGCCGCTATTTCCCAGTGGTGTTTCCCAGTGGTGTTTCCCAGTGGTGTTTTCCCGGTGGTGTTTCCTAGTTGTGTTCCCTTCTTACACTGAGCAAGCCGACAGAGCTAGACTGTTCGTGATCTCGCTACACTCACCTCTGCACCTGGAGGCTAGAGCTCGTCCTTGCCGCCCGCCTGCGCGGCACACGCGTCAAAGATCTTCTGCGTAAAGTCCCACACGACCTTGTCGACGCCGCGGTTGCGCAGCGGCGCCAGCACGCGCTCGTTGTCGGAGCTCTCGCACGTCGCGCCGACGAGGAAAATGCCACCGCCCGACCGCTTGGCGGCCCCGAGGCCCGCGGGCACGGGCACCAGGCCAGGCTGCACAGCGTAGCGGTCGCTGGTGGCGAGGAACAGTGCGCGGACGCCCGCGTCGGCCTGGCTAGTCGGGTTGGGCGGCGACATGCCGAACCGGTTGGCGCGCGCGAGCCCCGGCGTTGCGACCGTCCCGGGGAACCAGTGCACGATGCTGATTCGCGGGTTCTCGCGGGCGATGCGCTCGAGCGACAGCGTGCTGAAGGTGGCGGCGTGCACCGAGGCGTTCCAGAAGGACCAGTTGCGCGGCTCGCGTAGGTCGAGGTCGCGCTCGTTGACGGGCGCCTCGAGCCCGCCGGCCAGCACCGTCACGACGCGCGGGCTCGGCGCGTCGGCGCTGTTGAGCAGCGGGAGCAGCTTCTCGACGGCGCGCTGCCGCGAGTAGTAGCGCGTTGACATGGACGGCTCGAGGCCCTCGCGCGTGTCCTTGCGGCCCTCAAACGCCATGAAGCCGGCCGACAGGAAGAGCAGGTCGACCTTGGTCTCGCTCTTGGCCACGGCGGCCACGACGCGGTCGACCTCAGACACCAGCGACACGTCGGCCGTGATCAGGTTGTACGACGCGCCGGGGTTGACCTGGCGCAGCTCGGCCAGCAGCGACTCGTGCCCGGCCACGGCTGGCGGGCGGGCGACGGTGTAGATGCGCGGGGCCGGGGCGTGCTGCGCAAACTGCTGCAGCGCGCTCTGGCCAATGCCGGACGTGGCGCCGATGAACAGGGCCACGAGCCCCCGGGGGAGGTTCGCGACTAGCGCATTGGACTGCTGCGCCGTCTGGAGGGAGACCATGCTAAAGGCTGGTAGGGGTGATCTGAGACGAGGGGAGTAGTCGGCGGACGGACAGCGCCTGATTAGCAATAGCAAAAACAACAGGAAATGGGATAGCGGCGTCCGAACGGGCCATGCTTTATGGTTCTGACGCTTCGGGCTATTCTCCCGTCATTCACTGGCTCCGTCGTACCTGGGGCCTCAGCCGGGGGGACACGGCTCGGGGTGGGAATTTGTCAGCATGGAGTAGTTATACCCCGATCCGGCCCCGAGCTGGGCATGGACGAGTAAGCAGGCCGAGCAGCCGCTGGCACCTCGTGTTTGCCCAAGTACAACAATCAAATATGGCCTAGCGGGCAGTCAAGGGCCATATCAAGGTGCATTTTCCTGACATTCCTATTAGATGGGCTTTGTGGGCTCGAGCGCCCCTGAAACAGAGAGGGACTTCCTGCCTAGGAAAGTCTCGGTAGGCGGGCACAAGTCTCAGTACCGGATTATTAACCATCGCCAATAATCGGTCTTTGGTTCGTAGAGATATAGCTGACTAAACGACACTTTCAATGACACGCTTGAAAAGTTCTTCAGGTAGGCTTTCTATTGTAGAGTCAACTTTGGGGATTCATGACTTCGGTGGAGCGGAGGGTCTCGGCAAAGCCTACCGAGTCAAATACGGCCTGCCTCCAACAATGACAACTTCTTGCCCTCGAGTCAAGCCACAACAGCCCCAACAGCCCCAACCTAACTGGTTGGTTTTGTGCCAGGGCTGGCAGCGCCGCGAGCCATGCCTGCAGCCCGCCGTCCACGCGTGGTTGTTGCCTGGACATTGGATTTCAAACCAAACTCCGAAGTCCGCGGGGTTTTTGGCGTAGCAACCAATCAGGTGTGTTCGATTCTGGAACAGTCTGTAGCCATGTTAACAAGCATTGCTGCCGCGGCGCACTTACACGAACCTGCGAGCGAACTCAATAAAGCCGACCGTCTCGCTCCCAACCTTGGACCGGTCGTTCCCAACCTCCGACCGCATCAGAAGAGCCAGAGTTCAGACTCGGCAACACAACCAGACAACCGAAACATAGCCGCCATGTCGCTCCCGAAGACGTACAAGCGCGCCGTCTTCCCGGGCATGGGTCAGCCGCTGGTCATCGAGGAAGCGCCACTAAGGACGCCCACCTCGAATGAGCTGCTGGTCAAAGTCGAGGCCTGCGGCGTGTGCCACTCGGACATGTACTCGCAGTACAACGCCCTGGGAGCTGGCTTCCCCATTGTGCCCGGCCACGAGATCATCGGCAAGGTGGCTGCCGTCGGCGACGCTGTGACCGATTGGAAGGTCGGTGACCGCGTGGGCGGCGGCTGGCACGGCGGCCATGACGGCACCTGCAATGCCTGCAAGCAAGGCTGGTTCAACATGTGCGACCGCCAGGCCGTCAACGGCGCAACCATGGACGGCGGCTGTATGTGACCCCGAGGCAGTTGAGTTGTGGCGCGTGAAGCTGACCGTCTCCAGATGCCGAGTACACTTATCTTCATGCCGAGGCTGGCGTGCGCATCCCCGCCGACGTCGACGCGGCCAAGTACGCGCCACTTCTCTGCGCCGGCATCACCGTCTTCAACTCGATGCGCGCCCAGAAAGTCACGCCGGGCGAGACCGTCGCGATCCAGGGCCTTGGCGGGCTCGGCCACTTGGCCATTCAATATGCCAAGTTCATGGGCTACCGCGTAGTCGCCGTATCGCGCGGCGCCGATAAAGAGAAGGCGGCGCGCGCGCTGGGCGCACACGAGTATGTCGACTCCAGCGCCGGGGACCCGGGCGAGCAGCTCAAGGCCCTCGGAGGGGTTGCGCTCATCGTGTCGACTGCCGCGACTAGCGAGGCCATGACGCCTCTGCTGAAGGGCCTGGCCATCCACGGAAAGCTTCTCGTCCTCGGCATCCCCGAGAAGCTCGAGTTCCCGACCCTAGAGCTCTTGAGATACGGCTGCTCGGTGCAGGTCTGGCCCAGCGGCCACCAGGGCGACTCGGAGGACACGATTGCCTTCTCAAAGCTCCACGGCGTCGACTGCCAGATTGAGAAGTTCCCGCTTGAAAGAGCCCAGGAAGCATATGGTAATTACGTCCTGCACCCGACGCTGTCTGTCGCTAACAAGCATAGATGCCATGATGAGTGGAACGGTTCGCTTCAGGTCGGTCATCACCATGGAGTGATTGCCGGCGATGCGACGGAGCAGGAATCTACCGGTGTACACTCCAACCCCTGTTTAATTGTTAGCGAGGTGCAGAGGTCGGGGCCAAAAGAATTTAGACCACAGCTACGAGCCAGGGTCTCCTGAATCCGTGTGAGAGAGCGAGAAGATAATGAATGCACTGTATTTGTTAGCGCTGAGTATCTTATCGACCCTCATTAGGGTTGCACCAAGGATCGTGTTAGAATCCACCCACCCACATCAAATGAAGCCGAAATTCGACGTGGTTATGTTTCAGTGCGGTAGAGAGCCGGCTAGGTACGTGTCGGAACTAGTTGCCCTACAGCTCAGACGAGAAGTAAAATTACTAATAAAATACTAGTAAAAGGACTTCCCGACTTATACGACGTTGCCAGCCGCTCCCACAGGCTCGAACCTGCCGAAAATGGTCACGGTCCACCGCAAAGATTCCACTATTGCAGAGAGGGTTCAGGCTTTGACCCTACATGCGAATAGCGCCAAGATTCCTCAAATTGAAGCCATCACGGGCATTAAAAAAGCCGCTTTTTACGCTCCATTGAAGAAGGCGAAGGATAGAGGGTACGCGCCTGGCGACAAGATTCAAGACCGGCACGTTGAAAATGCTCCAAAGAGTGGTCGCCCAAAAGTAATCGGCCAAATTGAGCACGAAGTAATTGAAGAGGTTATTACTCAGGACTTCAACTCTCGCTCTTGTTCAAATTATAATATCGCCGACCGAGTTACTAAAAGGTTGGCCGGTATCCCGGGCGCTAGGGTTCCAAGCCGAAGAACGATACTCCGGTGGCTCAAAGCCGACGGCTTCAAGAATATGAAGCCCACAACGAAGCCAGGGCTGAACAAAGCCCAGAAAATAAAGAGGCTCGAATTCGCGATGCAAGTTCGTGACTGGACTCTCGAGGACTGGAAGAAAATCATGTGGAGTGACGAGACCTCTGTTATACTCAGCGCTGCACGTGGAAGAAGGAGAATTTGGCGCCGTACGTGGGAAAAGAACTTCCACAGTTGTATTCAACGGCGTTGGAAAGGCTTCATGTCGTTTATATTTTGGGCATGCTTTACCTATGACAGGAAGACAACGCAAGCTCCCACATCGCCCGTTAGAATAGGGAGCTTTGGGGAAAAGTCGGTTTCAAGGTCCTTGTGTGGCCTCCGAACTCCCCGGACCTCAACCCTATTGAGCCCTCTTGGAGAGGGATTAAGTTCTCTTGGAAAAAACAGAGGGTTCCAAAGTCAAGGCCGGCTCTTGAGAAAGACTGGAGCACGCAGTGGCGTGATTATCTACAGGAAAAGCTGCGCCGGCTTGTAGAGCGAATCCCCGGGAATGTCAGGTGGGTGATCCGACTTGCTGGTGGTAATGAGTATACCGAAGGAACTGAGCCGCCGCCGTTGGAGCCGGGAGAGGAAGAATCTAGCGATATCGCTTGGAGGAAATGGTGCAGTCAAACAACGCAAGAAAGGGAGGCTGAAATATAGGCTGAAGCCGACGGCCACGGCCCTTAACAATCTTGAACTTCAAGATCTGTTGAGCCTGTTGGCTTAGGAAGGTGTTGGATTGGCTACATCGTACCAGCTGAATGGAGCCTAAAAAGATGTGTAGGCATCAAGGCCTACATACGGGCCGATCATCGTTGGTGGCCTAATGAGTGGCAAGTTTGATCGAAAGGGCATTATTATTTGCCACCTACTTCGCCACTATGTCCATCTATAATAATGGCTCTCTGGCTTCGCCAGAGAGCAGGGGGAGAATCAATTCAAAAAAAAAAATTTCTCATAAAAAAAATTTCTCATCAATATAATCCATCTGTGTGTCGAATCCAACAGAAGGACGCTTGGGGAGGGGGGGACCGGGGGGGTCTTGCAACTTGGTCAGCGAAATCTGGGCTCTATTTGGGGATAAGCTGGATTACCGGAAAGTCGTCAAAATCGAGTGTAAAGAGCTTCATTCGAATGTGCCTAGCCTAGAGAATGTAATGAAGCTATTCGTATGTAAATGCAGCCTGTTTTGCGATCGATGTATCTGCTTATTCAAATAAATCATGAAATTCGTGGTGTGGAGGGCAGGTTGCAGGGTCGAAGGTTACAGGGCAGTTTACTGGGTGGAAGGTATGTGGCTTTCTTGGCATACTGTGGAGCCTTTTCCTTACACAAGATTTGGTCTAAATTCTTTTGGCCCCAACCGTACATGCCGGGGCTCGGCAACAAGGATCAAAGCCAATCAAATCAATTTGCAGAACACCAAAAAGTGCATCCAAAGGACTATTAAATATCCGATTATCAGTACAAATTTGTGGTATAGCAATAACAAACAGTACCCAAGGTACCGGGCCTGGCAGAAGAAAAAAGGGGCATCTGAACAACCGCTCCGCGCAAGAACACCAAAAGAAAAAGGGACAAGAATCCGGTGATGTAAACAAGAAAAAACTCAGTAACCTGACCTGTATGTCAAGGCCCTGTTTTTTGCCCTGTATTTTCCTTTTTCTAGGCGTTGGAGGCCCTGTATTCCTCGGCGAATTTGTGCTAGTGCTAAATGCCTGAGCTGGATTTTTTGATTGGTTAATCACGGCGGGTGGGGCTGTAGCGCGGGAACAATTAAACGGCTGCGCAAGCTGTGAAAGTCTGCTTCGATGCCTAGTAGTCTGTTGGTAGAAAATATTCCACAGTGAAAACTGAGCACTCACATGTGCCAAGTTATTCTTTCGCATTCCCAGCGCGTGTTGAATCATGCAATCGAGAGCGAGAGCGAGCAGACAAGGGGCCCGAGCGACAGGATTCTGTGAATTCCTTCCGTCGGGTCATCGGCGTCACGAGCTCGTCGGGCGACAGCGAGAGTTGAACAGCCACGCGAAACCAGAACGCGAAACTAAAACATGACAAAAAAACAGCTGGACGAGCATGGACAAAACATCGCCGGGTACTGCTCCTGGATCGACAACCTCTATCAAGCAGCGAATTTGTGCGATCGAAGAGATCGGTCATTTGTGACTCGTCACTTTGGGCTAAGACTCTACGTGGATCGCCCTTCCCGCCTGACGTGATCCGTGGATTAGCGCTCGGACGCGCTGAACGCCCCAAGACGCCCCAAATTTGGCGCGTCCGCTGTTTTCGCGTCCTTGGCAGGTATATTTCCTGCTGGTCTGGACTCGCGATTTGCTCGCCAACTTGGTCCCATGCATGGCATTTGTTCATCATGCAACCCTTGCGGTCCCTCTGCGGCACGACACCGTAAACCAACCCCAGAGTTGGCAGGGACAACTGCGGTCGGACCACCACATGCACCTGGGAAACACTGGCGGCTTCCCCCTGAAAACCGGGGAACCGCGACCGGTGGGCGGGCCAGTCAGACGGCGTACCACTGCTGAAGGTGGTGACCTTTTGCGAAAGAGGTCGCCGCGCTGCCTGTCAATTCGCTATCATTACGCATGCCCCCGGCCGCTAGTGCAGCAAGGTTTAGTCGCCGCTGAACCCGGTACGAGGATCAGAATGGCCCGGTTTCCCGTCCCCGCGAAACCCAACCCAGCTCGAATGTCTTCTCCGCGGGCCCAGTCTGCCTGACACCATGTTTTATCTCTCCATCCATCCCGGAATGCCTGGGAAACATCTCCACCCCGGAGCTTGCGGCGGGTCTGCGGTACTGACAGCACCGTCATCATGGCGAACCCCGTAGCCAACGGCGTGATTCTGGCCGCGACCATCTCGCCGGTCCCCGCCATCATCCTCGTCTGCCTGCGCTTCTTCACGGCGCGCCGCATTCTCCATGTAATCCACAAGGACGATTGTAAGCACTAGGTCCCCGGTTCTTTCGGCTTGGCACGTCTGCTGACTCTCCCTCGCAGGGCTGATCCTCGCCGCCATGGTACGGGAGGCATCCCCGCTCGGCAATCCGTGTCTCGGCAGCGCCCGCTGACAATCTCGCCTAGGTTCTCTCGATCGGCTTTTCCATCAGCGAATGCATCCGTACGTGTGGCCGTCCGTCCCAAGACTCAGTCGATGCGACACTGGCTGACCTCGTCGCAGAAACCCGCTACGGCCTCGGAGAGCACCTCCCCAATGTTCCCGAATCGACCATCACGGCGTACATGCTCGTAGGTCGACCCCACGAGCCGTGCCAGCGTGAGACTGCGCTAACAAGTCGCACAGATCGGGGCGTGGCCGACTCCCATCACCAGCTACCTCGCGACCCTCTTCACCAAGGCGTCGATCCTGTACTTCTACCTGCGCTTCTCGACCAGCCGCCTCTTCGCGTCCGCCATTTACTTTGTCCTCTTTGTGGTGGTGGGCTACTGCGTGCTCGGCGCCACAACCGCCCTGTATGCCTGCCAGCCCATCGCCAAGTTCTGGATCATGTCGCTCGAGGGAAACTGCATCGGAGCCAGCCCCATCTACACGACGCTCATTGCGCTCAACGTGTTTACCGACGGGATCCTGCTACTCCTGCCATTCTGGATCCTGCTGCCCCTCAAGATAGCCCTGTACCAGCGGCTGGCGATCGCCGGCTGTCTCGGGGCGGGCGGATTGTAGGCTGTCCCGGACCTCCGCGTCTGTCGCAAGCTAACGTGCCATCCAGCGTCCTCGCCGTCAGCATCTACCGCCTCGACATTGTGCTCGAAGGCTTCAACGACCCCGACTTTACCTACCGGCACGGCATCAACTTCATGTGGAGGTGCGACCCCTTGTGCGTCTCGGCGTCTGTGAGCGGGCCCTGCTGACAACCGTGCAGTTTGATCGAGACAAACGTGGCCATCGTCTGCGCGTGTCTGCCCTGCCTGCGGGCGTTTGTGGGCTATTTCTGGCCCTCGATCTTCCGCATCCGTAACGAACCGAGGGCGCTGTCTTCAGTCTCGGTGTCGCAGCCGCGGCGGCAGCCCGTCGGCATCGCGTCGGAGGAAAAGTCGAGCAACGCCTCCATCTCGCCGATCGGGCCGGGCTGGAACCGCCGCGGCTCCGAGAGGGGCCAGGCTCGCTCCCCAGGAGGGGAGCAAGCCGTGTAATGCAGTAATGACGGGCTTGTGCATGAAATCTTGGGTTTGGTTGGTTGGACATGGGCATAGCGCAGGACAAGGGTTGGATGGTTTGGATCTGGGTGTTTTTGGAGGGCTGGCGGCTGTTCAAGCCTTGGTATCATTTGCTGGATTATGGGCGCTTGCATGTATAACTGTGTCTTTGGATTCATGACGGACTTTTTGGTATTTGGCCGTCAATTTAGTGCAGTCTTTCCAACTTCGACATTGCACAACATTGCACAACATTGCACTCTGTAGCTCACCGAGGAGCAGGCAGCCTGATGAAACCCAACACCATGTCATCGTCGCTCCTCGCTGACTCGATCCATTCCGCAGCTCCTGTGGCGCATGCAGCATTAAATACACTTGCCTTTTTCGCTGCATTCTCGTGCACGGCGCGGATCTCGGCTCAGCTCCGACCTCATTGGGCCGCCGCCAAGGTGCTTTTCGTCAAACACCTGCGCCCGACAAGCTCCCGGCTGCGGCATGGCTCCGGCAGAGATGGTCGTGCCTCTCCCGCGTGGGTCCTGCTTCCCCAAAACCAGCCCCTGCGCGGTTGAAACACGGCGGTCTGCGGCGCGGCGGGTGCTCTCAGCCACAGAGTCCGAGATGGCGGCGCCGGTCCGAGGGGGGTTGGTGGTCGCTATTGGGCCGATGCAGCTCGATCCGCCGTCAGCGTGCCCCAACGCTAAGCCACAGGATTTTGCGGAATATCCGAGGCCTTCTTGCCAGGCCCGGCTGTCTTCAGTGCGCTGCTGTCTTTATTATGGGACGAGATCGGCACTCGGCCGTGCGTGTTCCTGCTTGCTTGTTTGTTTTCAAAGCTGCCTGCAACACGCCGAACCCCACGACTTTCCGAGGACCACTATTTGATGCTCACACAAACCATGGAGTCCCGATGGACAGACCTGCTACTCCCCCGCGCTTCGGCCACGATGCCGTCCCGCCCAACATCTCCCGAGTGGGCGGAGCTCCCCCGTCGGCCCGACAAGGAGCGCGACTGCTCGCGGTGGCTCGTCTGGCGGCTCTGTCGTGCCGCCGTGGTCGTCGTTGCTCTCGTTCTTGTTCTGCACACCCGGCCGCCACTGCCTGCCGGCCTCATGCACGGCGCTGGTGAGTCTCTGCCCGAGATCTCACATCAAGAACAAATGCACAGGAGGCTGACACCGACGGCCCAGACCCAAGCGCTGTTGTCGCCAACTTCAGTGCCAGCCTCGCGTCCCACGCGGACCAGGACCCCATTGCGCTGCCCCTGGCATGCCTCCCGATCTGCGGCGGACGATGTAGGACGGATTGCGCCCCGGCGAGCGATCCGAGCCAACACGGGTCACTGCACCGCTGATAGACATCACATGGAACTCGGGAGAACAAGTTCTAGATCAGCTATCTGATTACCTAATTACAAGCCGCCGCATTCAACGACACGCATGCCCGACATGCGCCTACAACACCCTCACTCGTAAAACACCAGACACCGCACCTCGATGCTCTCCCTGGGCTTGGCGTCGGACGACGTGCCGGGGTCGATGAAGGCCGTGTGGGGCGTCAGCGCGGCGACGCCGTCCCGGCCGGCCGGCTGCCCCTGGCTCCAGCTGTCAAAGCACTTGATGAACATGGCCTCGTCGGGCGCCATGTCCTTGACGTAGTAGAGCTTGTGGCGGGGGCTAGGCGCGACAGAATACGTCTCACCGCGGATCTCGTAGCCGGCCGTCGACGCCGCGCTGGCCGGGTCGGGCAGCTGCTCCTTGCCCCTGTCGTCGTCGTCGGCGGGGTTGGCGGGGTCGGCGGTCCGCGCCGCGGGGTACAGCAAGTCGACAGCCACGAGATCTGCAGGGTCTGTGGTGCGCCAGTCTACGACGGCCAGCGGGAAGTCGGACGCGGCGTGCCCGATGGGCCGCCACACGTTGATGAGCTGGAAGCGGCCGCGCAGGAGATCCTCGGCCTCGGCAGCGGGCTGGACGTGTCGGCGCACACGCGCTGCGGCGGCGCCCGGAGTCTGGTCGACGTGCACGCCCTGTACGGGCTGGCGCGGCGCGGCGGGGTCGTGCTTGCGGATGGTGTGGTCGAAGATGACGACTTTGTGGATGCCGGGCAGCTTGGCACGCAGCAGCGCCTCTACCTCGGCATAATAGCCGTTGCGCACGGCCGCGTCGTCGACGAAGAGGCGCTCGCGGGCGGGCGCGTGGTGGACAGCGAACCCGGCGACGTCGATGTCGGTTGCGAAGCCCGGGGCGGCAGGGGCGTCGCCGCTGAGGAACGGGCGCAGGTCGGAGACGGAGCGCCGCCGCTCGGTGCGGGCGTACGAGTTTGCGGCGTCCGTGTCGACCTTGGACCACGGCTTGCTGCCGGGCTCGACTGTGGCCGGGTCGAGGTAGCGGAACACGCCCGTGGTCATGGTGCGGGGTAATGTCCTGGTCCTGTGTAGCGGGTGGTGTTGAGTGTCGATGATGTTTAGACGAGGTCGGCTCGTTTGCTGCGGGGATCATGGATGTCGTGATTAAATCCACAAAGAACTGGAGACGGTGCCGTTCGTTCAGTGGTCGGGCTGCTTACATGAGCTAATTGGCCGATTCTCGGCATTCGCACGATATCGGTTTCTTGCGCTGCCGCACACCTCTACCGGGCTTCACCTAACTAGACAATGTTCAACTATCATGACTTCGTGTGAATGACATTGGTATGTGTTGTAAAAGGTTATATCTTCATATTGCATCGGATACCGGTATTTGTGAAATGTGATATGAAGATGAAAGCGAAACCAGCTCTCTCCGCGAGTTCCGACTCTCCATGCCGGTGTTGCCGCCGAGCCAACGCTCCCCAGCAGCGGGCGCAATTATACCAAACAAACAGCGGCACATACGAGGCAGAATTGTCTCGTTCCGTCTGTCGTGGAACAGTGCCGTCAGCGTCTTTGGCTCTAGAGTCTAGAAGCTTGGAGTTCTCCTAGAGCGTCATTAGCTGTTCACCAAAGACGGAAAGTCTTGTTAGGCCGAACCTGTGCATGACGATCGATCAGCTCGGGACCAGACTTTTACGTAGCTAGGCGTAAGTGTGAAAGTCGTCTGGTTACACAAACTCTGGACTCCTGACCCCTCCCGCAGCAAGCGGCATATCATCCAGGACCGAAACTGCCCGGCCGTTCCGATGCGCTACCCGCTCCGTTATCCGATGAGACGGACCCCGAGATGCACCTCCAATGCCGCCGGTACCGTGCTCCGATAAAGTGTATGCTGACCTGGAACTTCCTCTAGGTAAGAGATGTGGAACAACTGTTCAGGACCCAGCGCTGATGTGGCCTAGATCAACCCAGCCAGGCTGTCTTGGAGAACGGCTTGGCAGATACCATGACCGACGAAGAATATCATAGTGGCTTGAATCTGAGGGAGCGTGAGGGACTCGGTGGAGGCGACATCCCCTAACGCGAGAAGTCCTCCGCCGATGCTTCTCAACTGGATGCACAATTTGTAAATAGGACATGACTAGTAGCACATGCCCGATGCACTTATGTTTTTATGCCGGCAGGTTAGAAAGAGTGGCCCGCTCCCGGGGCGCCAGACAAAAGGAAAAGTGGCAAATAAGTCTTCAATAATGTGAAGCTCGGAGAGCAACACTACTGCCACTCCCACCTTAATGTACGCCGTGTCCGCGTACGCTGTAGTCCTTTTATATGTCCCGGTGACAGGGGTACTTAATATTTTAATATTAAAGTTAAGAGCGAGATATTATTACTCGACTTGATAAATTATATCCTTGTGCTTTAACGTTGAATGGAATACTAAATAATAAACTGGTCGGCAACAAAGGAACATGAGTGGATATCAGACCGGTCGCTCTCAAGCATGAACAGAAAGGGACGCTGGGTACGTGCCGAGGAAAGAGATGGGCGGAGGAAGAAATAGACAAAAAAATATATAGAATTGAAGGAATACACGAGCAGAATATCCAGACAAACGCTACAGCCTCAGCTGTCAAGAATGGGCCCAAACGCCGGGATCCCCCGCGACTCGAGGTCAAACGCGAGACTGCTAGTCACCTTGGGATTGCTTATTATGCAGACAGCTTCTGCGCCGAACTCTTTGTACAGTCTAAAGACAACAGGCAGCATGTCGACGCGCCCCGTGTGGCTGGTGTCGAATATCATCGGCTCCGCATCCAGCCGGCCCACCAGGTCGAGCGTCCGCTGCCCGTACGTCTTGAGCGGCGACTTGGTCTGCCACACGACGCGCACCTGCGGCCGGTTTTCATCTCCTAGAAACGCTAGGCACGGGCTGATGCCGGAACCGGTCGTGACGACGACGAGGCGCGAAAACAGCCGCATCCTGTAGCCGAACCCGTACGCGGGCATGCCTCGCACCCAGAGGTGTGTGGGCTGCGTGTTGATGGCTCCGCGGGTCCAGTCGCCGGCCTTGGACACCAGACACGAAAAGCGGGTGCCCGGGGTGTCGAAGCGGTCCGGAAAGGTGGCAAAGCTGTGCCAGTCGGCGAGTGGGCGCGTGGCGACCGACATGCCCTACCCGAAATTGGCCGTGGTGTGGCCGAAGTGCAGCCTGACCGCGTGCGGCGACAGCGCCTCGGGGACCACGGGCACGCGGCGCAGGAGCAGCCACGGGTGGATCGTGGCGAGAGTGAGGACGATGAGGACCCAGAAGGCGGGCAGATTAACCAAAAAGGGGCCCATGGACGGCTGCTCGGCGGCCATGAGGAGCAGCAGCGCCCAGAACACGGCCAGGATGATCCAGTTGGCGAAGCGGTGGGTCAGCTCGAAGCAGTCGTGGTACTTGACGCGGAAGGCAGGGTAGGCGACGGCAGCGATGGCGAGCAGTAGGGCCAGCACAAGCCAGACCAGCACCAGCACGGCCGTGGCGACGGGCGCGGGGCGGTACTGGGTCGTGTAGACGCCGGTAAAGGCGGCGTACCAGAGACAGGCGGCGACGCCGGTGCCGCTGTGGACGCCGCCGAGGTGGAAGATCTTGCAGGCCAGGCAGCGCAGCCTCAGGGGCGCGGAGCGCGGGACGGAGCCGAACGTGATGAAGAGGGCGTTGACGACGAGCGGCTGGCGGCAGAGCCCGCAGACGGCGATATTGATGGCGGCCGCATTGACGAGGTCCATCGGAGCGGTACCACCTTTGAGTACGAGGACGACGAACGCGACGGCATTGCCGATGAAGGCAAGACTGAAGAGGCGACGGTAGACGTTGAGCGCGGTATAGCGGACGAATCCGAGCCGCTTCCGCGGGTGCTCGTCGACTTCATCTTTCTGTACCTCGACGTCAGTGGTCGACGACGAGGCCGGCTGCTTCTCTGCGAGGGACAGGGCGAGGGACGGGGCGAGGGACTGGGGCGATGGAAGCGGTGACGACGGCGGCGACGACAGCGGCGACGACAGCGGCGACGGTGGCGGAGATAACGGCGGTGACGACAGCGGCGACGGTGGCGGAGATAACGGCGGTGACGACAGCGGCGACGGTGGCGGAGATAACGGCGGCGACGACAACGGCAACGGTAGCGGAGATGATGACGGGGATGGCGAGGATGTGGATGGGGATTGGGATGCGCCTAACAGCGAGCCTTCAGCTGTCGGCCTGATAGAGGCTGGGGGAAAAGAGAAAATTTGGGGGTCAGACAAGGGCCTGTGCTCCATTCTGAATTACAGTGGCCCAAACTGTGGGGCTCGAGCTTTCTGGTGGAGCGAGTGGGGCCAAATCGCACCTTCTTGTCCAAACGTAAGTTTGCACACGGATCCCCTCATCAATCTTATACGCCGGCGACCGATGGCGATCAGACTACACGGCCGAAGTCGATATGCGCTGTCGGCTTGGTTGCAAGGCATCAACACATTCGCAGTCTCGCCTGGTGGACTTCCGCAGCGGCGGGGTGCACAAGGCGACCCGCAGACGCTGCAGATTGCCCACTTGGACAACGACCCCACGATTCTTCGAAGTTTGACTGTGCGACGCCCTAGATTCCTCCTCAACTCGTCCGTCGGACGAATATCACAGTCCGAACTAGCGAGTGCTACCGATGACTAGAGTTACATCATGTCTGCATGCAGTGGCTTGAAACATGTCTCGCTCTTGAAGAAGCGAGGAGACAACCGGGTCCTGGGCAGTGTCTCAGCCCATCTCCCCGCAAAGACATTGGAGGCCGAGATCAATAAGATATCCACACCCCGCGTTTGGTGGCTTGGTCAGCCGCTTGTTGATGCATTAGCGCCAAATTCCGGCCGTGCCGTCAGCGCCAGTCAGCAGTGGAAAATATTCGCCCATATCGTAACCTAGCAAACTGACCCCTGCAGGGCTTCCGTTTCTTCCATTTTTCTACTACTTCTTCTTGACTACAAGCTGTGCCTTCTGGTTAGCTCGCAATTACTTACAGAACTGGTCCATAGAAGAGCCAGTCCGCTGCTGTTGTAGATGGACGATATACATCGCAGCCTCCTCGCCAATACGGCGGTTCCGCGCAATACGCTCGATTTCCCTAATGACCTCCAGCCGTAGAGAATACCACTGCAGCTCTGTCCACCGGCCTGCCCGCCAACTATGGCCCCACCGACTATCTAAATCACGTACGGCTGGCTGGCCGTGTAGACCAGTGGTTGATACCAATTGATTCCCTGACAAGAGGCGCTTTGAGCGCAGTCCTCGAGACTGCGGTACCACGGCCGTCAAGAGCGCCAAGGTCCTTTGCCCGCGGCAAGCGGGCAATGACGGCAACACTTTCAGAGAATGGATACGTGTTGGCCGCCTGAAGACTACCTTAGCTATGGACTGAGTCACTCGGTTCGGTGTTGGTTTGCTGGTGAAGCCCGCGCCGCCGACCAAGTTGGCCTCAGAGTCCGGAGAAACTCTGCCGACTCCATCTGCAACGTCTGGCAACACAACCGTGTGCGTACTTGCCAATCTCGGCGTTGCGTGCATAAATCTGCTGCGGGTCCAGCGAATACCATACTCTTTTGAACACCTCGTCGATCCTTGCCTTGCTTCAGACGAAAACCCTCTGGCCGTCGTGTGGTCTGCCGGTTCACAAGCTCATCCGACTCCAGGAACAGCTGAGCTCCGCCGATCACTTGCAGGGGTGCTCCGAACCTGCAGCCGGAGCTCTGGAGGGACATTCCGGCGGATGTACCGGCCTACCACCCGTCGGGACGGGGCCGCTCCCTGGGATCGCAGGCTTGTTGCCGTTGGGAACAGCAGGTCGCTAAGCCGGCCACGGTGTCGGTGGCGCGCCGATCCCGTCGTGGCCGTGGGGAATCAAAGGCCAGACTGCACCGATGAGACTGTCCACATGAACGATTGAATTCGGCGTTGCTCTCTGCTGTTGCGGGCGAGCAGCGAGACTAGCCCGTTAAGTGTGGCAATCATTGCGATCAAAGTTTGCGGGGCTTGCCGAATGGCTGCCTGGGTGATTGATGCTTTGATTTGGATTATCACAATTGCCTCATATTCGCTTGCTCCCCTTCATGATATCAGAGATCAACAAGCACTGTTGCATCACGTTGCCCTTTCTCTGATGACGATTTACCAACTGCGGCACCTGGCCATGTTTGGTCCAACTGGGCGTCTATGGAGGCCCTGCCTGCCGCTCCTGTTCAATCTAGCCGGATTAGCAGGCGAGGTACCAGACAAGAACTTTCGTTGGATTCTCATCACACGGTGTTGCAACAAACGTCTCGGCTCACGTCTACTGGGAACACCTGTCGTATGCGTCAAGACGGAGTCAATTGAAGCCGGAACAAGCCAGCCAAGCTACCAAACACAAAACAACGCTCAAATCAACTATTCCGCAGTTTGTATGCCGATCTCCCTGCAATCATGCAGCCAAACTTGGCTTCGGCGACCATCTCAGTTAGAGTCTGGCCTCGCGCACGCTCTCGCTGCCAAGGCCCCTCTTTCGCTGGTATTCCTCGAACGATCCGTCGGGGTACTTGCTGACGAGCTCCCGCATCAAACGCAGAGAGCTAATCCAACGTCAGCATGGCCCGCCAAAGATTATTCAGCGCTTACATGTTTCTGAAGTGCATCTTCCCTGGGTAGTTGCACGACGCGAGCATGTCGAACCGCCTTAGATCCGTCAGCCGGCCGCAATCAAACCATTTCCCCGAGAAAACCTACACCCAGTACAGGTTGAGGCGGTCTTCGAACTCGTCGGCCGGCTCGAGCCGCGGCACGTGCTTGACGTACTCGGCGACGTAGTCGTATCCTAGGAGCTCGCGGTGCGCAAACCACGGGCCTAGGTCATCTGCAAGAGTCAGCGCAGCTCGAAGCAATCATCAGGCGCACTTACATTCGGCAGGGGCGTACATGGGCGCCGCGTCAAAGATCATCGTGCGGCCCGTCTTGGTGTCGACGGCGGCGTTGCCGTACCACAGGTCGCCGTGGCAGAGCGTGGGCACAAGACGGCAGCCCTCGGTCTCGAGCGGCCGCAGGAGCCGCGGGACGACGTTGGTTAAAAAACTCTGGCGCAGCCGGGTCAGCTCCTCGTCGGCCCCCTGCGCCTCCTCCTCGGCGTCGAACAGCGGGACCATGCCGTCCAAGAAGCACTGCTCCCACGTGGCGCGCATCGGGAAGTCCTGCCGGATACGGCCGGCATACGTGTGGAACGGCAGGCCGAACTTGCCACCGGGGACGGCGCCGCGGCGGTGGAACTCGGCCATCAGCGCCACGTACTCGGGGGGCTTGATGCTCTTCCGGCACAGGTCGTAGAAGGGCACCAGCAGGAAGAACGCGTCGGGCCCTTCGGTGAAGGCGCCCCAGGCCAGCGGCCGCATGACGAACTCGGGCATGACATCGTGCATCAGCCGCATCGACTCGAACTCGGTCTCCACCATGTCCCGGCCGTGCTCGAACTGGTGCACCTTGAGGAAGAAGGGCGTCGGGTTCCCCGCGGCGTCGACGGCGTCAATCTTGGCCGTCCGTGCCCAGTACGAGTTCCCGCTCGGCGCGATGCCCCGGACCTGCGTTCCCGGGGGAAGCTCTGGCGGTGGTCAGCAACGCGCCCCGCGCCCCGCGGGAGGATTCGACAGACTCACTGGCGCGCACCCCCTGGTCTACATACTCGATGAGCCGGCTGGGGACGCTGGGCTCACGGTCCCACACCGTCTTGTCTGCATTCGGTTTCAGGCTTTCCATTTACTCGGTATTCCTGCGGATTCGAGGTGGAGTAATTTTGGGTGGGAGGAGGCGGGGTTTGCTGCTATTTGTACCGGCCGGTCATTGAGTCCCGGCGTTGAGTCCCGTCATTGAAACAGTGAAACAAGGGTTGTTTGCTCCATTGCGGTGGCCTGAAAAGGGCGGCCGATGGCCGGGCGGCGTTTTTGGTTCGATGGTTCGATGTTTTGTTTGTTGGCGGCGATGGGTCCCGACGCGGCCGGGCTAGCCAACAAGGCTGTTTGAGTTTTGCCTGGCCTGCGGTCGTGCAAGGCTGTATAACGCTGCGCAACGCCTGCGTGCAACGCACCGCGCATTGCACTCGCAAGGCCGCGTTTTGGCTTCCGGAAGGAATGACGAAACAAAATCTGGCTTCCAGATCGAGTCCGCGATGGTCGGGTCTTGCCCGCCGTGCCAACGCCGCGCCAACGCCGCGCCAACGCCGCGCCAACGCCGCAAGCCAAACATTCAGCATCGTGACGACATCAATACGCGCATTCACTGCCTGGATCAAATGTGTACTTGCTGCACGCATTGCGGGAACTTCTATTTCTATGAAATTATCACAACCCTGCCGCTCCAATGCACCCCTGGAAAGAAATCGGCCGTCATTGCATCTCCGCGACGTCGCGCCCCCAACCGTCTCCCCTAAGCTCAGCGACGGGCGGCCCGTCGCCGCCGAGCTCGGTCCGGGTAGAGGGCGTATCCATCTCGCTCGGTCTCCACACGTGCCCAAACTGTGCGCCCTGGTAGTACTGTGTTTCGACCTTTTCCGGCGCCGTCGCATCCCCTGCCGCGGCCGCCGCCCGCCGCCTTCTCAGCCAGACAAAGATGGCCGACGCGATGAGGATAATGGCGGCGAGGGCCGCGCCAATGGCGATGCCCGCCTTGGCGCCGGCCGACAGCTCCGACGAGGGCGAAGCGACCGCCGGCAGGGCTGTGGCTTCGGGGGCCGATGACCCCGAGGTCTGGCGCGACGGCAGGGGCGACGATGACGGAGACGGCGATGACGTGGAGGTGGCAGCGGACGACGTGCTCGAGGCGAGATCGGCTGCCTTGAAGCGGATGGGGATGCCGAACGCGTTGGCCGCGGCGGCCGAGCCCGTGTTGATCTGCCATCCGACGCCGACAGTGCTCGCCGCGTACACAAAGGACACGGTGGGCGCCATGTAGATGGTGCAGAGATCGGTGCTGTACCACGGCCACCACGTCGACGGCGTCATGCAGCCATATGAACTGGCGAGTGTCAGCACGGATAGCTAGCATAGCAGGCCGCCAGAGGAAATCACCTAGGGCAGCACGTCCCGCGCGTCTCGGCGCCTGACGTGCTGGAGCAGGCGAGCTGGTAGCCCGACGGGCAGATGCCGGGCGAATAGTAGAAGGACGCGGTGGGCGTGTAGCTCGGCGGCAAGCAGGCGGAGACGGGGCTGCCTGTGGCCGGGCCCAGGTGCATGAAGACGCAGGGGATCTGGGAGTTGTCGTCGGCATAGCAGGTCAGCGTCGAGCCCGAGTAGGTGTATTGCGAGTAGCTGACGAGGCAGGATTCGGGCGGGGCAAAGGTTGTGGTCAGCGCTGGGACTGCCGGGGCCGTGGTCGTCATCTTGCCGAGTGCGCGCTGCCGAGTGCGCGCTGCCGAGTGCGCGCTGCCGATTGCGCGCTGCCGATTGCGCGCTGCCGAGTGCGCGCTGCCGAGTGCGCTGCCGCCGTGGTGTATGCCGCCGTGGTGTATGTCGCAGGAGGGAATGTCTCGGGATGGCTCGAGAACTGGCGTTGCCGGAGGGAACGCTGGGTGCACGGTGCCGCGGCAGTCTGCCGCCTGCTCAATTATGTTCGAGTTCATGGGGCACGGGTTCAACGGGCACGGGTACTGTACTTTCCCGCAAGCGAGCCTCGCCCCCAACATGCAAATTGGAGAGAGCTAATCGGAGGTAGCCGCCCGGCGGCCGCATTCTGCAATCGAATCCTTCGCTTGCCGGGCCAATAGGGTAGCAGCTTTCTGCTCATGCGTTAGATTAGCGTGCACCGTTGTGCGATTCCTGGCCAAGAACCAAGCGGCACCCCGCGCCTAGGAGGCGCGTAGGTCGATGGGCTGACAGCTGAAGCACGCTAGGCATCACGTTCCGCGTATTTATTCTGGCGACCGGGGCCCTTGCTCTGGCGGTGCCACACCCTCGTCATCAATGAATCGCGAACGCAGAAACGGGCTTGGCTGTCCAAGGCGGCAATGCCCGAGGCATGCCACGATCTTGGTCTGTATGCTGAACTGATCTGTTCTGTTCCTAGTCTACGCTGTAGCATGTCCTTGCTCCAGTAGATGGACGCAGGCAGCCCGAACTCGTTCTTGGAGTAGTGCCCAGTTGCTCATTGGCAGCTGTGTCTCAGGTGAGGGTATTGGTTGGTGTTGTGGCGGATGCGATGAGATTAGGAGCTGCGTCGCCGTTTCACAACCAACTAATCGACCTGTCAACTACGGTGCAGAACAGGTATATAGGCTGAGCGACTGTTTGCTGCCTGTGCAACATCGTAGCCGGCTAGCTGCGTCAGCTTGTATCCGGCCAATGGCTGTCCTGTGTCAAGCAGCTTGATGACTCAACAGCAACGTCCGACCAAAGAGAAACAATCTTGGATGGCGGCATGTTTCTGGCAAATAATTCATACGAGGCTCACGGCAAAGGCTTCACGTCGGAACTCCACGACGCAACACAGGCATCGTCTCAGCGGCGGCATTGCATAGGTAGGTAAACATAATTACACTGAAGATTGGATCTCGGCAGCCTGCCCTGGTTCTACTTCGCCAGCGACAGCGTCAACATGTCCCCCGACCGGCCAACGGCACCCTGGTTCCCTCTCTGCGCTGCAGCAAAGCGGCGCTTGATTCCTGGTTGTCCTCGGCGCGGCCCGCGCTGACGGGCGAGCAGGGTTGTCGGCCTCGCTCTCTGAGATCTTTCGCTTCGCGCGCGACTCTATTGGGCAGGCACCATCTTCTCGCATTAGCACAGTGCATCGAGCAACACAGCCTGCACTGGACCGCCGGAGGCTAGGCTGGACCTACAATGCAACGAAAAGGCTTGAAAGACATAGCAGAAATATTGACCCCGTGTTGGCAGCTATCATCAAGACTAGGGGTGGCTTGTATTGGGGCATACTTCAACTCCTTTTGCCTGGGTTGCTGTGGTGATCCGAAGCGGTGGGAATTGGATGTTATTGTGGCTCGAGTCCCGGGGCTGTTGAGTAATCCGTCCTTATATGCACGCTGCAGCTTTTGCGAGGCCGGTGTTGGCCGCTGCCCCAGCCGGACACGGTGGCTGGCGGAGTTTTGGCCGCGTCGTGCCCAATTGCCGACGGGCTTTGCAGTTGCACAGCGACAGGCTTGTCTCAGCTCTGGTCGATGCGGGCTGAATGTGTTTAATGACCAATCCCGTGGACAGCCAAGGCCGCCCCGGCCAGGAATCTGGCCCGTCTCTCCGGCTGGCCGCCATCGCTTACTCGTTACCCGTATAAGCATAAATACTCTCGGTTCAGGACGTCGCACACGCAGTCCCTTATCACAGCCCAAGCAGGATTTGGTATAGGACTTTATTCTTGGTCACGGACAATGGTCAGTGCTACTAGCTGCTCTGATCAACACAGTTCTACAGCCAGCGCCTGAGGAGCCTGCCTCGCCATCTATGACATCATCCCTGTTCCAGAGCAGCGGCCCGCGCTGGCTCCCGGCCTGGCACTCAGCCACGCTTCTTGATGGTGCTTAAATCTCCCATGCCACTATAGCTGGCTAGGGTCTCGCCCAGCTGTGTCCCTTGGTCCTTGAGGTTTACCAAAGCCTTACCGTAGGCCTCGATGACCTTCTTGACGTACTCGGGCTCGTTGTTGTAGATGTGCACCACGGAATCCTCGCCCTTGGCCACGGTAGCCGGCGGCTTGGGGGGCTTGGCGTCGTGCTTCATGATCTTGATCGTCTCGTCGACGAGCGAGTTCGAGTAATCGCTGCCCAGCATGTTCAGCTTCTTCTGCAACGTGTAGGCCACGACGGCCGCGTTGCCCGTGTATTCGGGTCGGTTGCGGTACTTGTACACGAACTCGGCCGTGGCGCTCGCCTCGGACCGCCCGCTGCTAGACCCGGCCGCGCTGCCGCTTTCGCTGCTCGGCGGCGTCACGCACAGCTTGAGGAGCTTTTGGATGGCTTCGTCCTGGGTTTCGCAGAAGCCTGCCTTGACGATGTCGAACTCGGCCCTGATCACGGCCTCCTCCGAATTTGTCTGGAGCAGCTTCTTCATCTCCGCCATGACCTCGCCGGGCGTTGAGTAGCCGAACTTGGCGTCCGTCCTGGTCTTGGCGAACACGGAAATCTTGTTGAGGGCTTGGCGGACTGCCACCTCCTCCGCCGACGGCACATAGGCGGGGGTCGCCTCGCCGGCCTTGTGGCTCTCGCCCGTCTCTTTGCGCGCGGTTGTGGGCTTTTGGCTGCTCATGTTGCAAGAGTGGCGGTGTGGGGTTGGTTCTGAGGACTGTTCCGGTGTCCGTGATGCTGATGGGTAGACGACTTTCGACTGTTCCGTTGTCCGAGGTGATGCTGAATTGCTGATGGATAGATGTTTGACGGGCGCACAAACCTATATACGCCAGTTGCGTCTTGGTTCGCGGCTTTGGCCATTCCGCACGGCGAGTGTCTCACGCAGCGTGTCCAACGACTCTTTCGCAACCAGACAGCCGCAGCCTGGAGAGAACGCCTGAATCAGATATCTGACCCAACCGCGGCATGAAACTCGGGTCTGCGAGGCGCGACATCAACGCCGTGTCGCATGCCGCAGGTGAGATTGAGTGGTTCGACGCTGTGGCCTGGGAACTGGAAGCTTCCCATTCACCAACGGGGTCCAGCGGCGCGGCTGTGACGCGGCCACACATGTCAGGGACCATGGCAATCATCAGATCCAGTGCCACGGGAGAGTCGAGTGGGTTGTGGCAACGACTTGGCCCAAAACCTGGCCGCACACGGCATGATTATTGATCAAGATACCGCCTTCAGAATGCGAAGTCAAGCGTCGGATTGGGCCAGGGTGGAGTCACTGTCAGCGGGGACGGAATTGAGTGCTCTGGCTGGCTGGCCCGTATCTAACAAGGCGAGGACGACCAGTCATATCTCCATTCTCTACCAGTTACCAAGCCGAGGGGTGCCCCTTTTCATCCTCGAATGCAAGCGGCCCATAATCCGACACTGACAGAAGCTAGAAGTTACCAACGTCGCCAAGGGACGTATCCACCTTCGGCCTGCAAGTCCCCAGTTGCAGTGGCAGCGCGGGAGCGTATGGGGTCCACCGGTAGTAAGCTAGGCTGGATTGGTTGTGATGTGAGATATAATGAACGCTACTATACTCTAATCCCTGAATATTTATTTCGATACGATTTGACCAACAAGCCGTCTGCTGACAACTGCCAAGCAAAACTCCTGTCAGCATGCTCGCTTAGCAAAGGTAATTGGGAATATAGCATCTTTGCCCAGTTACGGCCTAGTCGGAATGACGTGTGTGCTTTGCCTCTCTCGGATAGCTTGTGCCGCTTCGCGGTGGGTCAGGGGAACAGAATGTCAGGCACCAGCGGCTGTTGGCCAGGCCTCAGCACAGGATGGTTCCATAAGAGACTGCAATTGAATACCATGTGGATTTCCTATACGTGCTCGACCTTCTATGTGAGACTCTGTTGCTCCCGTAATCATCGCCGCGCCATATTGACAGGCAGCAACACCACAACCAAGTCCCTCTTGGTGACTCTGATGCGCTAAGAGCACGGCGGGTCTTGGACTGTAGGCCCAAGAGCACAACGTCTTGCCACGACATCCACTCCGACAGAGCAACCGCCTAGAACGCGCCATTGACGCCCTCCCAGCCGGGATCCGCCCGCTTCGCCCTCAGCAGATCGGCGGGCCACGACGCCGCCGGCGCCTTTTGCGGGTCGGCGAGGGCCTGGCGGACCACGGCGTTGCCGAGGTCCTTTTCGATCTCGAGGCGCGGCAGCTTCCAGCGGATGAGGTTGGCGCCGCCAGGGAGCGATTCGGGGGGTGGCGCCGGGTACGAGCCAAAGTCGGCGCGGACGGCGAGGCGCAGGGCGCGGACGGCCCCGCCAAGCCGCTCGGCAATGCCGGGGCTCGTATGCAGCGAGATGGCCAGCCACGCCTCGCGCACGGCCGGCTCGGGCGTGTCGTGTGCACGCAGCAGGCGCGCCGCCACGTCGGCGCCCACAATCTCGAACCGCTCCGGCACGGCGTCGTGCTCGGCGGCGGTGCCGACGTCGTGCAGGATGCAGGCGACGAACAGGGCGTGGGGTAGCTCGGCCGCCGAAGCTGTTGAGTCGGGCTGTCCCCCAGGGGCAAGCGGGCTGGGCGGTGGAGGCGACGGCTCGCCGTTGTCCTGGAACAGGCGCGCAAAGGCCTGCGCAAACAGGTAGACGCGGAAACTGTGGTACAGAATGGAAGCTGGCAGCGAGGACTTGGCCATGGCCAGGGCTTCGGCGCAGGCCGGGTGGTTGGGCATGACTGCGCGCACGCTGGCCATGATGGTGCCCGTTCCAGCGTGCGCACCGTCCGAGACCTGCGCGCCACACATCAGAGCAGTCCGCGGCGGAGGGCTGATATCCAAGAAGGCGTGACGAGAAGTTGGAGGAATGTCTGGACCGTCGATGACGCACAGTGGGGCATCCACGGCTAGCCGGGCCGTCCAAAGTTTAGTCACTAGCTGGCGTGGGAATAGAATGGCGTGATGGTTGGACAGTGCGAACACGGTGTTCGAGATATCCTACACAGTCTAGTAAACCAGGATACATGCGACCTAGTAGTTTTAGCGCTGCGGACAAGTCCCGCTAGGGCCAGGTAAGCGGGTGTCGGTACTTGGGTAGATGCCGCTGCGAGGTCGCGTCTCGCTGATGTGCTGTGAGCGAAGAGCGTGGAGATGCGCCGGCAGCCCTTGTCCTGTCTCAGCCTTGTGGGCCCATCATCCCGGGACGAAGAAACAAGGTAAATGTCTGCCGCTCTACCAACCCTTCCTGTTCGCAGTTCTACCAAGCCTCGGACCACCGAGTCTAGAACAAACGAGCTGTTAGCCTGAGCACAGCCGAGAAACACGCCGCCCCCTCGCCGATTCCCCACAAGCAAGGTTGGATCGCACTACTACGTTGTGCTGACCAATGCGGGACTGGAAATTGGAATCAAACTGAGGACGGGAGTGAGAGACGGCTACTCCACCCGGTCCGGCTAGCGGTATGACATGTTGGCGAGCTAGCCACTGCCAGCCGTTGCCTTACTGCCGCTGTCATTAGGTGCAACCAGGCATGTCCAGGCGTATATGATCTAGTAGCTGGTCGATCTCGGCACCCATCTCTCGCCCAGATAAGACGTTCGGCCAATAAGAGAAGAATCGAACCCGCAGACTTGTCGGACAGTGAGCCAATGAAGTGGTGGAGTGGTGTGGAACAGGGTCGGCCTAGTCGGTTTCGCCAGTGTAAGCGGACCAACACTTTCCTGATGCGGCTAGGTAGCGACGACCAACAGATCGGCGGACTCGCTGGACAAGTAGGATCCAGGTAGGCAATCCCCCTCGACGAGGGACCCACTGACACAGCTGACTTGGATATATGAAACCTGACCATTTAGGAAGGGTCAGCTGAATCGCCCATTTCTCTCTCTTTTGCCTCCGGCGGCCCTCCGGGGGCGCCTGCGGCGGGCTGCTCGCTACGCTCGAAAGGCGTTCGGCTAGATCGCTCACCTTCTGTTTTCACGGTTCTCGTTGGCCAGACTCATGTTGTCAACGAATTGTCAGGTCGCAGATCATAGTCCTGCGGGGACGTCACTGAGGTGATTATGTGTATTCCAGTATCTGGCCAAGGTGACTGGGCGGTCGCTGCTTGCTAGCTACTTGGTATGAATAAGGAGACCTGCGGACCGTCATCTCCATTCCAGCCCAGCTCTCACTGTGCCATCCCGTGCAGGGTGACTCAATTGTCTGGGATGCTCCCGAACAACTGCACCATCAAGATAATGAAGAACAGTAGCACCATGCCGCTGGCAACCAGCACGAGCGTGTCCACGAGCGTCCCGCACGTCGAGTCCATCCCCGGTCGCCTAATTCTCGACCTCAGCATGTGGAGTCGTCGTTTGGCAGCTGTCTCTGCTGCGTTGCCCTGCTGCTCCAGGTCCACAGCCCAGAACTGCGGATTGTGTGTCTTTTCTGGTTCTGTGGGTTGGTGAGGACCGCCGTCGCCATTGCTGCTCGCATGGCCCGTCGGGTTCTGAGGCGGAGGTTGGGCTGTGAATGGCGGCGTGCTGCGAACACGGGCCTGCGCTGGCGGGGCGACTGTTTCCACCAGGACGGTAGTTGGCTGCGATTGTGTGTCGGGGTTCATGGTTTCGATCGTCGCCGGGTGGGTTGCCGGATGGCTGTGGGTCGAAGTTAGCTGCGTCGACACCCAGGTCTCGAACTGATTGGATTGGAACAATCGACACATACCGCTGCGCGATGAGAGCCTAGCCTGGACCGTTGACGCAGGGCAGCACAGAGGACACGTGAAGTCGACTGATGGGCGAGTAAAGATGCCCAAGGAGGCGATAGGAGGTAGAGTGGTGCAGTGTTGCAAGAATGGGGGCAGGCCGAGATGCAGAGATTTTGTGCGTGGTTTGTCGAAAGGTTCCTTCCTCGTTTGACCTCGCCCGCAGCAGGCGCGATGCCTCAGCCTACAGCCCGCCAAATCTGTAGCTCCCTCTCCCTACAGTGATACTACAGCAGTTGCGATTGCGGTTCTTGTTCCGCGACTTCCCAATCGTGGGTGGCCTGGTACAAAACCAATACACGAAAATTACTGAAATTGGCCAGCAGAACCAGCTACCAGGCAATGTCAACAGCGCCCATTACCTCGGATCTTGTATTGCTTGCCATCCTGTGCAGCTTACTGAACTTGGGAGTCCTCAATTATTGCCTTCAAATCAATTGAAGAGTGGCGCGACTGAAGCATCCCAACTTACGTCGGCTATGGCATCACTAAGATGGTCCGGAAAGAAGTGGGGCAAAGAAAAAACATCAAAGGAGAACCTTGACTGGCTCGTTGCTCGCTACGTACATGCATTATTTACAAAGCAGTCATTAATTATCCCACTTGCAAATAAGGCGTCGCTCATCACTCCCTCAAGCCTCAGCATTGCCTCCGAGCCCTCCTGCTGTCGTGCCCTCTCCCGGCTTCCCTGCCTTTTTAGTCTACCACGGTAGCGGCTAGCATGTCTAAGACGGTACAGACCCCTAGATATTATGGCGGCGGTCATTATCGATGACGCTGAGCCTAGAGGTTGCTTATTAGTGATGGGATAACCACGGGAACTGCATCCTTTAGCAGCGGTTAGGAGCATTGGGCGGGGCGGTATGCGATGGGGTAAGAACCGCACGACGCAACCATCAGACGCCGGCGCAGAAAATACGTGAGATCCGTGCACGGCTGCGCATTCCGAAGTAATTCAGTTCCTTTTGATTCAGAATGCTAGCGGGAAGCCAATCACTAGTCGCGATAACCCCGTTAGCCACAGCCGGCAAACCAGGAGCTAACAAGCCGGCAGACACTACAAGTTACCGACTGAGGAAGATTAGTCTTGCTATCACACTTGACAAAGACCAACCGAGCCCATACATTCCCAGAGGCAACTATCCTAACTCTACCTTATGTACATGCGGTCCCCCCGATCCTCTCGCCCGCAAGTTAGTTCGGAGTCAGCTTCAAGAGCCGGCCGTTATTGCCATCCTCGATCACCCAGATGGCGCCGTCCTTGTCCTCTCGGATGCCGCGCATGCGCTTGCCCATCGAGATGCGCTGAGCCTCCTTCGCGGTGTCGCCGGTGATGGTCACGCGCACAATCGACTGCGAGCTGAGGCCAGTGATGATGGCATTGCCCTTCCAGCTGGAAAACAGGCTGCCCTTGTAGATGATCAAGCCGGCCGGCGAGATGACGGGGACCCAGAAGGCCTTGGGCGGCGCGAACTCGGGGCGCGTGCTGTGTGCGGGGATCGTGCGGCCGTCGTAGTGCTTGCCCTGCGACACGAGCGGCCAGCCGTAGTTGGCGCCCGGCTCGATCAGGTTGAGCTCGTCGCCGCCCATGGGACCCATCTCGACCTCCCAAAGCCGCCCCTGCGCGTCCCAGTCGATGCCAAGCGGGTTGCGGTGGCCCAGCGACCAGATCTGCGCCTGCACCGCGCCCTGGCTAGCGAACGGGTTGCCCGCGAAGGCCGTGCCGTTGTCGTACAGCTTGATCATCTTGCCGAGGTTGCCCGTCATGGACTGCGACGGGGTCATCTGGTTGATCTCGCCCGACGAGATCCACAGCGCGCCGTCGGGGCCGAAGAGCAGGCGACAGGCGAACTGGAGCCCGCCCGACGCCCTCTGCGAGTGGCGCCAGATGACCTCGAGACCGGACAGCGCGCCACCGCTGGCGGTCAGCGTCAGCTTGGCCCGCGCGACTGCGCCGCCTGCACCGCCACTGCCGCTCTCGGCGTAGCTGATATAGACAATACTGTTCTCGGCGTATTTGGGGTGCAAAGCGACGTCGTGGAGACCGCCCTGGCCCCCATACGCGACAGCAGGCACGCCGGTGATGGTATTCTTGGACTTGGTGGCCGGGTCAACGACGCGTAGGTTGCCTCGTCTCTCAGTCACGAGGATACGGTTGTCGGGCAGGAAGGCGAACGCCCATGGCTCGGCATGTTCGGTGATGGCTGTCGACTTGAACGGCTGCTGGCGGGTGTCCAGCTGCGATGGGACGGCCAAAGCACCCGCCACCAGTGCCAGAACGTAGGTGATAGAAAGGATATGCATCATTAGGCCTTTCCCAGTGTGTTGTGCAGAGAGGGTTGGCTCACATCGTAGACCTTGGGCTGTTCAAGGTAGGTATATAAGAACGGGGGTCGAGCAACCTTGTCCAATTTCAGGCTATTCCCTTTAACCCAGTACCGGTAGAAACGAGTCACTCATCACATGGCGGCCGTGTAAGCCTCCGTGGGCAGGTTTGGCAAAAGCCCGGCATGGCATTCCCACCATTATCTGGCACGATCTCCTGTTACGATGGCTGCCGACGCCAAGGTCTGGGCGTGTGCTATAATTCTCTGGGCATCAATATACAAGTTATCAAACTCGTCGCCGTCTTTCTTCCTTGGCCAATGCGGGGGCTCTCGATCCGTCTCGCGATCTTGGCGGTGATGAGCTGAAGGGGTCACGTGCCGACATGGGGAATTCAGAGTCGGCCCCGACAGCAGCATAATTGTAGGCCAAACCATACTTTAGGGTTTGGTTAGGGAATACAGTGGGAGGTAGTTTTATGTCATGCCTCTTGCACTGAACAGATTACGGCTGAATGAGGACACCAAGAGGTCGGGGCTAATAAGGGTTCGAGACACGGAGGATATTGAACTAGCAGGGAGCAGATCTTGTACCAATGTGGCCATCACCGTAGATGCGAAAGGTTTATTGCCAGTATCTGTAGCCACCCTTCCCCGATTATCCCGCCTCCCAGCCCCGTCCCCGCAGTCCCGTCCTCGCAGGTCCATCAGGCCGGGGCCCCTGCGCCCCCTCTGTCCCTCTAACCCGATGGCGCTCGCGGGGCGTCTGGGGCGGCCGCGAGAAGCTCTCGTCGGTCAGGATGTCGGCTAACACCTGCGTGCGTGGATCGGCGCGAAGATTGAATGGCTCGGCGCAGTAGTCGTGTGTGCGCTATGAGTCGAGGTCTGCCCGCAGCATGCCTACAGCAAACTCGGTGGAGTGCGGGTACAGCGGCAGCGGCGCCTCGTCCGGGTTGCTTATGTGGCGGTCCTCGACCATGGTTTTCCACAAATAGCGCGGGTCCTCGGTCCGCAGCGGCGCCTTGCCGGCACGACCCACGACCACGCGCCTCCAGATGTCGTCTGGGGTGCTGTCCCCAATGCCCGCGCACTCCTCGATCAGATACTGCGAACTGCCGCACCATCCGCAGCCGGAAATGTCGCCAGCCGCCAAGTGAGGCAGCACACACATCTAGAGTTCGTGCCCATCTAGGCCATTGTTGTCACACAGCGCGCCGGGCACTGGCCCTGGCGGTGGCTGGATGGGGCCGGGGACGCCAGAGACAGACGGGCCACTAGCCGCAGTCTGCTGGACGCGCGCGGGCTCCTTGCCTCTGCCGATGGAGGGGCCACTTGCCCCAGTCGGCGCAGGCATGGAGGCTTTTTCAGCCTCGGCCTTTACCGCGCGACTCGCGCAAAGCTCATCCCACTCGATGGAGTATAGCTCGGCCGTTCGAAACGGCGGCTTGAACCGGAAGGGGTATGGCTTGCTCAGGCGTAGTGCCAGACCCTCCCATACAGCCTTGTCTATGGCCCACTCCAAATAGTTAGCACTGAGGGGGCCGGTGTGGGTCGACCGGGTCATGCCCTCTAGGATTGTCTGTACGACGTCCTGACACGCCTGTCTCGCGCGAGCTTGGTCGGCCATCTCTGGCACCTTCTCGATCATGGCCGCCATGACGGCGGTGCGGCGTTCCCTCAACGCCTTGACAGCGGCCTCGATAGTGGTGTCGATGCTCGACATTGTTTCGGTTTGAGGAGAACGATTTCTTGTGGTTCGAGGTCAGAATTTCGCTGTCGGTCGAGAAAGTTCAAATGATGCGTGTTGGAAGAGTGGGGTTCTTGTCCTGGTTTTGGTGATGGCCCGTGCTGCTGTAGCCCTGCACAACCCCGCACAACCCCGCACAACCCTAGAAAAACAGGCCAACTGTACCCCACGAGCCAGGGCCCTGGCGTAGCCCCAAGCCCCCTGGCACAGCCCCAAGACCCCTGGCGCAGCCCTAAGAGCCTCATCTACCGCGAAATATCCCACCCCAATAGCCCTCCCCCAGCCAACTTCACCACGCAACACCACCCCAAGAGCAGCGCCTCTACTTTTTGCGCTTCGGCTATAGAGGGCTGGTCCAAGATCCCGGGCATGGGGGAGAACACCATGAATGAACACAGAAGATGCGGAGGGCGGACAGAAGGTCCGTTTGATCTGTGGGCATCGGGCACCGTGTATTTTGCTATCCCAAGTATCAAAGTATCAACTGCCACCTAATTAAATATATTGGACCTTCTGTAGCTTGTGCACGTCATATCAGCTCCAGCTGAGATCGCTCTCAACCTCGTTTGACAACGACCTCCAGGCTTCTCACCAACACCCTAACCTCTCCAACGATGAGCCAAGAACAATGGGAGAATCACGCAACACATTGGATGATAGAGCAGCAGAAAAGTGAGATCGGTGCACGACTGAAAATTCGGAGGCTCCACTCGCCCAGTCCCTGTTACTATTTAAGAAACCCTCCCCCCCTTTTTCTCTTTCCTCGGCTGCTTCTTAGCACAAGCACCTTCGAAAATATCGACCATGCAAGCATACATTGAGGTGATCAAGGCGCGTCGCGCCGAGATCATGAAGCCCATCGTGGCGGCGGCGCCCGAGATGGGCAACGCGAACCACCCGAACCAAGCGCGCGTGGACGCGCGCCAGGTCGTTTTTGAGCGCGTGGGTCGGTCGACCCACACTGGTCAGTTGAGCGCCGACTACGTTCAGTGGGCCGTTAACCAGGTCGTCTGGGAGCGGTTCCAGTCGCGGATGGGCAACAAGCCGTACCCTCTCCGCTTCAAGGCCCCACCCATGAACGTCGAGCCTTGGAGTGGCGAGTGGGACGCCTTCTTGGTTGGCGCGGGAAAGGATCTCAACCCCCCATCGCCCACGTTAGCAGTAAGCAACCCATGAGCTTTGCATTCATAGCAACCCGTCCATTGGCCAACCGCTAACAACAAGAAGACGGCGGCTAGTGACTCCGCTGCCTATGGCATGTCGACGCCCACGGACAAATCGCAAGCCGTCAGCAACGAGTGTTTGGAGCGCCGGGAAAAGATAATGGAGGAGATTATGGCGGTGGACACTTATATGAGGGATTGCCCGGATTTCGTGGAGCAAGTTGTCAAAGACGCCGCGGAGACGATAAAGGAGAGATTTTACTATGAGATGGGCCTCCTTGGCCGGCTCAGCTCCGCCTACTACCAATGGGCCGTCGACTACGCTATCTGGCAGAGGTTCGAGTGGAAGCTGGGCAAGCCGTACCCCTTCAGCAGCAGCATGCCAGCCATGAGAGAGAGCCCGTGGTCTGAAGAGTGGGACGAGTTTGTTACTGCTTTAGAGCATATATTGATGTAGCATTTCTACCGCATGCAATTGCATCGTCAATAAAATGAACCTGGACTGCGCAGTTGCGAGGCATCTCTTATTTGCCATCTAATTAACCTCTTGACTAGCCTAGCTCAACCTCACCAACCCAACATGGCCGCCTATGGATTGCACTGGCAAGCTAGACTCGGTACTCCTTCCAGGGATGTCTGTCCCGAAACGTTGTGAGCGCCGACGGGGGCACAAAGGTCGGCGCCCCGATAAAGTATTTGCCCCCATCCTCCTTCACCACGGGTGTGATAAACGGGACGCTAATAAATTCTGGCGGTATGCCCGAATCGGAGAGGGCTAGGCGGCGTATGGTCGCAACCAAGACCAGAGAATCCGTGTCTCGGCTGAGCTCCTCCTGAAGTTTGACTTTTCCGACAACGTGATGCATTTTAGCATCTTTACGCTGACAGTACCCCATACAATCGACGTAGGCACCCAAGAGGTGGCGGTGTATTGCCTCCTTGTCGCTATCAGACAGGGGGGCCGGCTCGTCCTGCTTGGCCTCAAACTGTTCGTCGTACTGCTGCAGGGTGTGCCAAATGCCAAGGCAGTCCGGCCGAGAAAGCTTGACAGCGCCACCAGCCAGGAAAAACGACCTGTCCTCCACGTCCTCGAAGTTGTTCGTGGTAAAGCGGACACTCTCCCAGAGGCCAAGAAGAATCCACATGTGCCCGAGTCTTGCAAAACGCCCAAGACCCCAGCAATCGTCCTGAATGCGAGCAAAGAGGGCAACCTCGTCTGCGGGCGCCTCCGGCGTGACCCGTGCCAGGCTCGCTGCCCGCGAGGCCACAACAGCCATCCGGAGTAAAAGGCGAGCGGCATTCCGGCTCAGGGTGTCGTCAGTCAAAGCGCCAACGGCCAGGCATGCGGCATTGATGTCGCCATTGAAGGCCTTGATCTCCCTCAACACCGAGTCTCCCTTGTCAGTGGAACCGGGTGCAGAACCACTGTCCGACACGAGCCCCATCAGCTCCAGGCGCCGAGCTATCTCGCGGACCAAGCTTGGCATCCGATCGGACCTAGACCAATTGAAGGGCATGTCCTTCATCTCCTTGCCGCGGAAACGGTGTACAATCCCCAGGACCGTGTGCATGATCTCCGCATTGTATGCTGGCGGGGGCGTCGTTTTCGGCAGCCCATTGATGTCGTTCTTCGGGATAGGGCAGATGACCCTGCAATCGCGTGATTCCGCTCTGAATGCGCATTGGCTGCTCAAGGCCGCATGGCTTGGGCCGACGTACCTGCTGACGGTGATGAAGGCGGCATTCTCGTCCAACACCACATCCACGTATCTAGCGCCCATGACTACCAGGCCTGGTCTCGGGACCGGGAGACGGAATCCCAAACTGCCGGGCTCTATGGAGACGATGCGAGGCAGGTCGTCTGCGTCTGCATCCTTTTTGACACCGGACACCTGGTCTAGCGGCGTCCATTTGTCGATTTTCTCCTGGATGAGATTGGCGGAGCCACCCAGCCCCGGCCCTGCGATCTCGTGGATTTGTGCGGGAAAAGAGCCATTTAGGAAGGAGACTACGGTTCTGCCTTGAGCAACTGCGTTGGCGCATTCCTGGACTAGAAGGTCTCTGCCGTTCCCGGAGCTGATGGACTTGTACCAGCAGATCTCTCTCCATGATTTCGCGACCTTGTGTATAACTTCCACCACCTCGATATCTCGCGACAGCAGCGACTGGAAGCACTCGAGATCGTGAACCCCAGTACCGAACCCAACGATGTTGACGGTGGGGATTTGAGTGGCGAGCTTGCATACGGTGGCCTTGGCAATTTCGAAGTCGGCGGTCGCGGCTGGAGGCGTTTCAAGGATGACGAGAAGCTCGGTGTATCCCTGCGTGGTGTCGAGTGGGTAAAGGGCACTGAATTCGTTGTATGACAGGAAGCCAAACCCGCCCATCACTGGCATCTGGCGTGTGCAAGGCTGTCCGAAATAGCCGCTGTTCTTTTGCAAAAGCTCTGCCTCGATTCGCGTGTTTGTTAGGCAAAGAACCTTGAACTTCAAGGCGCTCTCAGTGGCGGACAGCAAGAACTCGGCTAGCAGGACAGTGCTCCTACCGCTGCTGGCTGACGTTTGGAAGTAAATGATGCCATTCGTGTCGCCCATGAATTCGCGGGCGCGTGCTTTGGCTTGCACTATGGAGAGTTTGGTCGCAATCATTTGATGCTTGTTGCTTAGGCGGCGGACGGTTGATGACGAGGCTGTTGTAGAAGAAAGAAAGGTAGGTAGAACGCAGGTAGGTAGAAGAAGGAAGGCAGATATAGTGAGGGTAGGTAGAAAAGGAAGAACGGTAGAAGGACACGCATGACGCGGGCTACTTTTCCTCCGGAGTCTCTTTCAGCGCCCGGGACCCCTGCAGCCGGGAGTATGTACATTCACAGATCGACTGCCACTATGACATAATTGACCGCAGAGACGACAAAATCTGGAGGGCTACATGGAAACAGGTCGCCGATTGCCCGGCCGCCTCGCAGCGCCTGTTTGACTTTGGCTCCGACTGAGGCGGCCATCTCGACTCCAGAGCGCCAGCTATTAGTTGCCATGGCGCAAGCCACGACATCACGTCGACGTGTCCTCGATGTCGCGGGTTTCGCAGCGACAGCGGCGTTGACCGCGACATCTACAGCGTCGAGGTTGATAGCGCACGCGGTCGAGAGCTGTGTGGCTAGGAGCCGTAGCAAGTGGGGCCGAGCTTCGTGACAGACTTACCACGACGAGCAGCCCCAAAGACAGCCACGGGCGTGCCTTCCTTCTGCGTGGCAGAGGCAGCAGCAGATGGTCTTCCTCGTCTTTGGTGGCATCAAGCGGCCAAGTAGACCCGACAATCCAATTCCACAGCAAGACAGAACCGCCGCGCGCATCAACTTTGATCCCCGTGAGCAGCAAGCTGAGAATAACAAGCCGCTCACCAGCAGGCAGATCTACCTGCGAAACAAAGGGATGAAGCTTGCGGATTAGGCCCCGGTTCTACCGTTCTTCCACATCTCCATCGTGGCGCAGCCTCTACAGGTCCTATTAAAGGAACTCTTTGTCGCGAACGAGGTCATCACGCCCATCTTGAGCAGTTTCCCCACTAATCCTGAGCTCTCTGGCCTTTTCATTGAGGGTCTTGACTCTCGACGGACCACATCCGCACCAAAAGATGGCCAGCTGGCAATTGAATGATTCGTGATTATGATTGAACGTCGATTACGGGTGATGATGAGCTCTGTGCCACTGTGGTCTTCAGCCCTGTTTAGAGATTGATCAACGCCACCACAACCTCCGCAAGACGCACGGTTAAGACGGGCCACGAGTAAATGATAATGACTCTTCAGGCTCGACGTGCTGTACCGATATTTCAATGCAGTTATCGCCGGCTGGACCGTGGACAGGGAAGGCATGGCGAGACGCCAGCGGCCGCTCTTGTTGTCCTGCCGTGGGTGTCAATCTGCCATTGGTCTGTCTGTAAATTGTTGAAGCAATGCCTGGCGGGAACTGGAGGGGGCGAGGCGGCAGAGGGGATCTAGGGCCAACCGAGTCTCCGCCTCGAGCGCGAGATTTGTGTACAAAAGGCTGCTGGTGGAGATTAGGCCTACGCAGAACCGGAATTCGACATCAAGTTGGGAATTTCAAGAAACCTTGCTACTTGGTTGTGGGATGGGGTAGCAAGCTTGTCGAAGACTAGCAGCAATTACTTTGCCCCTATAGCTGTCACAGAATCGGGGGAAATGTGTCCCAAAAGCTGGCCCAAAAAGTAGAAGGGTGTTCCCGCGTCTTGCTTCTGCCCAATTACTCGCCTATCCTGCTGGTTGTTTATACACCTGACGGGGAGACAGCCCTAGGTACCCGGACGTAAAGTCGTTTGAATTCCACGGCTACATCATGGAGGAAACGGACAGCACGACGGCCATATCCCACTCTTCCGCATCGAGAAAGACGCTCAGCCGGCCGTTTACTCGCTCTTTGCCGCTGTCCGGCTTCGAAAGGAGGCATCCGAGCCAGACCTAGTTCGAACATTTGACACGTCCGGCATCCCATCGGCCCTTCTACTACTTCCCAGCCCACACCCCCTTTCACGTCCGACGATTGAGAGATTGGAGAGCCCGGCCACAGCTATAACCTGTTCTTTTTCTTGGCTCGAGCTGGCACAAGCTGTGGTGGCGCGGAGGTTAGGCCCCGCGATGGAGAGCCTGGCGAGTCGATAGACAATATGAAAATCGCCGTGAAAAGACTAGTTTACAATTATGGACAGAGGCCACGACAGCAGCTTGAGTTTCAGCCCTCGCTGTCGCCAACGCACGCGTCGTTGGCTGTGCCTTCCCAGGCGATGAGGCCTCCCCCGGTGTTTGGGGCGAAAGTGCCAAGGCAACCGGCTCCCACGCTACGAGCAGAGTCACAGCATAAAGATCCGCAGGCGTCCGAGCATATGCCCTCGCAACCGGCCGTTGGCATGCTGCAGTATCCTGCGCCGCCGTACCCCCAGCAGGGGTATGCCGCACAGTATGGGCATGCTCCGGAATTCCCCCCCCCCTTACACAAGTGCGTATGCGGGTCAATCTCCAAACACGCAGCAGTTCGTGACGGCACCAGGGCCTACTATAGATAGGCCCAATCCCAACGACCGCTTGCCCTACTATAGCTGCGGCTGTAATGGTTCATGTTAGTTGTCTTTATCAGCCGATGCATTTATGAATCAATCAAGAGGTGAAACACGATCATATTTTATTATTCTAAATCTAGAACAGTAACCAGAGCACGTGAAAGGGCACAAGAACTGGGGCCTGCTAGTCAAATATAAACGGACAAAAATAAGCGTGTCTTATTCGGCCTAGCAATCAGCTTGCAGGGCTCAGTCTCTCTGATTCTCAATTTTCCACGTGCTGAGTGATTAATTATCCTTGTTCACTAACGTGTGTGATAAGCGAGATGAACAGACAAGCGAGTTGAACAATTTCCACAACCTCACCACAACTACCCTCAATTACACAACCACAACACTAGGAAATAACAATAACTGAATCGGAAACAGATGAATCAGACGATTCTGCAGCCTCCTTGCACGTACGTGCATTATGGCCAGGCTTGCCGCATACGCCACAGCATCGAATCTTCGTACGAGACCCCCCTGCACCACCACCATTTTGTCGTGTTTCCTGGACCAACTGCCCACCCACAGCCTTCTGATCCAGTAGATCCTGTGCCTCTTGTACAGTAAGTGATCCTCCAAGCCGAACACGTGTTTTCTTGGCTCTCCGTCGCTTACTAAGCCCCTCATTGGCCTTCCGAAGTGCTGAGACCTCTGTACGCAAAAGAGCCACCTCGTGCATCATAGCCATCGTACCTTTAGCTAATCGATCCACAGCAGTCAGCATTGGTGTTGGAGAGCTGCCCTGATGGTTGGAAATTCGAGTTTTGATGAACGCTGACTGTGAGGCAGCCTCTCTCGGGTTTTGTGGCGTTTGGGAGACCCAAGGTAGCGATGTAGTTGGGCTTGTAGCTGGGGGTGTTGGAGTCCGAATACGCACATCCAGCTTGGATATCACCCTCTCTGGATCGTACGGCACAAGGCCGGCTCCAGCAAACCCCCCCTGGATATTCCTTTCCGTAACCGAAGCAAAAAACGCCTCTCTAAACCCACAAAGAAACTCCAGCTTGCTAATATGTGTGATGTTCATCCGCATCAGCTGCTCAATCTGACAGCCGTACGCCTTCTTCAACGGCCCAAAGCAACCAACATCCAATGGCTGAAGTAGGTGTGAAGAGTGCGGAGGCATACAGAGTGTGATGATGTTGTGCTCCCGGCAGTAAGTCTCGAATTCTTCGGAGTGGTGGCTATCGTGGCCGTCGAGAATTAACAGTCGGTATATTCCCTTCGTACGAGATGCTGTGTGGAAATCGAAGTGCCGAATCCAATCCATGCCCTTCTCATTAGTAGTCCAGCCATTGTCGGTTGTTGCGATACGCCAGGTACCCGGAAGGTTGCACTCTTGATACCAGTTAGCAAGGTGATATTGCCCAGCTAAGATAATGAATGGTGGGATAGTCCAGGCTAGAGCATTCACTCCTTGGATGACTGTAGCCCACTCTCGATTACCAGGCTGGGCTTGCTTAGCCCTACCACGGCCATCAGAGGTAGTAACTACCATAGCGGGGATGATAATGCCCATCATAAAGCCGGTCTCGTCGAAATTGTACAAATCTTCGTCAAGGATACCGTACTTGGCCTTCGTGTTGTGCACAAGCGCAAACCACTCGCGAATAACTTTTGGATCTTCGCATTTGGCCCTCTGGTAGTCGTATTTACGCGTAAAACGCGTCCGAAGTTCTGGCTGGCGCTTGACGAAGTTGTGAGCCCAGCGTGTACCGACAGAGGGCGCGTCGCGTTCGCGTAGCAATCGATTGGCCATATCTTCTACGTACGAAAGCCGGGGATGAAATGCGCGCGCACATAGCTCAATGATGTACTGAACAATCGTTTTCTCTTCCAAATCCGTAAGCTTACGCGAATTGGCTGGAGTATCACGTCGTGCAGGTTTGCCGTCGCGTCGGTTGCGTATAGTATTTACCGTGACTTGATATGTTGTTGCTGCAGCTCGAATACTGAGTTTTGGGTCGTTTTGAATAGCCCTGAGGGCCAAATTCACCCTAGCTTCGTATGAAGGAAGAGACATTTGAGTTTGTTGAGGAATTTGGTGTTTTGTAGAGAGGAGGCGCGTCGCGTCAAAAGTGTTCAACTCGCTTGTCTGTTCATCTCGCTTATCACACACGTTAATGGGCTTAGATATCACGTCTTATTCCTTGCTTAGCTGTATGGATTATCGATTAATTCCTTGAGTTGCCATCATGTCACCGTATATCAACCTTTGTGTTCGTGGCGCTCTAGCCACGATTGTGCCTAGGCGTTATGTCGCGATGCAACCTTAGGGGGGGTGATGAATAATTCATGTTCTGTGCTACTTATGGTTCCTGTTCGTGGTATTCCAACCACGTAGGTGTTCCAACGGGTCAAAAAGTGGTAGTACTACCGGGGGGGGGGGGGGTGTAAAGTTGTTCTGATTCATGTTCTGTTCTAGAAATCTATGGTGGGGGTTCTTGGCTTTGTACATGGCCGTGCGAGGGCCGTGCGGCGCACGTGCTTGCAAGCACGTGCGCTAGCACGTGCATCGCACCGCCTGCCTTCCAGCGCAGAGTACGGTCACCAACATCGCTATTCCAACACTGGCAACTCTCCTTTTGTGACCGTACGATCCCTCTCCCTATCCTGCCTTCGCTGTGACTTCCCACGTGGTTGGATGGACAGATCGTACTATCTCGTCTGAATATGCTGTTTGCTAGTATCGTGCAATGAGTCCCGACCTCCTCGTACGTTTTGTCTGATAACTTGTTTGCCTGCTAGTGCCGATCCGGGGTCTCGTACGACGACATGCCCGGGACCGGGGATCGTGCGGAAGGAGCGGAGGGTCCGAAGAGTGCGCTTTCGAGGCACCCAGTCTAGGCATAAAGCTGGCCTTCTCGTCCTCCTTCTTCCCTTCTTCGTACGCTCTTCACACGCACATACAGGCACAATGTCTCTCGTGGCTGGCGGCGGCGGCCTGCCGCCTACCCCTCTTGGTACTATCAGCTCTCGTACGAACAGTACTGGCGATCTCTTCCTGCTTATTCCGACCGGTTCTGAGGATAACCGCCGTCTTCTTGCGAGCCTCTGTATCAATGTGAATACCCTCGAGAGTCTTTCTTTTTGTCGTACGAGTGGCTGATTAACCTTAGGACGATGAGCGCCGCGTCGTCGCCATGCCCTCGGTTGACGTTGAGATCCGCGTCCTGGCTGCCGATCGTGCGTCGGTCCATTTTCTCTTCGCCCGCATCATCCGCCGGGAGTCGTACTTTCGTGCGCTCCTTGTTCAATCGCGCGGTACACGCGTGCGCCCGTGCCCGGAGAAGTGCGGCAATCCAAACGCGTCTCCCAAGTTCCGGCATTGCGTACGCATCCCCTCATTCCAGGGCGGCGCCAGTGCCGAGTGCGTCTGGCAGTCGCACGGATCTCGCTGCTCTCATTCCAACGAGGGCTCAATGTCCGCCTGGGATTCGGGCGGTAGTTCAGCCGGTGGTTCTCCTCGCGCTAGTCCTAGCCAGCGTGTTCTTCCTCCCTCTAGTTCGGGCTCGCGTCTGAACCCTTTTCTGCTTGAGGAGTAGCTTCTTGGGGTTGAGGTGTTTTTTTTTTTTTTTTTTCTGGGGGGGGGGATAGTGCGTTGAGTTTTAATGAAATGGGTTTCCTAGGGATATGAATGGAGTGATCGTGCGGTGATAATACATATGAGCCTTTCCGCTCCTCCTCAGTTCGTCTTGTCCAGTCTATCGACGAACGCCTCGATTCGTACGATGACCTTTCCGTCGTCTACCA